GCGGCGATGAGGGCGGCGGCGGCGAGGGCGGCGGCGGCTTCGCGAGACGGCGGCGGGGGCGGCATGCGGCGGCGGCGGCGGCGGCCTCGGCGGCGGCGGCGGCGGCGAGGGCGGCGGCGGCGGCGGCTGCGGTGGTGAGGGCTGCGGCGAGGAGGACGGAGGCAGCGACAGCGGAGGCGGCGACGGCGGCAGTGGGCCGGGCGGCAGCGGCGACGGCGACGGTGGCGGCGGTGAGGGCGGCGGCGGCGGCGGCGGCGGCGAGGTTGGCGGCGGTGAGGACGACGGCGGCGACGGCGGCGGCGGTGACGGCGGCAACGGCGGCGGCGGTGGGGGGCTCGGAGGCGGCGGTGAGGGCGGTGGCGGCTAGAGGGGTGGCGGGCTGGGCGGCGGCGATGGTGGCGGCGGCGAGGGTGGTGGCGGTGACGGAGGCGGCGGAGACGGAGATGTCGGAGGTGACGGCGAGGGCTGCGGGGGGGGAGGGAGGCGGCGGGCTTGGTGGCGGCGGAATCGGACGCGGTTGCGACGGCGGCGGCGGGCTCAGCGGCAGCGGCGGCGGCTGTGGCGGGCTTGGGGCGGCGGCGAGGGAGGCGGCGGTGACGCGGAGGCGGACTGGGCGGCGGCGGCTACGGCGGTGGTGGGCATGGTGGGGGCAAAGCGACAGCGGGGGTGGCGAGGACGGAGGAGGCGCCGGCAGAGGGGGCGACGGCGGCGGCGGGCTCGGCGGTGGCGGCGACGGTGGCGGCGGCGAGGGCGCCGGCGGCGAGGGCGGCGGTGGGCTCGGCGGCGGCGGCGGCGAGGGCGAGGGACGCGCCTGAGGTGCAGGGAGGGCGTCAATACTCACAGCACTGGTGGTTCGGCCTCTAGGAGGCGGGCGGCACCCGAGCGGCTGGCGTATTTTCCGGCCAGGCCGACGAGGGTGAAGGCGTCGATGAGCATCAAGCCGCCCCGTGGGCCACGCCAGGGCCGCGGCGGGTCCTGGCGACCCCTCGAGGGAGGCCAGGGTGGCCAGGGCAGTAGTCACAGCCTGCCCAAAAAGTGCGCCGCCGCGAGCACTTTCTCGCGCGGGTCATTCTCGGAGTTGTGGAGGTCGTGCGAGGCTACCGCCTGCGAACAGCCGGTTGGAAGACGTCATGGCCGGCATGTGCGACCCTTAAGAACCCGCGTGCGACCAGAAGGTCGGCTGTAGGCGAGGCTGAAGGGGGCAGTCCCAAAAGTGGTGGATTTCTGTTGCTGACAGTTGAGGTAAGGGCGTCTACGCCCTTAGTTGAGGGCGACCAAGCTTTGACCGACGGCAGGTCAGCCGGCAGGTGGGCGGCGGGGGTGTCCCGGGTGGATCCCCAAGCGGGCGAGCCGGGCCCGTGCATGGTTCGGGCGCGGGGGGCGCGGGAGCATGAGCAAAGCGCACCGAGTGCTGGTGGCTGATTTTGACGATTCTCGTTGGCACCGTCGTTCGGAGCGGCGTCTTGCACAAGTGCAAGAACCATACATCCCGAAACCTCTCCGGAGACGGAATTTAATGGTTTTGGGGGATTCCAAACCATGTGATCCTCCGCGCCGCCGCGCCCGAGTAGTCTGCGCCAGATGCGATGTCGTCGGGGAGGGCGTCGTCGCGGGCGCCCCTCTCTCCCAACGTCGTCATCCGAGCCCCTACGGCTGTCCAAGGGCACGTCTGGGTGACCAGGGGCGGGGGCCGAGCCGTGAATGCTCGGCCGGGGCGAGATTCTGGGTCCATGGGACCGCTGCCGGACCCATCAGAGAGCCTTTCCGGACACGTTCGCTCGACGGCCTAGTTGGCGGCCGATGTTCGACGACCAAAGCTCCGGACGCCGCGGCCAAAGGTCCGCCCACGGCCCCAGGACTCGTGGTGGGTGTGGGGTGTGCCTCACGAGGCGGAGAGGCCGCGTGAACTCCCGTAGAAGCTCGCGAAGAGTGCGGACGTTTGGAGCGCCGCGCCGGACCTCCGCCGGGGCCCGCCGGGGCGCCGTATGGGCCTCGGGGTGCCCGAGAAGCTTAGAGGTGCGGTTGTTTTTGCTTGTGTCTATCGGTTCATGCCATAGACCGGCCCTGGGAAGCCTTTGACCGCGCGCGGAGGGGGTGTTACGGGGCCGTGATGATTTTAGTGGGATCTGGGAACGAGCGCGTGCGATCAAACTTTGCCAACAACATCTCGCCAACAAGGTCTCGGCGGAGCCGCAATGCGCGGGCCGTGAGTGCGTGAGGACAGCAAAATGTGTTTCCTCAAATATTTTGGCCCGTCAGACTGACCAAGACACATTTTAGACTGACCACCGCTGCCGGCACACGCAGCTGTGAGCGTCGCGCGCGCGTGTCCTCGAGTGTGTCTGTTCAGAGACGGCACAGCTGAGAGACCGCTGCCCTGATCCACAGGCCGAGCCGGGGACGGCGGAGGCGGCCATTGGGCACCGTCGTGCGCCGCAGCTGCCCCAGTCACGTCGGCCCGGCGCCTCGAGGGAGCGCCGCCTAGAGGAGCGCCGCCGGCCACGCGCCTCGAGCGACGGCGTCGTCCCGACTCGTCGCCGCGACGACGAGAGAGGAGCGCTGCCTGGCGCGCAGGCAGCGAGCGCGCTCGAGGTGACCGAGCTGATCCGCGTGTGGCCGTCGCTACGCGACGCCGCATCTCGCACGGATGATGCCAGAAGCTCGCACGACGGCGCGGGAGCGCGCGGCTGGCGGGAGTGCGTGCGATAGGGTGCCAGAAGGCAGGCCGAGCATCGCCAGCGCGGCTCGAGGCCGTTGCCCGGGCCCCGCGGCGGGTCGAGGAGGCGCTCGCGGAGGCGACAGGAGCGCGCGGCACAGCTCCCAAACGACATCGATCTCGGACCTGAGGAGAGGAGGAGGCGAGCGTCGGTGCACCCTGAGGGCGCCTGCAAAGCGGCAGGTCCGAGATCGATGTCGTTTGGGAGCTGTGAGGTGTCGGAGAGCTCTGGATAGGGTCGATTCCGCATGGTACGGGACCCCTCGATCGTCTCGCCCTCCCTAACTGGTGTGTTTATTGGGGGGGGGGTCATAACAAACACGGTACAGGATCGAGGTGCACGCTGGACGCTGCCAGAGCAGTGTCGTCCCCCCTCTCCCCGACGGCGATGGCGGTGTGACCGATCGAGCTACAAGAGGAGCTTGTTCAGCAGGATGACGAGGTTTGCCACGAAAAAACCCCTGACTGGAAAAGGGGGCTAACTGGGCGGCCAAATTCACACCTCGCGGGACTACTTATGTTTTCGTAAACGTAGTCGTGGGTAACCCCCGCTACGTCGCACGAGTGCAACCGGGTAGGGGGGAGCTAAAATCTCTCTCTCTCCGCGTTGGTGTCCAGTCCGAGCCTGGCTGTTCTTCACCTTTCTACCTACCTACCTACCTCTCTCTCTAAGATCTCCCCTCGATCGTGCTACGGAATACTTTTGTTGGATAGGGGTGGGATTCTCCTTCGCCCTTCGGGCTCGGGCTGTGGCGTTACGCGCCATTCACCGCACAACTGTGAACGGTGACTCGAAGATCTTTCCGCTAAAATTCTTTCGCTCTCTCTGCGTGAACGCTCTGAGAGCGAGTCGTCAGGCAAAGCCAGCACTTTCCTCGTCCGCTCGCGCTTGCCGCGCCGCATTGCGCCCGACTATGCAGCCGCGAGCTTCACACCTAGACCCCCGCGACGCCTATTGCTCACGGAACCCGCCGCCCCCTCACCACCCCTACCATGCGATGCGCCCTCGCTCGCGGCGCGAGCGGCTGCACCCCCCTCGGCCTCGCACCGCCTGCCTACTCCCGCTCGCAGGTACAGCCGCTGCCATCGAGGAGGCCGCGAGACGCGTCCGCTGCTGCCCATTCCACACCCTTGTCCCGCGCGAACCCGTCCGACCGCCCTCCCTCTCTTACGCGGGTACTCGCACCGCCTCGCATCTCTGCTACATCTAGAGAGTGCCAAGACTCTGTGTCCGCAGCCGCGAGGGCCACTCGAGCGCTGGCCTGCACCTCCCATCGGGGACACCACCCTCAACCGCTTCTTGACTCTCTGCAGGAATTCATTCGATCAACATGCTCAAACTCGAGCTCGTGCCGGCCGCCGGTGACAAGCTCGTGCTCAAGCTCTCTCCTCCGCCGCCGCTTGCTGACAAGCAGGTGTGCGTTAATTTGCAGTGGCTGAGGGAGGGGGTATGCACACGCGCACCGCTGCAACGCACGCAACGCTGCGCCTTCCCTGCAAGACGACCCTCTCGCGTTCTGTGGCTGACAGGCGTCTCTGGCGGACAACACGGCCGTCGTCGACTCTGACGGAGGTAACGCCGTCGGCATCCCCTCCGAGCCCGTCTCGCTCAAGGATGGCATCGACACCGGCACCGGCGGCACCTGCACCGCCAACACCGGCACTGGCAACGTCCCGTCCGAGGGCGAGCCCGCCGGCTCGCTCGCCGGCGTCCACTTTGCGGGCGTTTCGCTCGACGCCGTGCCCGAGGCGTTCACCGTCGACGATCCGGCCGGCGCCAAGGCCGTCGGCATCCCGCCCGAGAGCGAGCCCAGCCCGCTCAAGGACGGCATTGACGCGAGCGGCGGCAACGTCGCGGGCGAGTCTTCGCCGATGAAGTCCTTCGCGAAGGTCGGAGTCATCTCCGAGTCGGTGTCGCCTTCGCTCCTCGGAGCGAAGGTGCGCGTGCGCTCGCCAGGATCGTTATCATCCCTCTCCCGTCTCTGAAAGCCTGTGCGTACTTTCCCTCGCCCACAGGCGTGCGGCGTCAAGGACACCCCCGTGGCAAAGTCTGGCACGGAGGACGTCCTCAAGAAGGACCCGGCCGCGGAAAAGGCGCCCGACGCGGGCGCGGTCGACTCGGACAAGGCCAAGGCCATGTTCGCCACCCACCCGCCCGCCGTTTTCTGGTCCAAGTTTACGCGCCCGACCGGCCCACCGACGGCCCCCACCGGCGCCGTCAAGGGCGCCCTCAAGAAGGACATCCCTGCGGCAACGTCTGGCGCGGAGGCCTGCGTTGACGAGACCGGCGCCATCAAGAACCCGGCGCTCAAGCCGGCCACCGAGGCCGCCACGGCCCTCAAGCCGGCGGAGGCCGGCGGCGCGCCGCTGCCGTCGATCAAGGAATTTCCGGAGGAGAAGAAGCCCGCCGCCACGGCGGCGAGCGCCTGGTGCGCGCCGGCGTCTGCCGACCCACTCTGTGACCCCATCCCGCGTTCGACGCGTAGGGCGACGCCGACTGGAAGGAGTTTCCAGAGGAGACGGCCGCCCCGGCGGTGAGCACCTCCCAGCAGAAGCACACGCGGGTATTGCGGGGACACGCGAGTCCTACAGGCGGGCACTTACATTGATCCTGTGACCTCTCGTCTGCCGCACGGCACGCGCGCAGGTCATCGACGGGTGGAAGACCCCCTCCCCGCTCCGCAAGATTGAGCGCAAGGAGTCTCCGCTAGCGGAGAAGCTCGCCCCGGCGGTGAGCGCCTCGCACGCTGCGGTTGTACGCGCAGAGCCTCAACTATTGACGCACCCACCGCTTGCGCGTGCGCAGGGCATCCCCGACAGGGCCACGCGCCGCAAGAAGGGGCGCAAGGGCGCGTCCGCCCCGATCGTCCGCACCAAGAGCATCACCCCGGTCGGCGGCAACAACAGGTTCGGGGCCCTGCTCAAAATGGACGGCAACGAGGGCATCCTCGGTGGCACCGGCAAGGTGACCGGCGGCTCCACGCCGCCGACCGCAGACTCGGTGCTCACCGCCTGCGTATGCGGCCTCCTCCCCCGCTCGCCGCTCTCACACGGCCAGTCTCGCGCCCTCCTGTTCAGGGCGCGACGGTCGACGTCGAGACGACCACGAATACCACGCCCGAGGGCTCTGCCGCCGGCCGGTTCCCGTGGTCAAAGTCCTACAACTTGCTCCGCCTCTTTGGCATCCTCGCGCTGTTCTGCCTCGGAGCCGCGTTTGCGCACTCCTCGTGCTCTGCCACCTCCGCGCTTCTCTCCTCGCAGCGGTACGACTCCCCGTGGCCGACATCGCCTCCCGCAACCGTCGCGAAGCCGTTCACGCCGGCATCGCCCAACGGATTCTGCGAGGTTGGCGGCAACGACACCAGCTCGTTTGCAGCCATCGTGTCGTCGGACAGCGCGCCCGCCAACCACCCGGTGCGTGCTCGCTCGCGCGTGCTAGTATCCGCGCCGCGCAAGCTCGTGACTAACAGCCCGCGCGCTGTTCAGGGCGGGCACGAGGACGGGCGCTCGTGGGAAGCACTGATGGAAGCGATCAAAGAGGCGGTGGGCGAGCCGTTGCACCTAATTGGCGAGCCGCCGGCGTCCGTCAAGGACCTTTACGAGAAGCAGCCGGTGAGCGCCCCTCTGGCTGTTTCTATGTGCGAGCTTTGTAATCCGGTTCCGGATTGTGCCTGTTGTTGGCGTGTAGGGCGGGGCCGACTTGGAGACCGCCCCGGCCTCGCGCAACACCATGGAGCGCAAGGGCGAGCCCGAGATCGACTCTATCGGTCCCGTCTACAGCAGCAGATCGGGGATCATCGTTCGCGAAACCGTCCTGCCCGTGAACGGCACGTCGCCCGAGATGCGGTCCGCCGACGCTGGGAACACGCCCGAGAAGCTGGTTGAGACTGGCCTCGGCGCGCCCGTCTCTAGCATGCACGCCGGCGGCGAGTGGCGGGTGAACAGATTGGCGACCGCTTCTCCAGCCACAACCAAGGATCTCTTCCTCCAGCTTGGCCGGGCCATCGACCCTCTTCTCGCGGAGCCGGCATGGCCTGCAGAGGTCCGTGCCGCTCAGATCTCCGATTCGAACTCGGTCCAGTCCGATATCTCCTCCGTCTCACGTGTGTGCGCCGACCGGCAGCCACGCTGCGCCGCCCCCGTTGCGTGGCATGCGGAGCCTCACCACGCACTCACCGACGAGCGCTCCATCGACCTGCCCTCCCCGTTCCACTTTCCCTTCATGAGCGGACCCTCCTCTTCCGCGCCTGTCCGCACCCAGCAGCGCTGTCAGTTTTGGGCCGCCTTGTTCGTGCTGCTCGGAGCGTGCGGCGGCGTGCTGAGCTCGGTGCGGAGGAGCAGCTCGGGGCGCCTCGTGCGGTGCCGGACGGGGGCGAGGCGTGGCGCGTGGCTGCTGATTCTCGCCGCGCTGCTCCCGCTGGCATGTGCACCATCAGACCACACGTCTGGCTCAATCGACTTCCAGGTCACTGTGGGTGGCGGCAGCTTTCAGTCCGATGTGTCGTGGGACCTGACGTGCAGCGGCGCGTTGATCGGCAGTGGAGGGGCCCCCTACTCCGGCACCCTGTCCGCGCCGCTCGGCGAGTGCACGCTCAACATGTACGACTCGTACGGCGACGGCTGGAACGGCGACTTGTGGAAGGGTGCGGGCTATACGTTCACGCTCGGCTCCGGATCCTCCGGCAGCAAAACGTTCATCCTCGCCCCCCTCCCACCGTCCTCTCCGTCCTCTCCGCCGCCGCCGCCCTCTCCGCTGTCGCCACCCTTCCTGCCGCCTCAGCCGCCCTCTCCGCCGCCTCTTCTACCCGACATGATAAGCTGCGACTTCGAGGGCGACACTTGCGCCTGGACCGACACCGCGCCGGACGGGTACTCTTGGACCCGCAGGAGCGGCGGCACTCCATCGTCTAGCACAGGCCCGAGCGGCGACCACACCACCGGCTCGGGCTACTACCTCTTCACCGAGGCATCTGGAATCTACGACACGCTGCACCAGCTCGAGAGCCCGCTCTTCTCGCTCCAGCAGGACGCCACCCTCTCCTTCTTCTACCACATGTACGGCTCCAACATGGGCACCCTCTCCATCGAGGCCAACGGCACCGAGACGGGCTGGTCGACGCTCTGGGGCAGGACCGGCGACCAGGGCAATAGCTGGCTCGAAGCGGTAGTGATCCTACCCGCCTCGACGACGAAGGTGCGCTTCAACGGCCGGACGGGGCCGGGCTGGAGGTCGGACATGGCGCTGGACGACGTCTCCTTCTCGCAGTTTACGCCTCCGTCCCCGCCGCCTCTCTCCCCCGGCTTCGATGTCGCCGCGGCGAGCGAGGCCGAGCTCCGCTCCCTGATCACGGAGGCTGCTCTTTTGCAAGCCGACGTCTCAATCTACCTGCCGCCCAGGAGGATTCGCAGCTGGAGCAGGTGCCAGAGGTGGAGCAGGTGTAGAGGTGACGAGCAACTTTGCAGTTCGGCTCAAGCGGCAAGGGTTGGATCGCGCTAACCACTTCCAGGAGTGCGCTGCGTTGGCATAGGGCGTTTTATGTAATGAGGCTTCCTCGTAACGACGAGCTAACATATTAGAGACGACTCTCTCTCATCCCCACTGTGAGCAGTCGGGATCTGTATTTGCGCAGCTAAATGTATAGAATTTACAACAAAATGTATAGAAAACGCTAAACGGCAGGGAGTTAATGTAATAATGAATATATCATTACTGACGTAATATACGGCACGTAAGTCACTCGGGTCTCGCGGCCTCCGCCCTCGCGCGGGAGGCCACGGGCGGCGTCCTCTCCCGCGGCCCTGCCGCGCGGGCTGCGTGTGATCCGTGTGTGGCACCTCTCTTAAACGACTCATAGCGGTCTCATGCATGACACCGATCTCCCCCCATGATCCGCTCCCCCTCGCAGGCTCTCACGCGCGCAGCTGCCCCGGGTCCGCGCCCAGTAATCGCGCGATGGCGTCAAAGTGGCGCAGCGCGGCGCGCAGCGCGGCGGGGTCGGAGGCGCACTCGGGCTCGCGCATGGCGAGGTGCGCGAGCTCCTTCTCGGCGACCGCGAAGCGGTGCGCCGGGAGGCCGCCGCGGCGGAACGCCACCTTGGCCTTCTCGGAGCGCGCGAGCAGCGCCCACAGCGCCGCCGAGCTCAGCGCGGAGAGGCGCAGGTCGGAGGGGCCGAGCCCGCCGAGGAGCGCCGGCATCGCGCGCGGCCGGTTGAGGAGCGCCGTCTTGCCCTCGGACGAGAAGGCGACGTTCCGCAGCGCGAGCGCCGCCGCGTACCGCGCAGAGGGCTGGCGGCTCTCGAGCCCTTCGACGAGCGCGTCAAAGGCTCCGTCGCATCGGAGCAGCGCCGTGCAGCCGTCGGCGTCAAAGGCGAGGTTGGCGAGAAAGTCGAGCACGGCGGCCGCGCGCGGCTCGTCGCGCTCCTTCGCGCCGAGCAGGAGGCGGTGCGCGAGCGAGGGCGCCGCGCCGATGCACCCCGAGCGCAGCAGCACGGTGCGCGACTCTGCGGCGGTGGCGAGCGACTGGAGGCACCGCCAGTGCAGCTGCCAGAGCGGGAGCGCCATGGGCGCCGCCGGCGGGCGCGCCTCTGCCAGCGCGGCGCGCACGAGGAGCGCAATCAGGCAGCGGCCCCGCGCGTCCGAGTAGGCGATGAGCGAGCATTTTGCCGGCGCGCAGTGCGCGACATAGTTGCAGAGCAGCTGCATCAGCGCGCGGCGGAGGGCCGGAGCGCCGCGCGAGATGGCCCACAGCTGCTGGAGCAGAAGCGGCAGCTGCAGCGAGACCGCCGCAAGCTTGGCCTCCTCGCAGCCGCAGAGCGCGTTGCTCAGGAGACGGACGCAGCAGAGGAGGGACCGCTGGAGCGCGCCGCACCGATCCGGCACCCCGCCGGCGCCGCCGTCGGCAGAGGGGCTGCCGCCGTCGAGGCTCGCCCCGCCCCCAAGGTCCTCGCCGCCGCCGCCGGGCGGGGCGGGGCCGGGGAGGGCGCAAGCGTCGCGGCGGCGAGCGGGAGCAGCGGCGCGGCGAGAGAGGCCGTAGAGGCCTTGCAGGTCGGCGATGCGCGAGAAGAGGCGTGGAAAGAAGCCGCACCGCAGCAGCGCGAGCTTGGCGGCGCGCGAGACGCCGACGAGCGCGCACAGCGCGCCGATCGCCGCGTCGACGTCTGCTGCCGAGCGCTCCGCCTCGCCCTTCATCAGCTCCGCGATGAGGTCGACCAGACCCTCCGCGAGCACTGCACCGGCCGGTGCGAGACGCGCGAGGGCAGTGGGGCGGTCTCCATCACGCCCGGCTGCCGCCGCCGCAAAAGCGCCAGAAGCGCCGTCGTCGCCGCCGACGTTGGCGCCACCCGCAGCGTCATCGTCACCGCCATCGCCATCGCCGTCGCCGCCCGGCGCGCCGGCGCTGGGGCGCAGGCTCGCTGGCCGCTGAGCGGGAGGAAGCGCCTGTCAGAGGGGCGGGGACGAGAACGCTGACGGCAGCTCGGGGCGAGACGCCGCGTCTGTGACCACCCCCACCCCCTCTCTTTCTTCCCACGGGCGCGAAGACGCGCTGCCATTCTACCGCTATCCGAGCGCACCGCCGCGTCAGCCGCCGAAGCGTAGAAGACCTCGTCGAACGACCGTGCTTCCTCGGCGCCCGCGCCGTCGGCCAAGCGCAGCAGGAGAGCCGCGGCCGCGAGCCGCAGCGCCACGGGCGAGCGCGCGGCGAGGCACGCGCCCAGCACGTGCAACCAGAGCACGCCGCCCTCACGACCGCCACCTCCCCTGCCGCCGCCGGGCAGCGCGTTGTGCGCCCGCAAGACGCACCCGCAGAGCGCCGTGCGCAGCCGCGGCACGGACTCGAGGATCAGCGCCCAGAGCTGCACTGCCGCGCACCGCGTCTCGGCGGCGCCGCTGGGCGCGCCGTCGTCCCCGCCCGACGGGCGTGCGGGTCTCAGCGCGGCGAGCGCGCGCAGCTGGTGGGCGGCCGTTGGCGGCGCCGGCGCGGCGGGGATGGCGTGGAGCTCAGCCGCCGCGCCGTGTGCGGAGAGGTCGAATGCCGCCGCGGCACACGAGAGGGGCTCGGCGAGCAGCGGCGCCAGCGCGTGCACGAGCGGCGTCGCGCGAAGCAAGAGGTCGAGGTGCGCGCCTGCCGGACATGTCACAGACATGTCAGGGACGTGTCGTGGACGGGGTTCACACCGCCTTGGAGGTGAGCGCGCCTCCCCGCGAAGCGGATGCCCACAGCAAGGAGAGCACCGCAGAGCGCGCCGCCTCGACGGCTGGCAGCGTGCCCCCGAGCCACTGCTCTGCCTGCCTCGGGTCGACGCAGCTGCCGCCATCGCCGCCATCGCCGCCGCGGCCAGAGTTGTCCAGGGCGGCGGCGCCTCCCCCGACGAGCAATCGCACCGGCGCGTCGGCACCGGGGAGCGGCGGCGGCGGCAGCGTGTTGGCCTGAAGCCGGAGAAAGGCCGCCCAATGGTGCGACACCGACAACCAGCGCAGCAGCTGACTCCACGAAGCGGGCGGCCACTGCTGGAGAGGAGAGCGGAGCAACAACGACTCGAGCAGCCGAGCCGCCTCGGCGATGAGCTGTGGCGCGGCGGCATCCTCTGCCAACGCGCGTAACGCCACGCCCGCGATGCTGCCAACAGCCACATTCTCACCGCTACCGCTGGCTGTCCCCATCGCCACCGCCGCCGCCAGCGCAGCCGATGCCGCCTCCGCCTCGGCCGCCGCGGCGGCCGCCGCCGCTTCTGCTGCCACCTCGGCCGCCGCCGCTGCGGCGGCGGCGGCGGCTGCCTCGGCCCCCGCGGTATCTCCCGCCGCCTCCGCCTCGGCTGCCGCGGCTGCGAGCGTCGCCACGCGGGGCTCGCCCGCGGCTCCCGCGGCGGCGGCGGCGGCCGACTCCGCCGCCAGCTTTGGCGCACCGCCAATGGCGCCGGCCACGGAGCCGCACTCGGAAAAGAGGCGGCGGATCGCGCGGAGCGCAGCCGTGCGTGGGAGAAATGGAGCGGTGGCGTCGGAAGCGGTGGCCAGCGCGGAGGACAGGAAGCCCGGAAGCAGCGCCTGCAGCGCCCGCCCGCCGCCGAGCGCCTCCCCCAGGACCGTCGCAACCTCAAGCACCGAAGCGCGCAGCTCTGCGTCCCGCTCCTCGAGCAGCGGGCACAGCCAGAGCAGCGCGCGGCCGGCGAAGCTGCGCGCGTCCGCCGCTGGGAGGGAGGGCAGCAGCGCGAGGGACGCTCTCAGTGCAAGCCGCTGCTCGGACACGCCGGCACGCGAACCGGCGGCGCGCGGCTGCCGCACGCTCGTGAGAGCAAGGGTGACGAGCCGCTCCGCGGTCAGCGTGGCTGCTGAGCGGGGATGGGACGAGGCCGGCGCGGCGGAGCGAGGGGAGCTCGAGGCGAGGGGCGAAGCTGGCGGGAGCGCAGCGGCAGATGCGGCTAGAAGGGCGAGCGCCGCCCGCCGCAGCGGCGGCGGCGCGGGGGGCAAGCCCGCCTCGCGGCCACAGTACTGCTCCGCGAGGACAGCGAGGAGGGCAGACTGGCGGAGGGCGGGCGCCAGCCGCGGGATTGCCTTGGCCGAGGGCGCGCGCAGCAGCGCGGCGCCAAAGCGGAGAGCGGTGAGGCGGAGTGAGACTCGAGGTAGACTCCCGCCTCTGCCACGCTCGTAACTCGTCCGCTCGAGCAGCGCCGCCCCGGAACCGAGCAGCGAGTCGAATAGCACTCGAGGAGGCGGCGGCGGCGGCGGCGGCGACAGTGGCGACAGTGGCCCCACGGCGTGCGTCGGCACAGTGGCGGCGGCGGCAGCATCGGCGTGGGCGACGAGTGCGCGCGTGAGTAGCGAGAGTAGAGACTCGAGCAGCTCATCGTCCTCGGCCGTCGCGGGAGGTGTGAGCAGCAACCGCGTGAGCAGTCCATCGGCGGCGGCCGAACGCACGGCGGTGAGGAGTGGGTGCTCTGTCGCCACCAGGTGCGCCTCGCTCTGCGCGGGGCGCTTGGCAGCGCGCTCAGGCGGGCCAAGGGCGAGGAGCGCATCATGGCTAGAGCACAGCGCGTGCAGCTCCGCCACGGCGCGCGTGCAGTCGGCGTGGTCGGCGCACTCTTCCAGCCGCTGCAAAGCACGGGCCGTGCCCAGGCAAGGGTCCAACCTCGCCGCGCGCTCCAGCGCCAAACGCTGCACACGAGCCCAGCCAGAGGCGTCGCTGGCGGCGTCGGCGGTGCCTCCGCCGACCGCGGCACCAGCGTCGGCGCTGGCATCGACCTCGTCGCCCGAGTCACCGTCTGTGGCGAAACGAAGAGGCGCAGCGGGAACACTTTGACGGCCTCCGCCGCCTGCGCCTTCGACGGCATCGACTTGAGCGTGCCCGCCGCCCGCGGCGTCTTCGTTACCAATGCCGAGCGCGGCGCGCAACGCAGCGCGGCTTGCGAGGGCACGTCGCACCGCATCGTCGGGCGGCGACAGCGGCGTCCAACTGCTGCCGCCGCCGCCGCCGCCGCCGCCGCCGCTGCCTCCGCCGCCGCCGCTGCCGCCGCACTTGAGGCGGCCGGGACAGCCGCCCGCAGATCCCCGCTCGCGGACCTCGAGTCGAAAGGCGCGCGCCACCTGTGCACGGGCGGCGCAGAGTCAGCGGACGCGGAGAGCCCCTCTCTCCACGGGCCGGCCATGCCTCGATGTGGAGCGAGCGAGGCGAGAGGCTGCTCAGAGGCGTCGCGGCGGAGAGGTCGACGGTGAGTTCGGCCTCTGCAGAGATGGAAACGGCGGCGTAGAGGTCCGCTTCGTCAAAGAGGAGAGCCTCTAGGGCGCGCCGGAGGGCGGCACGTGCGGGCGCGTAGCGAGCAAAGGCGGCGCGGCGAAGCGCGTGCAGCGCCGCGGGCGAGCGGAGAGAGGCGACGCGGACGGTGGCGCATCCCCGAAAGAGCGAGCCGAGCAGGAGCAAGAGCGAGGCGAGGAGCGGGCCGGTCTGGTCGTCCTCCTCCGCCTCAGCGCTGGCCGCGGGCGTGGTGGCGATCGCGGCCGCGGCCGCCACGGACGCCACCGCGGCCTCGAGGGAAGAGGCTTGCAACGATGCCCGCAGCAGACGGCCATCGGCGGCGAGGACAGCCGCGAGCTGCGTGGCCGCCGCCGCACGCAGCTGAGGCTCCAGGCCACCGTCGTGCGCGAGCGATTCGAGCTTTCGCGCCTCGGCGACCGTGAACGCGGCCCGCCGCACGTCGCACGCCTGCCCGCCGCCGCCACTGGCGGCGGCGTACCCGAAGCCCGCATCGAGGTCCGCGGCGGCGGCGTCCGCGGCGAGGATCTCTGGCGGGAGTGGAGGGAGGCCGTGCAGCGGCGCGGAGGGCGCGTGCACGAGCGGGGGCACGAGCGAGGAAGCGAGCTGTGAAGCAGCCTGAGGAGTGGGCGGAGGGCGGTAAGGTGCGCGGCGGAGCGGAAGAGGCGTGGGCGACACAGTCGAGCGGCCGGCACCTCCGCAGCGAGCCTGCGCTCCGAGTGGAGCAGCGCGCGCAATGCGGCCGCAAGGCGCGCGCTCGAGTCCAGCTTGGGGACCATCGCCTAAAGCAGAGATGCGCGATGGTCTCAGTCTCGCCTCAGAGCGCCGGGGTCCACGCCTCTGGACGAGCGCGCCGCATGCAACGCTTGGGCGTGGGCCTGCGCGACCTCGAGAGCGCATTCGTCGCCGCCGCCGCCGCCGCCGCCGCCCCTGCCAACCCCGCCGTCGCCGTGGCCTAGCGACGGCGCTGACGGCGGCGCAGGAAGCGCGGCTTGCACCAAGGGCAGCAGCGCCGCAAACGAGGCGCGCCAGCTGTCGCTCTGGGGAGGCCGCGAGTCGAGTGTTTGCCGCGCCGAGAGGAGCAGCGCCTGCGCAAGCCGCATCAGCCGCATCACCGCCAGCGTGCCGTCATCGCCGCCTTCTGATCCGTCGTCCCGGATGTCTTCGAGTGGGGGAGCGGGCGGGAGAGTGGGGTCGCGCGGTCTCTCGCCGCACAAGCCGAGCGCGGCTTGCACGAGACGCGCAGCGACGCGCGGGCGCAGGAGCAGCGACAGCAAACAGGACGCCGCGTCAGCCGCCGCGGCCTCGGCCGCACCAAACTCCTCGTCTCCCTCGGAGCCTACCCGCACAACTGTCTTTTGGGGCGAGGAGGAGCGGCGTGGTCGCGGTCGCCACCTCTCTGCCCCGGCGCCGACACCGGCTCGATCCTCGCCGCCGCCGCCTGCGAGGCTCTCGACGAGGCCCCGCAGATGCGGCCCGACGCCCGGCGCACGCGCGGCAGGCCCGCCCCTTTCCAGGGCCATGGCCGAGAGGAGCTGCTGCAGGACAGCGGCGCGGACGGAAAGGAGCGGGTGGGAGAGGCACGGCAGCAGCAGGCTCTCTGCGTCCGCCGCCGCCGGCGGCGCGGCACACACGTCGACGAGGTGGACGATCAGGTGCGGCATCTCATAGTACGAGAGCGCGGGCAGCGCGAGACGCAGCGCCGCCACGCGCCGCTGCATCGGCGAGGGCGGCGGCGGCAGCCGCCGGTCGCTCACCTCACCGCCCTCGTCCGGCCGCGGCGGCCAGCCCTCCTGCTCGATCCTCGCCGCGGTCCGCATCGCGCCCTCGACGGCGGAGGCAGCGTCGGCGGCGCGCGCGGCGGCGGCGTCCACGACGCGCAAGGCGGCGCGCGCGGCGGCGTGCGCGTGGGGCTGACAGATCGCCAGCCAATCGTCGGCCGCGAGCGCGGCCAGCAGCCGGCCGAGCGCCGGCGGCGCCGCGGCGGAGAGCGTCTCCGTCGGCGGGGTGCGCACCGCGACGAGGGCGAGGAGCAGCAGCGGCGTCGCGGCCGCCGCTCGGGCATCGACGCGCCGCCGCGTGGCGGCGACGGCGACCGTCGCGTCGGCCGCACTCAGCATGCGGCGGTGCTCGAGGGCCGAGCAGAGGAGGGTGTAGTAGTCACGCCACAGGCCGGCGGCCGCGCGCGCCGCGTCCGCGTCCGCGTCCGCGCGCGGGCAGTGCAGGAGGGGCAGCGTCTGCAGCAGCAGCGGGACGCAGGCGGGCAGAGAGCTGTCGAGGCGCAGCAGCGGAGTCACCGAGCGCCACACCGCGTCCGCCAGCGCCCACACGGGCCACGCCGCCTCCTCGGGCGCACCCGGCGGCGCCGCCCCGGCGCGGACCGCCCCGGCACGCGGCAGGCGGTTGGCGTCGCCGTCAAGGGGAGAAGGCGTCGTCGCTCGCCCCTCGCTCAGCAGAGCGATCGCGTCGGCGTGGGCGGCCACCCACGCGGCGCCCGCGGCGGCGGCCTCGCGCGGCGGCGCCGAGGCGCAGAGGAGCGGCTCGTACCGCCGCCTCAAGTCCTCCGCCACGCGCCGCACCAACTCGGCCGCCGCGCCGAGCGCACAGCCCGCGATCTCGCCGATCTCGAGGTCTGCGCCCTGGGAAGCGCACGCGCGCAGCAGCGAGAGGAGCGAGCGGAGCAGCTGGGGCCGCGCCAGCAGCGCCGCGGCGGGGAGGTCGTGGACGAAGACGCCCCCAAAGGCGCCGCACGCCCCGCGCAGCACCCGCGAGTCGCCCATCGAGAGCTGCACGCCGAGCTCAAAGAGCGCGCGTGAGTCGCCGTCGCTCAGGGCGCAGGGCGGCAGCGCCATGCTCCGCGACGGCCGCACGGCCCCCGCGGACTCGTCCGTGTCGCACGCCGTCGGTCGTCGCGCCTCGGCGCGTCGCTTGCTAGCGGCGGCGACCGCCGCGGCCGAGGCCGCGGAGGCCGCAGAGGCGGCGGTGGCGGCGGTCGCGGCGGTCGCGGAGGCGGTCGCGGCGGCGGCGGCGGCGGTCGCGGCGCCCTCGCGGGCCCAGCTGCTATCGTCGCACAGCTGCGGGGATCGAGTGCCGGGCGCCAGCCGGGTGGGCGGCGGCGAGCGTGCTCGCGCGGGCGCACCTCCGCCGCCGGCGGCGAAATCGGCCGCCTGGCCGCCGGCCGAAGCGGACAGCGCCGCCTCGATGGCGGCAATCTCGCTGGACAGGCTCCCGCCCGTGGAGGCGTCGAGGCGGCTGAGCGCGGGCAGCGAGCCGAGCCCGAGCAGCACGGCGCGCGTGGGCCCGTGCGAGGCGATCGACTCGAGGAGCGCCAGCGCCAGCCGGCGCTCTGCGCCTCCTCCTCCGGCCTCGCCATCGAGGATCGCGAGCAGGGCCCGCGGGAGGACGCCGCCCGTGGCCTCCGCGAGAGAGGAGGGAGTGAGGAGCCCGCAGCTCAGCTTGGAGTGCAGCGTGCGCAGCGCCCGCTCGCGAACCTCCGCGATCGGGCTGCTGAGCTTGGCGGAGAGGGCGAGCAAGTGATCCTGCATACCCGCCGGCCCAGTCACACCCGCCCGCCGGAAAGCCTCGCGGGGAAGCTTCACGGGTTCGAGCCGTCAAACATTGACAGCGGAGGTGTGCCGAGGGGGACCGGGAGGCGGTAAGCCGTCGTCGCCCGGCGCTGCATGCAGCACCGTGGCGATGGCGCTAAGAGGTTCCTCTTTTCCGCGCCCCCCCCGCAAGGCGCGCGATACAAGCCTCGCGTTACACACAGACCGGTCCATGTTTCTTTCTTTTCTATACACACCTTACTACCTACCTACCTACACCGTCGTCTCCGCGTTGGTGTCCAGTCCGAGCCTGGCTGTTCTTCACCTTTCTACCTACCTACCTACACACGTACCCTTACACGCGTACATATACTCGAGTACACACTGAGAGAAAGAAAAATCTCTCTATCACACTGAAGGAGACAGAAGGGGGGTGAACCGCGCATATCCTCGATCGCCGTGCAAAGCTCGGTTGTGAGCTCTCACGCCGCGCGTCGGGCCTTTAGGGGCCTAGAGAACACACACCCCTCTCCCTTTTCTCCTTAGGCTAAAAGTACGTATACACTGTCACTGAACACTCGGTTCGCACCTCTTTTCCGGGCGGCTTGCGTCCTCGCGTCCACGGACCCGCCGTACCGCGCCGCGCCGGTGTCCCACTCCCAGACCGAGCCTGTTCATCACTTTTAATGGCGATTATGGGGGAGGCGGCTAGCCCCCCCGACGCCTATGTGCGTCATCAGGGAGGGCGTTCCTTGTCTTGCCCCGCCGCGAGCGCCGCCGTGACGACTCGCGCGCTTCTTCCGCGGGGCCCCTTGGGCGGTGTCCTTGAGTGTCCTGACGACGGCGGCTCTCGCGCGCGCGCGCGCGAGAGAGAGAGAGAGAGAGAGAGAGAGAGAGAGAGAGAGAACGACAAAAAGAACGATAACTCCAAGATAAAAGGGTAGGTAAAGAAGAAGACACGAGAGCAACAGGGTAGAGAAGGGTGGTGTTTAGAAACACCGGGGGTTTGGAGGAGCCGGAAGCTTACGCGCGCTCTCCGCGGATGCGGCGGGCCAGCTGGATGTCCTTGGGCATGATGGTGACGCGCTTGGCGTGGATGGCGCACAGGTTGGTGTCCTCGAAGAGGCCGACGAGGTAGGCCTCGGACGCCTCCTGGAGCTCGACGACGGCCGACGACTGGAAGCGCAGGTCGGTCTTGAAGTCCTGCGCGATCTCGCGCACCAGGCGCTGGAAGGGCAGCTTGCGGATCAGGAGCTCCGTCGACTTCTGGTAGCGGTATGGAGCATACAAGAAGAGGAGAAAGAAGAGGAGAGACACCAGTGATGACGAAACAGAAACTAGCGCAGACGAGGAGCAGGGCAGACCCGGGGACTGGGGAGTCGGAGCATACGGCATCGGCCGCCGAGGGGACGTTGGGAAGAGGCACGAGGAGGGCGGCGACCTCAACCGACTATGGAGGACCCGTCACCAGACGACGCAGGGCAGACGACGGGGAGGCGGAGCAAACGCGCAGGGCGAGACGAGGGAGGGAGCAGGACGTTGCGGAGATCAGCAGGAGGATGTACGAAGAGATTAGGAGCAGCAGGGACCCGAGGGACCATGTGGAAGACGGCTAGTGCTACATACAACTGTAGTCCCCCGTCGGGAGGACGACCCCGCTAGTGCCGACCACACCCACAAAGAACCCTGCACAAAGATCGCACGGGCGGGGACCTGTTCCTTTTTAAAGAAAGAAAGAAAGAAAACAGACAACCCAAGGGGGGATGTCCAACCCACCCGCGCTAGGTAAGGTCTCGGGTTTGACGCATGGGGTCACTCCCGCGAAACTCGTAACTAGCCGGGGCAGTCGGAGAAGGGGCAACTCCGTGCACTGACGGTCGGCCGCCAGAAACCACGCCTGCGTGGATCGCGTCACACCAATCCTCGCTACCCAACGCGGCCAAAGGATATCCACCTCGAGAACCTCGAGAAGGGGGGATGGGAGGACGGCACGCCGCCACCACACAGGGATTTTAAGAAGCGGGGTGTGGTGCGCTATCCGTCGCCCACCCTTGGGCGTCTGCCTCTTCCTATCTCTCTTCGCAGTCCCTCGCTGCAACCTTGTCACGCACGTACTGCTTCTTCTGCTGCCGGTGATGCGCCGCCATCAGCTGCGCCTGGACCTCGTCCACGTTCCGCTGCGCCCCGTGGGGCCCCGGCGGGCACTGCACGCCACCCTCTACCACCACCGAAGGGGGCGCCAACGCCCGGCGACGTCGACGCCGAAGACGGCGCGTCGCCTCGCCGACTGCCCAGCCGAAGCAGGAGACACTAGATCGTCATTGGGATTGGCGAGGGAGCCGCTTGCAAGGGTCATCCCATCGACGGCGCCGTCAAATAGAGGGCGGAGGAGCCGAACTCGTGGTCCATATCTCTGTGGTCGGCCGACAGAGTTCCAGCCAGAAGACGTGCACGGCGGGCACTCACGGCAGAAAGATACTTTTTTTCACGCGCGCGAGCGAGCGCGGCGCGCGCGCGCGCGCGCCATGTCCACCTCCATCGCTCCATGTACCGCGCTGGTGTCCGAGCCTGGCTGTTCTTCACCTTCCTACATACATACATACGGCGCCAGGAATACATACATACGGCGCCAGGAAGCACGGGCTCCCGTTTTTTAGCTACTCGTCCTCCTCGCTGCCGTCAGAAGAGACTGGCGTGGGCGACCGGCTCGCCCACGCCTCGATCTTCTTGGGCAGCAGCTGGTTCGACAGGTCCTCTCCGTGGCCTAGGCAGCCATGGGTGACCTCGCCCCAGGTCCAGGCGGCGCCGTTGGCCGTGATGGCGATGCTATGATCCTTTCCCGCCGACACATCGACGACGCGCTGGTCAGCAAAGGCGTCGATCTTCTTCGGCTGCCGCTGGTGCTGCTCGTCGCCGTGGCCCAGCTGGCCAGAGCTTCCCTCGCCCCAGCTCCAGACGGCGCCGTCGGCGGTGATGGCGATGCTGTGGCAGTCCGCCGACACAATGACGACGCGCTGGCCAGCAAAGGCCTCGATCTTCTTTGGCTGCAGCTGGCTCTGCTCGTCGCCGTGGCCCAACCGGCCGCTGCGACCCAAACCCCAGCTCCAGACAGCGCCGTCGGCGGTGACGGCGAGGCTGTGAGACCCTCCAGCCGACACAGCGACGACGCGCCGGCCAGCAAAGGCCTCGATCTTCTTTGGCTGCAGCTGGTGCTGCTGGTCGCCGTGGCCCAACTTGCCATTGTATCCACTGCCCCAGCTCCAGACGGCGCCGTCGGCGGTGACGGCGAGGCTGTGAGACCCTCCAGCCGACACATCGACGACGCACCGGCCAGCAAAGGCCTCGATCTTCTTCGGCTGCCGCTGGTGCTGCGCGTCGCCGTGGCCCAGCCGGCCTGCGATTCCATCGCCCCAGCTCCAGACGGCGCCGTCGGCGGTGAGGGCGAGGCTGTGCAAGAGTTCAGCAGACACAGCGACAACTCGCCGACCAGCAAAGATCTCGACCTTCTTTGGCTGCCACTGGCTCTGCTCGTCGCCGTGGCCCAGCTGGCCACAAGAACCCTCACCCCAGCTCCAGACGGCGCCGCCGGCGGTGAGGGCGAGGCTGTGGCCAACTCCAGCCGACACGCTCACGGCGCGCTCGTCACCCAATGTTGACGGGAGGCGGGTCGGTGTGTTGAGCTGCGTCACGCCCTCGCCGTGGCCGAGAAGGCCTGGCAATTCCTCCTCCTCCTCCTCCTCCTCCTCCTCTTCGCCCTCCGTTGCCGCTGACCCGCACGACGAGAGCCGCCCCTCACCGTCGATGAAGACACTGTGCCGATCGCCTGCCGCAGCCCTCGCCGGCGGGTTGGACTCGCGCAGCAAGGCATAGTAGCACAGCCACCGCACGGCGCAGCTCTCGCCCTCTGGCTGCGCCGGCGGCTCGTAGCCGGCCTCTTGCAGGCGCAAGCGGATGCCCGCCTCCGCGAGTGAGGCGTGGAAGAGAAGCGAGACGGCCGCGACGCGAGCGATGTCGATGGGGTCGCAGCGAGAGAGGGCGCGCTCGAGGAGGTCCGTGGGGAGGTCGAGGAGGCGGAAGGGCGGCGGCGTGCTCGGCGAGGGGGCGGCGGCGGCGGCGGCGGCGAGGCGGCGCGAGCGGCGGCGCGGCGGGGTGGACATCGCGAGGGGGAGAAAGAATTTTACAACCCTCAGAACACCTCCATTGGGTTTTCTGTTTTCTTTCTTTTACCGGGCACGGGACTGTGTGTGATGTGTGTGTGTGTGTGTGTGCCTCGCTGATCCCGCCTGGGATGTTGGGTGTGAGGTGTGGCGGCTTCGAACCCAAGGGGGGGAGATGATCCCATCAGTAACCAACTCTCAGGGGCAGTAGGTGGGCGAGCCTCAAGCGCGCCGTCATCTCGATCGCCCAGGCGTCGCTACGCGCGGTCTTCCGCGGGGGGAGCTTCGTCGACGGGTGCGGGACCGCGGCGCAGACAGTGCTGCGGCGATGCCTCCGGCTGCCGCTGTGGCGAGTGGCTTGTGCTGCTCGCTGCGACGGCGAAGAACTCGTCTCGTCACACGCCAAGGGCGTATGCTCTGTCGGGACGTGACTGAGGCGCATGCGCCCAGGAGGGGAGGGCGCATGCGTAACGACGCTGCTAGAGATGCCTTTCGGGGCCCAGAGATAAAACTTCTGATGCCATGCGTGACCTAGTAGTGTCCCCAGCTAGGCGCGTCAGCTCGGCTTGGCGTAGCGATCGTGGCCAGCGCAACTCGCCTGGACTCAACGCTCAGCCAGGAGCTCCCGCACGCGCTGGCGCGAGTCATGGCGCATGCAACGCGTCTGAATGCTCGCCTCGCCTCGCGCAAATGCGACCGTCCTCGCAGCCGATAGTCCACCGCCTGCTAAAGAAGCACAGCGACGAATGCGGCACCGGCGACGCATGGCAGGCTGGTCATGACGCAGTTATAGGGTGTTGTGTGCCGTCAGAGTGACCGTCTCTGTGTGTCAGTGATAGTCAGGGCCGTCCATCAGAGCTCCAGTAAGCTCGGAGACACCCCATTAGTGCGACTCGACCTCTTTGAGTCACTGCCTTCCCGGCGGTTTGGCTGTAGAGCCTCTACAACAAACTCTACAGCAAAATCGCGCTCTACATCGCTCTACAACGCACCCGCCTCGTCACGCAGCCGATGTAGAGCTCTACAGCTCTACAGCGCTCCAGAGCGCTCTACATCTCTACAGCTCTACAGCGCTCTACACTCTACATCCTCTACACCCTCCCTCAGTGGGCACCCTCCCTAACCCAGCTCCCAGGGCCGGGCGGGGAGCTAAAGAAGCGCACCCAGCGGGCTGGATGCTCGGGGACGGGCTGCGGGCAAGAGAACCCTGGCCCTGGGGGGTGGTGCGCGGTCGCAGGGCCATAACACGGGTCTCCGAGGGTTGGTTCTGCGCTTTGCCTTTGGGTTTCCCCTAGCGACCGCCCCGAGCAATACGTGTACTCGACGATAATACGAAAACACGCACCCCCTTCCCGACGCTGCGTCATGCCCAGAGCACTTGGGGATTGCCGCGGATTTTCTTCCCCTGCTGTGAGACAGGCTTCTGCTTAAGAATTCTTCCCCTGCTCACCCGCCGAGCGCCGGGCGCTCGAGGCGATATGGACGGTGTCGCATCGCCAGCCGCGCTCTCGCTACGCCCGCGCCGCCCGCGCCGCCGCCGCTGAACTCCCGCCTCCTCCCCGCAGCCCTGTACGACCTCTCTCAATTGCTGGAGACGGGGCTCGACCGAGAGACGCTCGCGGTGCTGATCGGGTTGACCGAGCAGGGCGTCAATCCCGAGGTGTGACACACTGCCTGCACACCATCCTTCACCCGCCGCCGCCTCTCGCCACCTCATCCAGCCCTTCCTCTCGCACTGCGCAGGCCCTCGCCGCAGTCGTCAAGGAGCTGCGGAGAGAATCTGCTGCGCTGCGCGCCGCTGAGGCCGAGGCCGCGGAGGTCGAGGGCGGGTCATAGCCTGAGTCCCGTCGCCGCATGGTTGTTCATTGTGTCCCTTATTTTGTTCTCGTTGTGTGGGTACTTACCTTTGCGCGGTGCCGCGACGCCGCCACCTGTGCATGCAGAGGCCAGAGCCGAGCCACTGGTGAAAGCCGTACGGTATGCGCGACGGCCGACGCAAATTTTCTTCTTCTCACACACCAGTGATCGCACGGCTCAAATTTTCTTCTTCTCACACACCAGTGATCACACCGGCACACCGGCTGGGTTTCTCTCTCTCTCTCTCGTTACGAGTGCATCGTTCTTGGCCGCCTCGCGAACGACTGCGACAGGCCGGCGCTGGGAAAGAATGGCGTCGCCAGCGGGTTGAGCCGCAGCGCGTGCGGGGACGCCAACGGACGTTGGCCGCGCGGGAGAGGCGGGAAGACATCGAAGGGCGACGGGGGAGGGCCGCGAGGGAGCGGCGGAGGGCCTCTGGGCAGTGGGGCAGGGGGCCGCGAAAGCGGCGGAGGGCCTCGGGGCAGCGGCGGCTGTGCCCACGCCGCGGTCTCGGGAGCGTAGGGGGCGGCGGTGTGGGGCGCGTCGGGGTATCGTCGCCACTGCCCATACGCGTGCCCGCCCTCGGAGGTCCCTCTCTCCACCAGAGACATGCGCTGCCTCCCGCCCGGCGCCGACTGCAAGGGCGGGAGGTGCTGCGGCGGCGGCTGCGGCGGCCACGGCAGCGGCGGCTGCTGCGGCGGCGGCTGCAGCGGCCACGCCTGGGGCTGACGCCACGCCTCGTGTGCGAGACGCGGCGGCAGGACGACGCCGAAGGCCGCCGCCCACGGCGCACTGCTGCTGCTGCTGCTGCTGCTGCTGCTGCTGCAAGCGAGGGCGGGAGCAGAGGGGGCGGCGGCTGGCACTGGCCGCGCCTGCCGCGCCTGCTCGGCGGCGGGCGCGCTCGGAGACTCTGCCGTTGTGCCAGCTGCCTGGCACAATTGGTTGTAAGCGGCGTCGGCAGCCTTGAGCTCCGTGCGCGTCGCGCGGTGCTGCTCGATGCCTGCGCGGCCGGCCTCCTCGGGCTGGATGAGGCGCTCGATGGCGCCGAGCCGCTGCGCGAGGCTGCCCTCGCTCGCCGCGCCGAGGCTGCGCTCCAGCAGGTCGACACGGCAGGCGAGGTCCGTCTTGGCCGTCATCACCGAGGGAGCAACGCCAATCCGCTCCTCGCACCAAGCCGCTCGGCGCACCAGGCCGCTGCGACCCTCGAGCAGGCGGGGACACTCCCGCGCGGGGCGCCTTCTGTCTCCGGCCTTGGCCTCCAAATCGGCGGCGAAGAGTTCCAGGTCGGATCCGGCTGCGCCGCGCTGAGGGGCGCTGGCGGGCGGTGCGGATGGTGCAGGCGATGCCAGCGTGAGCCAGGGATCGCCGGCTTTGAGGACCTCGATCTTTATCTGCGGGCATTGTTCGGCGAGCTGGGCGAGCTTGGGGAGCTGGCCCTTGGCTTCTGGGTGCGCCTTGTAGAACTCAGCGATGCCGGACGAGCCGCGGAGGCGTTGGCCTGGGCGGGATGCGATGAAGGCGAGGAGGGCGGGGAGGTGGGAATTGCGAGCCGCGGCGAGAGGGGCAGATTCGGCCACCAGCGCCACGGCCTGGGAGTCCGCCTCCGCGCCGGCCGCCGCCTCAGCGACGGGCGGGTCAGCAAGAGCGGGCGGAGCGCTCGCGTCGCCGGCAGCAGCCTGCGCGCGGTGCCCGATGAGCGCCTTGAGAGGCCGCCCGTCAGCGACCCACTGGTGGACCAAGGCCACCTCGCTTTCCCAGCTGGCCGCGGGGTCGGAGAGGGAGAAGGGCGCGTCGTGCGCTAGCTTCAAGCCCACGGCCTTGACCAAGACCTGGGGCTGCCCGGCTGCCTTTCTTGTGAGCACGCGCCCGGCCTGGACGAGCCTCGCGGCTTCGCCCCTTGTTTTGCAGTGGCCGCGCTGCACGAGGAGGTCATCGACGCGAACGAGATCCGCCGCCGCGTCACGTGCCTTCCGCGCGGCCTTGGTCTCGGCGCACGACCGAATAAACTCATCGGCCTCCGCCACTCTCCGATGCGGAGGGTCCTTTTTGGCCAACGTGTGATCCGCGAGGCTCTGCCGACCCCTGAACCTGGCGGAGCAGACCGTGCACTGCCAGTAGACTGTCTTCCCTGAGGTGGAGCTGACCGTGACGTTGGACAGAAGGCCGTCGGTGCCGGTGGCGCCCGCAGCGGCCCGCCGCGCCTCCGCTTCAGGTTGGGCAGACTCATCGCTCCCAAGCGGTAGAGCAATCTCTCCTTCCTCGAGATCGTCGGGAGCGGCAGAGGTGTCAGCAGGCGCGGCGGCGGCCGAGCTAGCTGGCCAGAACGGCGCGCCGAGCGGGCCGACGACCTCGGTGATGAAGGCGAGCAGCGGTGAGAGTCGAGGGTCAGCGTCTGCCTCGCACAACGTTCCCTTTTGCCTTTTGCGGTCTTCGGACCTGTCCAGCGCTGTGCGACCGCGCTTGGTCTCTCGACGCGCGATCGCCTCCGCCGACCAGACGGTCATGTGGCCGCGGCCGCCGAGTGGACCTCGCAAAGAAATACAGAGCTAGGGGTCAGGGCTCTCTAGCCCGTAGCCCGATCCCGATCATCCGGCCCGCTGGATGCGCTTCTCAGCTCACCGGCCCTGGATGTGAGGTTACCGAATGCACTCCAAGTGCTCCAAGTGCCCCGGCGAAAAAATTGATGCTCCCATCCCTCCCTTGGGCTGTATGTTTTCTTTCTTTTCTTTAATTCATTCTGAGTGTTGGCGTTCTCCAGCCAGTGAGTGCGTTGGCCGTTGCCCCCACGCTCGCCCCGGTCCCCGCGGCCCGCTCGCAATGTCCTCCCCAGCCAGCCAGTCTTACACGCGCCCGTGTGACAGCGCCGCCCCCTGAAACAGCCCCCCCAGCTCCGCCCTCAATGCAGCCAGCGCTCAGGGAAGGGGAACGGTCCGGCTGGCCCGTGCTTGAGCCAGAACTCCTCCGGGCTCTGATCCATAAAGCGAGGCACGCGGCGTAGTCCCTCCAGCACCTCGGCGCGGCGGCCCGGCACCTCACTCGGCGGCAGCGAGCGCGCGGACTCACCCGCGCCGGGCCGCTGGCGCTTGGCACCCGCACCCAAGTCGCACGGCACCGCTGTGCGCTTGCCCAGCGCGCCCAGCCCCTGGTCGTTGCCGCCTGCGCTGCTCGAAGCGACGGTCTCGGCGCCCGCCGCTAGGCCGCTCGGCTTGCACCACGCCACGTCGAGCAGCGCGTTGAAGGCGAGGACGTGCGAGACGGGCGCGAGGACGTCTGCAGTCAGCTGCTCCGCCTTCGGAAGCGGGGGCAGCGCGGCGCAAGGCCCCGCGAGCTCGCCCGCCGTCGGCAGCGCCTTGAGCCGCAGCCCGCTCTTCTCATTGCCGCCTCCCCACGACGCGTGGCCGACGACGACCAACGCGCGGGGGCCCGTCGGCGCGAGGTGCCACACCACGCGCCCGACGCGAGTGTCCGCCTTCCGACCGCCGACCACCCCGCCCTGCTGCCCCTGCTGCCCCTGCTGCCCCTGCTGCCCCTGCTGCCCCTGCTCCCCCTGCGGCCCCTGCGGCCCCTGCGGCCGCGCCGGCTGCGCGCGCAGACCCGCTTGCAGCCGCAAGAGCGCCGCCGTCGTCTCCTCGTCGAGGGGGCGGAACCAGCACTCCGCGTCCGCCTCCGAGGGCCGCCAATCGAGGGCGGCGCCGGGCCACGGCAGCAGCTCCTCCTTTGCGATCTGCGCCAGGCTGGCCTCGGGCACGAGGCTGCCGTCGCGGCCATGCGCGCCGCCGTCCGGGAGCAGCCGGTAGCCTCGCAGCCCCCAGATCCGCCACGCCGAGCCCGGCAGCCGCGTCTTGCCGCCGAGCGGAACTGCCGAGCCGTCGTCGAACTGCCAGCGCCTGGGGTCCGTCTTGTTGGGCTCGCGGTACTCGCGGTGCGCGCCCGCCTCAAAGTGGGCGGTGATGCGCCGCTCGCACTCGTCGGGCGGGAGCGACTCGCTGAACCAGGGGCGGAGCAGGCCGATCGAGTACCAGTGCGCTGAGTCCGCCGGCCAACACCGCCACGTCGGCTCGCCTAGGCACGTCAGCTCGCGCGTGCCGAAGGTGACCACGACGCGGACGCCCCGCGTGTGGAAGGCGGTGAACGCGTTGCGTCCACCAGCCCGCTTGCCCTCGAGCAAGTCGTCGGGCAGCGCCTCCGGGAGGCACACCTCGAGCGAGGTGAGCGCCTGCACCACGTCCCCAAAGAGACCATTCATGGCAGCCTCGACGGTCTGGTAGCGGCGGATCTCGCGGAGCGCGACGGTGCCCGGGCGGTAGCGGTGCGGCTTCTTGACGCCGCCGGTGGCGGGGGCCGACTTGCGCGCCGCCTTGGTGGCGAGCTGCTTGCGGGGCGCCTTGCCGCCGGTCGACTTGCGCGCTGTCTGCTTGGTGCGTGCCATGGCTGTTTGAGAGTGGTTGGTTGACGGGCTCTGTGCAAAGGTTCTCTGGGACCTTGACGGGCCAAGGGCGCGGGTGAGGGGCAAAGCCCTGCAGCGGCGCGCTCGCCCCGAGGAGTTTCGATCAATCCATGCCCTTTGGTCGGCCGCCGCCCCACGCCCTCCCCCTCCGCCCGCCCGGCGCCCTCCTCCGCCTCTCGCCGCCGGCCGCGTGTCCCACGTCGCGCGCCCCGCGCGAGGCCGCGACGGCGGTGGCGGGCTCGGAGGGGGCGGCGAGGGCGGCGGCGGGCTGGCGGTGACGGACTGGGCGGCGGCGGCGGCGGCGGCGGCGGCGGCGGCGGCGGCGGGCTCGCAGGCGGTGGAGACGGAGTCGGCGGCGATGGCGGAGGAGGCGACGGCGGTGGAGGTGGGGGATGGCGGCGAAAGCGGTGGCGCGGTGGCAGGCTCGGGGCTGGCGGGCTGGGAGGTGGTGGCCGGGGGCGGCGGCGGCGATGGTGGTGGTGGCGGTGTAGTGGACGATGGTGCCGGCCACCGGCGCACGCAGAGAGACTGGCGTCACGCCAGGCCGCGCGCTCATCGAGAGCAGCGGCTCGAGGGCAGCGGCGCGAGTGAGGTGACGGCTACCTCGCTGAGCTGCTACGGCGGCGGCCGCCGGGCGGCGAGCGCGCTGTGCGCCTCAGTGCAGTGCGCGCGCGTTCCTCTCTCAAGGCCCACGTCGCAGGGCCGACGATGATGCCGCCCCGCCGCCGCCGCCGCCGCCGCCTCCTCCTCGCCGCCTCCCTCGCCCGCGCGCGGCTTCTCTGCTGCCCGGCTGCCCAGCTGCCGAGGCTGAAAGGGCACCGCCTGCGTGCCAAGCGGGCAGCGGTACTCGTGGGCCGTTGCAAAGGGCGACAGCGCGAGAGGCGGGAGAGAAGAATGGGTGCCCGGCAGATGCGTCCTGGAGAGATGGTCTCAGTGTCGTGTCGTGATGCCCGTACCTCCGGTGCCCGCGGCAGTTCGGCCGACGGCTCACTCATCCACACGGCGGCGGACCGGATCGCCATCGGAGGCGGAGCGCCGCCGCATCCGCCCCGCCACCGCCGTTTGGGCAGTGAGAGAGGGCGCAGGCGGTCGACGGGAGGAGGATGTGGGGGGGTCTCGAGCGAGTTGTGGGAGAATTGGAGCCGCTCCGTTCGAGTCGATCGCTCCTGCGCGGCGGGCGAGGGGACTCGTGAGAATCCGGAGGCGGCGCGTCAGATCGTGGACACGAGATTAGGGCACAGCCAAACAGAGGGGCGCAGCTCAGCGAGAGCGGCTCACGAGATGATGTGAAAGTGAAATTCGTGGCAAGATGCCGAATATGGGGGGTGACCGGACACCTGATTGCCCGCCTGTGCGCCGATCAGACCAAGCTGCGGGCATGCAGCCGTGCCCCGGCTCAGCGCTTGCGGCGACGAGTCGGCGAGCCCTGCGGCTGTCACGATCCGGCCCGGAGGGCGCGACGAGCCATCCGCGGCCGTCGGCGTGGGCGAGGGTGCCGGGCAGGCGGACGAGGAGGGTGGCGAGGGCGGCGGCCGTGCTGCGCGGGCGGGCGAGTGGGCGCGACGTCCTTCGGGCGCCTTGCAGCGCGCCGCTGCAGGGTTTTGCCCCTCACCGCACTCTGAATCCCAGCAGGGCTGGAGCCCCCTTGCAATTCACCGACCGCACAACCAACACAAACAGCAGACATGTCTGGACGCGGAAAGGGCGGCAAGGGACTCGGCAAGGGCGGCGCGAAGCGCCACCGCAAGGTGCTGCGCGACAACATCCAGGGCATCACCAAGCCCGCCATCCGCCGCCTCGCGCGCCGCGGCGGCGTCAAGCGCATCTCGGGCCTCATCTACGAGGAGACGCGCGGCGTCCTCAAGGTGTTCCTCGAGAACGTGATCCGCGACGCGGTCACCTACACCGAGCACGCGCGCCGCAAGACCGTCACCGCCATGGACGTCGTCTACGCGCTCAAGCGCCAGGGCCGCACGCTCTACGGCTTTGGCGGCTAAACAACCGGCCACCCAATCCCCGGTGTTTCTAAACACCACCCTCCTGATAAACAAACTTCAGTTTTATGACACCTCTGTCTCTGCTCCAGCGCTTTTATGCCACCAAAGAGGAAGAAGAGGCCCAGCCTTCGGCTTGAAGTGCAAAAATACAAAGCTGCTTCGGCAGCCGATGAATCTTATCGGCACGCAGGTCAAGTTCTTGACGACGAGCGATCGAGAGGACGTACCGTACCAAGTATCGATTCTGTATAGAATTGCAAGGCGCACACGCTGGTGCAGGCGGCGAGTCGTTGATCCGACTCGTTCCGACGTGAAGTCGCCGTGAAGGTTGGCAAACAGGGCCATTTTTGCCACATTTTGCCCTCTCGCGCGATCTTCTCGCGTCGGCAAGCGCGCGGGCCAGGATGGGGGAGCCGGTCCCGCCACGCTGGACGGGCCAGCGGCTGGCGCGCGCCGGGGTCCCCGGCGGCGCGGCGGCCTCATCGCGCTCGTCGTCTGCGAGGTCACCGCTCGGCGTCGCCGTGTCCGACGGCGATGGCGCTTGGCTGTGAGGTGGGATGGCGGCATGGTGCGCGCGGGCGTGGGGGTGGTGCGGGATGCGCGTGCCAGCAAGCATAGTTTCACCTCCCCAACCCCGCAGGCGCGCCGACGTGCTGCCCGAGCGCGTTTGGGGGCAGCAGCAGCTCCTCGCGAGGCGCCTTCGGAGGGGTGCCACACCCCTGTCCCAGCCGCGCGCGAGTTGAGCTCCGATTTGCGCTCTTTTTCGCACACGCCCGACGCTATTAGGTGAGGATCGACCATCCTCCGCTAGCAGGGCTTCGTCGGGCGCTTGGTACGTATCTTATGCCCGAGTTCATTTTACTATTCCTGCCGCTCGTCATCCTCCGCCTCGAGGGCGTACGCCAGCGCGCTGCGCTGCACACCCCGGCGCACAGGAGGCGGCGCCGGCCGCACCTCGGCCGCCTCGGCGTCGCCCGCGGCACGGGCGCCCCGCTCGCCGTCCGCGCGGTCCATCGCCGCATCCGCCATCCCCATCCTCGTCTGCGGCAGCGCCGCCTGCGCCCGCGCCGGCCTGCTCTGGGACGGGGGGAGCATGTGCCACCACCGCCGATCCGAGTAGCCGTCGTACTCGACCTGGTGCACGATCTGTCCGTCCCGGTCCTCCTCCCGCGCCATGACGGTCGCAGGGTACCACCGCTCACTGTCGCAGAAGATCTCGAGGCGCGATCCGGTGGGCAGGACAGTGTGGCCGTCGAGGGCCGCCCTGGCATCCTCGCGCTGTCGCTTCCGCCGCTTCGCCTTCGTCTCCTTGCTGCGCAGCAGGGTGTAGTTCGGGCCCACCTCCGCCACGCTGTCCAGCACGTGGGCGGCGCTCGCCATCTCGACCGCGTCGTCCTCCGGCGGAAGCTCCGCGTCGCCCGCGGCCGCTTCCCGAGCGCGCTCGTCGCGCATCCGCTCGTGGTGGGCCTGCCGACGAGCCACGCCGGCGCCCGTGTGCCTCGAGTGCGCTCAAGTGCTCCGGCAGGCTGGCGCAGCGATCAACCAAGCCAAGGCCAATGGCGCCACGCCGCTGCTCATCGCGAGCGAGAACGACCACCTCAACATCGTCCGGCTGCTTCTCGAGGCCGGCGCGGCGATCAATCAAGCCGCAGCGGATGGCGCCACACGCCGCTGTACACCGCATGCTGTGGCAAGGCCACGTCGACATCGTCCGGCTGCTCCTGGAGGCTGGCGCGGCGGCCGACCAGGCCGCAGAGGAGGGCGCCACGCCGCTGTTCGTTGCGTGCGAGAATGGCCACCTCGAGGTCGCCAAGCTCCTCTCCTCCTACGGCGCCTCCCGCGCCGCTACGCCCTTCGGCACGCCCGAGAAGGTCGCAAACCGCCGCGACCACGCCGACCTCGCTGCCTGGCTGGTCGCCAGCCGCGGCTGGACGCCGCTCGCGCACCTTGAGACCCTCACCGCCGCCCGCGCTCTCTCCCTGCTGCGCGGCGGCGCAAGCCTGCACGAGGGCGAGCCGACGCCGCTGCAGCGCGCCGCGGGCGGCGAGGGCGAGGCGGCGGCGTCCGGCGGGCGGCGGCGCCGTGGTCGCCGGCAAGCCATTCGCTCTTCCCCGCGGCGGCGCGCGAGTACACGCGGTGACGGTCATGCGCATCGGCTACCAGATCGCGCTCTCTCCGCCCGACGGCGCCGAGGCGCGCCCTGACTGGAGCGCGCTGTCCGACGTGTGGCGCGAGCACGTGCTGCCGCACGCGGTGGCGCGCTGAGGCCGAGTGAGGACGCGAGTGTGCCACGCGGGGGAGATGGGCGGGGCTGCATTTATTAACGTGTAGCGCGAGTCACTTGTGACTTGACACCGTCCCTGCTGCACCTGGCGCTGGGGCGTGGTGCTGGTGGCCGGGCGCGGGGTTGCAGTTGGGGACTGTGTGATCTGTGTGACTCGTGTAAATCTGCGCCGACCGCCGTGCGGGGCGTGGCGCGGTGCGGGGGCCCTTTGTGCTTTGAACATATAAAACGTCCGTAGTGCGTAGAGTGCCGCAATTGATGGCAATGTTGTGTGTGAGCGCTCGGACCTCGGTGGAGCTGGAGAGGGTCAACAGAGAGAGCGTGGGACACGCTGCGTACAGAGAGGTCGTCCCGCGCCGGTGCTGCTCGGGCGCGGCCTCACGCCGCCGCCTTGTCGTGCCGCACCGTGTGACGGAGCAGCAGCTGCGCGACGAGGGCGGTGGCGAGGGCGGAGAAGGAGCAAGCGAAGGCGCCGGCGAGGCCGAGCTTGCCGATGGAGAGGAAGACGGCCACGACGATCAGATTGAGCGGGATGCCAAACAGGTTCATGATGACGCCGCGGTAGGCGTCGGGCAGGTACTTGGAGCGCAGAGTGCCAATGAGCGGGAAGTAGCAGCCGACGCACGCCTGCGCGGGGGAGGGGGCCAAGACAAGGGCAACCCTCAGCCGCGCTGCTCGCCGGCGCGGCGCCGCCTCCTCGCCGCCCGCGCGCGCCTCGAAGGCGAAGAAGGCGCCGACGATCGGAGCGAGCGCTCCGCCCGTCGCAAAGGTGGCGGCGCCTGCGGCGGAAAAGGGCGGAACGGCCCTTAGGGGCGCGGAGGCGGCGGTGCGTGCAGGGGCGCCGGCGGGGCACCCATCGCGGCGGTGGCGCAGGCGAGCAGCACCGCCATGATGTCCTACGGGGCGGGCCGGGCCTCGCGGTGAATCGGGCTCTGGCGGCGGTGGCCCCCGGCCCGACGACGCCCGCAGCGCTCCTCGGGCGCGACGCGCTTGATAGCGGCCCCAAAGAGCGAGGAGCCGATCATGCAGCAGACCATGAAGCAGGAGAAGACCTTGCCAAAGGGGACGTTCGGGCCGAGGGCCGCCTTGAGGGCGGGCGGCCACTGCAGCACGAAGACATACATCGCCCCCTCGAATAGCGCCTGCACCGCGCCGACGAGCGCCACCCGCCGGTCCGACGCGACGGCCCGCACCTGCGCATGCGCACCGGCCGGGGTGAGGAGGGTGGCACGAGGCGGGAGCAGCCGCGCCCGGAGCAGTGGCTCCGCGCCGCATCGCCCACTATGCTGCCGCTCGGGCGCGGCGCGTCGGCCGCGCCGCTCTCCTCGGCCGCGCCGTTCCCCTCGGCCGCGCCGCCCTTGTTCTCGCGCCACGTCACGGCGGCGATGGCGGCGCCGAGGGCGAGGAAGCCAATCGAGAGCTCAAAGGGGGCGGTGGGGCCGCGGAGCCCGGCCGCGGCGCCCGCGAGCTGCCCTGCGGCGGCGCGGAGAGCTGGGCGGGGGAGGGGCGAGCTGCGCTGCGGGGGAGAGGTGGCCGGTGGGGTGGGGGGGGGGGGGCGCCTGCGGCGATGGCCACGAGGGAGTCGCCAAAGTAGGCCAGCGTGAAGGTCTGCGAAAGGAAGGCCTGGCCGAAGGCGCCCGCCTGGTGCTCCGACACGAGCCAGGCCTCGGGCGCCGAGAAGAGCAGGGAAGTGCCCAGCCCGCCCGCCACCCGGCCGGCGTACAGCAGCGGCAGCGTCTCTGCGCGCGTCGAGAGGGCAGAGAGGGCGTACAGCAGCGCAAAGGCGAGGGAGCCGCGCTTGCGGCCCAGCGAGTCGACCATCCCTGCGCCGGCCGCGGTGGTGGTGGTGGTGGTGGTGGTGGTGGTGGTGGTGGGGTGTGTGTGTGTGTGTGTGTGTGTGCGTGTGGGGGGGGGGGGGGGGCAGACGACGCGCGTGGCGGCTCGCGGCGGCGCGGCGCCTCCGACGACGGCGCCGAAGAGTGCCGTAGACGAGAAGCCGGTGAGGAAGAACTTTGCGACGGAGGAGGTGGTCATCGCGGCGCCGTTGATCACCTTGGAGGCGTACACCTCATAAAAGTACGGGCCCTGCAGCCAGTCCGCCATCTTGTACAGCCAGAAGACGAGCAGGAAGCGGAGCTGCAGCGAACGGGCCGCCTTGCTAGGCTTGGTGGCGTCGCTGCTGCGGGAGGCGCCGATGTCGCGCGCGGAGGAGAGGGCGACAACGATGCTGCAGACGGAGGAGAGGCCAAAGAATAGCACGTTGAACAGCTGGTCCGGCGTGCGCGCCGCCAGGCCACCACGCAGCGCGAGGGTCGCCGGGAGAAACATCTCGGGACGGTTCCGTGAGCGAGCCGGGCGGCTAAGGACGGCCGCCGCCGGCCGAAAACCGAGCAGCGGCCGAGATTGAGCCTGCCTAGGCAGTCCTGCGGTTAGCGCAGATGCCGAGGTGGCATGGAGGATCAGAACCAGGACGACGATCGGGCTCATCCTGCACACGCACGTGAGATGTGCGCCTCGCCACCGTGTGAGCTCAAAAAAAATGAACTACGTCGTGCGCTGTTGCTCCCTGGCCCTGGATGTGAGGTTGATGACTGCACTCCAAGTGCTCCCCAAGCCTCTGGCCGGTCGGTGACGCTGCAGACTGGCACGGAGACTACTCGCCGATCCGAGATCTCGCCGAGATGTAGCCGAGATGTAGCCGAGATGTATGTATGTAGCCGAGATGTAGCCGAGATGTAGCCGAGATGTAGCCGAGATGTAGCCGAGATCTCGCCGAGATATGGCCGAGATATGGCCGAGATATAGCCGCGAGTGCTGTTCAAGACGCGAAACAGTTCGTTGACCACGAACCAGTGAATGGATGCGCTAGGCGCATGGTGGCGGCAGCAAGGCGTCTTGGGGTTGGGAAGCCGGGACGTTGTCAATCGAGAGCGCAAGCCGGCGGCCGAGGCGGGTGGCGGCGGCCGCGGGAGGGGTGCGGGTGGCGCGTGTGGTTGCGGCGGGTGGGCTGCCCCAGCCGCCGTCGCCATTGCGCGGCCACGCTCACCTCAGCCGTCATGGGAGGCTCCGACTCGAGCTTATGCAGCAGGTACGGCTTGTCCAGGTCGACCGTGACGGTACCCGACGACATCAGCCGCCGCGAGCCGGCGCCGGCTGGCGCGAACGCCGCGCGCGAGGAGCGAGCTACCGCAGACCGCATCCGATATCGCCGATCGCAGCTCGGAGAAGTAGGAAGTAAAGATCCGGGCGCCGCACCCGACGGGCCCTCTCGGCAAAACTGCGCATTCACAACAAGTCTCTGCGGACCACTCGAAAGAGAGAGGGAAAGAAGGAAACAGGTCTCCCAAGGGAGGGATGCTCTCGACCGCGTGCGGGTTTTTTGTTTTTTGTTCTCGAGAAAAAACTGGGACCCTTCCCGCAGCGGTTGGCAGGCTTCTCGCTGGCCCTCCTCCCTCGCTTCCCAACCTCAATGCTCCGCGACCCGTTCGAGCACGCCGCACTGGTTCAGCGGATCCAGAGCGAGTGCTTCGCGGAGGACATCGAGCCACCCGCCGACTCTCTCGGGTGGACTGAGGAGGAGCTGCACGCCTTCTTTGAGTCGGGCGGCGACGAACTCCCGCTCCGCTTTGCAGAGACGCCCGGTGTACCCGTGCGCATCATTCCGGCCGGGATGCGCGCGCGGGTCTTTGTGATATCGGACATGCACTGCGACCATGCGCAGAATTTTGGCTGGATCCAGCAGCGACTGCCTGCGAGCAGCTCCGGCTGCTTTGACGTGTGCGTCTGCTGCGGCGACGTCTCGGACAACCTGGGCGTGCTGCGCCAGGCGCTCGGCGTGCTGCGCGCGCGCTTTGACGAAGTCTTCTTCACGCCGGGCAACCACGAGCTGTGGGTGCGCAAGGAGCCGCCGGGAACCACGTCGCTCGACAGGATCGAGACGGTGCGGCGGCTGTGCGAGGAGAAGCGGGTGCGGGTGGCGCCGCTTCGGCTGTGCAGCGCCGAGTCGGGCTCGGACGGCTGCCGCCTCGACGACCTGCTCCTTGTGCCGCTCCACTCGTGGTACCACTCCTCCTGGGACCGCGAGCCCGGCATGGAGGCGGGCGGGCCCGACTCGGAGCTGCGCAAGGCGATGCCGGGCGTGGGCATGTGGACCGACCACCAGCTGTGCAAGTGGCCTCCCCACCTCGCCAACGACGAGGCGCGCGCCCTCCACTTCGCCTCCCTCAACCGCGAGCTCGTCGACTCCCTCGCGGCGGCGCTGCCGCCATCGGCGGGCCGCCCACCGCCGCCCGCCTGGGACAAGAGGGCAACATATGCAGAGTACGGCCAAAAACCGATGACGGACGAGCTCTGGACCTCCTTCGACGCCTCCACCTTCTTCACGCCGCGACAGGGCGGCGCAGGCGCAGGCGCAGGCGCAGGCGCAGGCGCAGGCGCAGGCGCAGGCGCAGGCGCAGGCGCAGGCGCAGGCGCAGCGGTCGCGGCGGCGGCGGCGGCGGCGGCGAGGCCGGCGGGGCGGCCCTTCACGATCAGCTTCTCTCACTTTGTTCCGCGGCAGGAGCTTCTGCCCGAGAAGAGGATGCTCATCATGGCCGATTTGCACAAGGTGTCCGGCTCGGACCACCTCGAGGCGCAGCTTCGGCAGCTGATGCCCGACGTGCACTGCTTTGGACACACGCACATCCCCATGGACCTAACGCTCGACGGCGTGCGCTATGTTCAGTGGTCGCTCGGCACGCCGCGCGAGCAAAAGGGTCAAACGCGCGTCGTCTTCGGTCCGATGCGGATTTACGACGGATCGACGGGCGGGGAGCTTCCGCAGCACTGGTGCCACTGGACGCGCCACTACGAACTCTACGCGCGCGACCTCAGCCGCACCGCGGCGGCGCCCTATCTCCAAAGCTACCTCGCCCGCTCGAGAGGGAACGGTTACGCTGCGAGGGTTGTAGGGTGAGCACTGAGATGCGCGCGGTGTGTAAGACGGTCCCCGTCGGCGCGCGCCAGCTTCGTGCGCGACCTCTCCGAGCAGGCGCAGCGCGACCTCGGCGTCCACGTTCCGGGGGTCGGTCATACACACCGAACGTTGCGCAATATCGGCAGCACAGAGAGCGCTGGCGTTCTGTCTTCTGAATGACTCACGATAAACCTCTCCTCCCCTGAAGCCTGATTCCGAGAGCGGGCGGGGGCACCACAAAAGGGGCCGGGAATGCTCTCTCTCCACTCTCTCGCTCTCTCCTCTCGCTCTCGCTCCTCTCTCCCCCCCGCCCCCGCTCTCCCAAATGTGTGTGTGTGTGTGTGTGTGTGTGTGTGTGTGTGTGTGTGTGTGTGTGTGTGTGTGTGTGTGTGTGTGACCCCGTCGCTCTCTGGCCACATGCACGCCCACACACCCTGCAATCATGATCCACGAGACGCAAGGCGGCATCTCGATCGCGCGAGGCGGGCGCCGCCGCGCCGCCGCACCGCAAACACAGTCTGTTCTCAACGGAGCGGGTCATGACGCGCTCTGTGGCGGCGGCACCGGCCGGCCGCCGAGCAGCGCGAGCAGCATCATTGTCGAGTAGCGGGCGCGCGGCAGGTCGCTGAACTGCCAGTGGCGCGCCTTGCACGCGGCGAGGAAGGCCTGGCGCGAGTCGACTAGCTCGTTGGAGCGCACCGGCTGCTCGTGGCCGCCGTCCGTGCCGCGGGCGGGCGCGGTCGGCGCCGCGCCGGAGAGGCGCGCGACGAGGAAGCGGCGCTTGACGCCCGCGACCTGCGCCTTCATGTCCTCGACCAGCGTGATGGACTGCTTCCGCGAGAAGTGCGGCTCCGCGCCGCCGCTGCTCTCGTCGACGAGCTCCGCGACGTGCTCGGGGAAAAAGTCACCCTCAAAGAGCGGAAAGTCGCGCAGCGACGTCAGCCCGCTCACGAGCTCCTGCTGGATGTCCCCAAACTCGGCCACGATGCCCGTTGCCTGCGCGCGCTCGAGCATCCGCACGTACCACGCGCGCAGCTGGCTCGTCGGCATCGGGCGCGAGCCGTGGGCCGGGTCGGGCCGGCGGCAATAGAAAATGTACTCGTCACCAGCCTTGGGCGGCTCGACCCACAAGTGCGCGTGGCTGAAGCCGGCCGCGCCGGCGTACTGCAGGTAGCCGTTGACGATGGCGTGGTAGACGACGGACCGCTGGCCCGGCGGCGACGTGTGTAGCCAGCGGGTCGAGTCGAGGTACGAGATGTAGGTGCGGTTGGTGTTTGGGCGCGGGCACGCGGCGTCGTACTCCTGCACGTACAGCGCAAAGACGCACACGTCGGCGCCGTCGACCTCCTGGAAAGCAAACAGCGCCTTCGAGCGGTACGGGAACGAGTCGGGGTAGTCGGCGCCGTACCGCACCTTCATCCCCGCCACCGCGCGGCAGTGGTACAACCGCTGCGACACGACGCGCACCACGAGGCCGGAAGCCTGCACGCCCGCCGCCGCGATCTCGACCGCCACGTGCGCCTCGACCGCGTCCGAGGTGGCGCACGACGGCAGGTCCGACGCGGAGCGGCGCTGGAGCGCGCGAAGCAAGCTCGAGCCCGGCTGGCGCAGCAGCTGCGCTGCACGCGCGGGGTCGGCGCTAGCGACGCACGCGCTGCAGCAGAGCGTCTGCGAGTCGAGCCCCCACTCGGGTGGCAGCTGGGCCGGGTCGGGGAACGCGGCGCAGATGTAGTGATACCAGCGCTGGCAGCGGTCGCACTGCACGTAGTGGTCCTGCTCCACCTCCTCCTTCGCCTCCCACACCCGCCTCTCCAGGCTGCCGCACCGCAACTCGACCTCATCGGGCAGCATCGCGGGCCGCTCGTCCGCTGTCCGCAGTGCGTCGAAGCACGCGGTGCAGATGCGCACACCAGCCCGCGGCTCCGCATAGTACGACGACCCGCTGCGCACCTTTCGGTCGCAGCCGGAGCAGCGCAGCAGCGGCGGCTCGAACAGTAGCGTCTCGCGCTTGCACGCAGAGCAAGCGATCGCGCAATCGCTCACGGCCACTCGCGAGCGCTCGCCGGTCGGGCGATGCGTCTCCGGATCGAGGAGCTCCACATCGCACCTGCCGTCCTCAATCCCCCCAATCACGACGGCAGTGACTGGGGGGGAGGAGTTTGACCGGTCGGGCGGGTCGACGCCACTACTGCCGCCGCCGATCGCCAAGTGCATCCCGGGCGCGACACCGTCGGACGCCTCGGCGGCGAGCGGCATCGGCGAGTCCACCGCCGGCTCCACACCGGGGCCGCCGGCCGCGCCGGCCGCGTCGACCACCATCCCTACGCTGCTGCCCTCTCCGCCGTCGCCCACGACGGGGCCCTCCCCCGGCTCGTCGGGCTGGTCGTTGAGCGCGCCGAGCAACGAGGTGTCCTCGCCGGCGCCCAAATCGTCGCCCAGCAGCTCGCCGTCGATCTCAGCCGTCGGATTGGCCGCACCGCTTCCACCGCCCGGCGGCACCGGCTGCAGCGAGCCCATCTCGCCCTCGCCTTGTGGCGCGGCGGTGGCCTTGGCGCGGCGGCGCGGCGGCGGGCCGCCCGCGGCGGCCTGCTTGCGCTTCATGCCCTGCGCTCCGGGCGCGAGCGAAGCGCCGGCCATGCCCTGCACCGTCCCGCCTGGCAGCGAGGCCATCCCGCCCCTCGGCGCGAGCGCAAAAGCGGGAGCGGCGCGCATGCCTCCTCCGCCGAGCGAGCCGCCGGGCGCGCCGAGCCGGTTGGTGTCGCCGAGCCGGTTGTCCCTCTGGTCGAGCTCCGACTCGAGCCACGAGAGGTCATTGTACTCCTCCGACATGCCGCCCGACGGCATTCCACCGCTGATACCGCCGCCGATGCCGCCGAGCCCGCCGATCGGGCCCATGCTCATCTCCTCGCCGCCGCTGCCCATCCCCATGGGCCCCATCCCGACGGTCGGCGACATGCCCGGGGTGAACCCGTCAAACTCCATGCTCGGAATCTGCAAGCTCTGGTCGCCTCCGGCCGCCGCGCCGGCACCGCCCGACCAGGGGAAGCTCGGCGCGCCCCCCGACGCCGCCGCGGGGCCGAGCGGGTTGGGGAAGCCCTCCTGCATCCCCTCGGTCCCTCTCGCGCCGCGCGCCGCCATCGAACGCGGGTCTTTGCCGCCGCGCTGCCGCGGCTGCTTGCCGGAGCCGCCAGCGGGCCGCGCTCCGCCGCCGCGCCCGCCCGCCGCGGGCTTGGGCGCGCCCTGGCTCGCCGCCGCGCCAAGGCACGAGCGGCCGCCGCTGCTCATCTGCCGCACCTTGACCGGCTGCGGCGCCTCAAACGAGTGGGCGTTGCCGGTGGACGGCTGGCGGGTGAAGCTCGGGCCGCCGCCCATGCCGCCCATCTCGTCGACGGGCATGCCCGTGGCGCGCGGCATCTTTGCGATCATCGGCGAGTTGAGCGCCTCGCTCGAGATGGGCTCCGCTTGCCCAAAGGAGATCGTCGCCGGCAGCGCCATGCCGTCTATCGGCCGCGCCGAAGCGCAAACCGGCAAACTGGGCATGGAACCGCCCGAATGGCTCGGGGCGGGCACCCCGTACTGCCCGCCGGGGCCGGAGCCGAGGCTCGGGCTGGGCGCCCCGCTGCCGCTGCCGATTTGTCCGCCCGGGAGTGCGATGGGCGAGATTGGGCCGCTGCGCTGGTGCGTCGCGGCCGGCGGCCAAACGCCGTGTGGCATGCCAGCCTGCTGCAAGCGCGAGGCCTGCGCCTGCGCCTGCACCTGGCTCAGCGCGGCCGCGGAGGGGGCGAGCTCGCCCTGCTGCACCTGCTGCACCTGGAGCTGCTGGCGGGCTCGCTGCTGGTGGATTTCCCGCAAGCGCTGGAGCTGATGCTGCTGATGCTGGGTCAGGTTGTGCTGCTGCTGCTGCGTCAGCTGTTGCTGCTGCTGGAGCTGCTGGAGCTGGTGCTGCGGGTGCTGCTGGTGCTGCGGGTGCTGCTGCTGCTGCTGCTGCTGGAGCTGCTGCTGGAGGTGCTGCTGCTGCCGCTGCAGTATCCTCTCGCGCTTCGCCAGTTCCGTCTGTGCCTGCTGCATCTGTAGTGGGGTCAGGGCACCGCTGCGGCTCCGCTCCTCCAGCTTCGCCCGCAGCACCTGCAAGTGCTGCGCGGTGCTCTGCTGCGCCTGCAGCTCCCGGACCGAGCTGGCGCTCGCCGCCGGCCCGAGGGGGCTCGCCTGCCGCAGCACGGACGGCCTCACGCCGCTCACGTTTGGGAGCTGCTGCCCTGCCATGCCTCCCGGCGGCATGCTGGCTGCCGGCACGCCCGACGCCTGCATCACCCCCTGGCTCGGACCGAGAGGCGGCGGCGGCAAGGCCTGCCCCCCGCTGGGCAGCGTGAGCGGCGACGGCGCCTGCGCGAGCGGCACGGCGGCCGCGGGTGGCTGCTGCGGCCGGCTGCCGCCGTTGATCTGCCGCGTGTGCGCAATCAGCTTCTTGCGGTAGTGCTCGCGGAGCTGGCCCTGCGGTGTGGGGGAGAGGAGGGTGAGATCCGGGCGGGCGGGAGGGGAGGGGAAGGGGGGAGTGTGTGTGTGGGGGGGGGGGGGGGGGCAGGCGCGCCATCTGCTTCCACTTGGAGCACGTGGCGCATGGGTTGTCCGAGCCGTCCAGCTGCTGCGCGCCGGGGCACGTGCGCGTGTGCTCCTCTAAGTTCTGGAGCAGTCGCTTCATCGATTGGCAGCCATCCATCTGGCAAACCTGCGGTGCAACCTTGGGGCAGAGGAGCGCGTGGATGAGCACCTTGAAGTTCGCCGGCACGTTCGGCGATCGCCCGTCCGCCGGCGCGGGCCCCCCCGAGGTCGACATCTCCTTCAGCTCTCGCAACGCAGACTTTCCAGGCGAGTCGCGCCTGTGGGGTGTTGCGGAGGGGGGCGCGGGTCACGCCCACCTTCCATGCTGCGCGGTGCGGGCGCTGCTTGCGGAGGCGAAGCGAGCGGGAGGGGAGGGGATGCAGGAGAGAAGGGCTGCGGAAGAGTCGGCTGCGGGACTGCGCCCCCGCGGGAGGGCGGTGGAGGGAGAGGTGCGAGAGGGGGAGGGGGGGGGGGGGGGGGGGGCCTCCAGGCTAAACGGGGGGGGCAAACAAAACCAGGCCAAAGGGGGCGGGAGGAGGAGGAGGAGGAGGGGGAGGAGGGGGAGGAGGAGGAGGAGGAGGAGGGCGAGGCGCACCCCGCTGACGCCTCCTCCTGCGCCGCCAAATCCACGTTGGACATCGAGCCGGAGGACATCGAAGCCTGCACCACCGGCGGCTCGGCCGAGGCCTGCACCGCGAGCTCGGGCGCCCCGCCTGTCGGCCTAACCGGCACCGACGCCGCCGCCCCCATCTGCTGTGCGAGGGACGCGCCCGCCAGGCGGCTGCCACCGTGGTTGCCCTGCAAGGGCGGCATGTCGAACGAGCATCCGGGGCTGCCGTTGCCGCCGGCCGCCGCCGAGAGGACAGTGCCGGCGAGGAGGCCGTCCGCGGATGCCTGCCGCGCCAGCGCGTTGATGACCTCCGCCGGGGACCCTGCTCGCGCGCTGCTGAGCGCCTGCACGCTGCGAACCGCCTGTGGCGCAGGCGCCATCCCCCACACTGCCGTCGCCTGCGCCTGCGCCTGCGCGGATGCCGGCGTCTGCCCCGGCGGCTCGCACGTGCCGGGGATCCCCAACTGCATCGCGCCCGGCGGCACGCCGAACCCGTTCGACGCGTCGCCAGGCGGCAGCGGCATCGGCGAACACGCGACGGCACCGCCCGGCAAAACCACCTGTTGCCCCTGGGTCCGTCGCATGGCCTCGATCGCGGCCGGCGTCGCTCCGGCGCAGCAGCTCGGCACGCCGACGACCGGGCTCGCCGCGCCCCCTCCCGCGGCGCACGCCACCCCCGCCGCCCCGGTCTCCACCTTGGCCCCGCCGCTCGGCGCGCCGTTCTCGCCCGGGACGTTGGCGCTCCCGGCGGTGCTGCAGCTTCCGTTGCTCTCGGCGGGGCAGGGGGGGGCGGAGCGGGACGTGTTCCGCCGCTGCGACTGCTGCGACTGCTGCAGCCCGCGCACCGTGTTGATGAGCACGTCCGCCCCCAGCACCATGCGCACGCGCTTGCAAAACTCGCGTAGGTCAATCTCCTTGGTGCGAATTTGAGCCAGCAGCGCCGGCAGCATCTGGCTGTCGGTGTGCTTCTGGATCTCGAACATCAGCTCGTCCACCGTAACGAAGTTGAGCGGATCGACGGCCCCAGAGCCCATCTTGAGAGATGCCCTATGCGCGCCGCTTCGGCTGCAGCCGGCTTTTTTATGAGCTAGCCTTCGATGTTATGAAACAAACGCAAGGCGGACATGGCATATCGCTCTCGGGCCCACAGACATCCCGCACACCCGCCGCACACCCGCCGCCCCCGCGCGCGCCCCACCTCGGCAGGGAGAAAGGGGAGTGACAGCTTGGGATGAAAGCCCGAGTAGTTGAGTCCTGGCTCAACAACGCAGGGAACAAGAGGGGGTGGTCCGGCTCACAGGTCCGGCTCACGCGCCTCGAGCTTGCCATCTACCGCACTGAACACTTTCGCCCCCTCGCTCCCAACCCATCCACCCCGCCCCGGGCCGCGCCGCGCGATCTCGTTTTTTATTACTCAGCCTTTGCCTCCAAGGAGCGAAAAAAAAAGAAAACCAAAAAATTGCCGAATCAGCATGTCACTCGTCGTCTCTCTGCTCCTCGCTCGGCCGGGCGGCGACTCGGGTGGTGCAGAGGCGCCGCCGCTGCGCGTGCGTGCGCACGAGGCGGCGCTGGAGCACGCCTGCCGTCGCCGCCACGGCCCGACGCCCGGAGCCGTACGTCGAGACGGACAAGCTTTTGGCGAGAGCAGACCGAGCATCTTCACCGAGCATCATCGGATCGACCCGCTCTCCTGCAACGAGCCGCGGGAGGGAGGCTCGTACGATCCGGCTGGAGCGGCGGCGCGTGGCGCGCACATGCCCTGCTCGCCCGCGGCCGCTGAGGCACACCCGGCGAGAGCCACCTTTGCCCCCTCGGCGTCGTTTGCGAGGCTCGCCTCGCCGTCGTGCTGCGGGGGCGGCGGATGGCTTGGGAGGTGCACGTGGCCGCGCGTGGCGCGGCTGGCCCCTGCCCACGCCCTCATATTTTGTGCTGGCTCGCGCACGCGCCGCGAGAGCTTGACGACGAGCGACTGCATTGGCGGGCTTCGTTGCAAAAGGCGGCGGCTCTGCGTGGTCAAAGGCGGCGCTTGCCATCAGCCGCCGTGCACAGATGGGCGCACCCACGACTCATCGCGCCGGCCGCTTCGACTGGGCGCGTGCTCGACGTCCTCTATCTGCTGCGGCGGCTCGAGGACGTGTCCCCATTGGTGCCGCCTCCGAACGAGTGGGCCGCGTCCGGCGTACCGATGCTCGAGGAGGCGATCGCGTTCATCGAGGAGCTTGTAGCAGCCGAGCGCTCCGTGCGCGCTGTGAGGCGGCCGGGTGAGGGCGCGGCGGGTGACGGGGCAAGGGAGCAGCCCACACCCGGCCGTCGCTTTTGAGCGACGCTGTGGCACGCCTGCGCAGGGGCCGCAGGGCGGTCAGTTGTGGGGGCGAGGCGGTGCCGGCCGCGGGCCGGGTGCAAGGCGCCGGCCTCGGCGCCGCATCGGCGCGCCGCACGGGCGCGGCGAGCCTCTGAGCGGGAGCCGAAGGTTTGGTGTGGTGGGACGGTGGGAGGGAGGTGGGAGGTGATGGGGTGGATTGACTTTGCCGCAGAGGCCGTCCCTAGCTGTGAACAGCTTGTGCGTCTTGTGGTTGTGTTTTTGTGTGTGCGTCTTGGGTCCGTGGTTGTGTTTTTGTGTGAACCGGGGTAACAGGGTCTAGACTCCCCTGCGTCACTACGTGCCTCCCCGTCTTTGTAGCCTTGGCGTTTGTGCCCCGTTTGTGCCGCGTCCCGTGCCCCCGAGTTCATTTTATAAACAGGGTTTATGTGAACAGGGGCCGTGGTTGTGTTTTTGTGTTTCTTATCAACCTATCTGTGAACGTATGCGAGGTTCTTGTTTTCTTATCACCCTATCTGTGAACAGCGTGGTTGTGTTTTTGTGTGAACAGGCAATTGAGCGCCTCCCTCTCTCTCCGGCTGCGCGCCTGACCGGTGCGGCCTCCGAGTCGGCGTCTAGCGCGCGCGATAAGGTTTTTGCTCGCCTTCCCTGGGACCCCGTGTTGCGTGACTCTGTGCAATTTCGGGCCCGGGGTTGTGCGTTTACGTGAACAGCAAAACGGATATGCTCGCAAGGGGAAGTGAAGTGTTCACCGCAGCACGGCCCGCCGGCCTTCGATGGGCTGGACGTGCATCGCCGTGACGGCCCCATCGGCGGAACAGGCCCTCGCAATCAAGGAGGAGCTGCTGCGCGCCAAGCTGGTGCCCCCCGCTACGCTGGTGCTCGCAGTGCCCGACCCCACCGACGAGCCCTTTGGCTCGGGCTCCGCCACGCTCAACGCCATCCTCCACGTGGCGGAGGCGCTCTCGGCGCGCGCCGGCTTCTCCACCATCAACTCGGAGGCGTCCACCGCGCAGCAGCGCACCCTCGTGCTGCACGTGGGCAGCGCCTCGCGCGGGCGCTGCTCGGCGCACCCGTGCCTGCCCAAGGCCTTCTGCTCGCTGCCCGTGCGCGGCTCCTTCGACCCCTACGCCTCGCTGATCGACGCGACGCTCGTGACGCTCTCTCGCCTCTTCGAGGGCATGCCGTCCGGCCTGTGCATCGCCTCCACCGACAGCATGCTGTTGCTTCCGCAAGACGTCGCTGCCGACGCGTGGCTCGACCTCCGCCACAGCTGCCTCGTCGCCGTGCCCTCCACGCTGCAGCAGGCGACGCACCACGGCGTCTGCCTGCCCGCCGCCGCCCACGCCGCCGACGCCGCCGACGACGGCGCGCCACCGCCGCCGCCGCCGCTGCGCCGCATCCTCTACCGCGCCGACGAGGCGACGCTCGGAGACGCGTGCGGCGACGAGGAGCCGCTGCTCTACACCGGGCTCACGTTCCTGCGCGCGCCCCTCGCCGAGAAGCTGCTGGAGCTGCACGGCAGCGCGCCCCTCGACGCAACGGGTTACCTCGGCATCGACTCGGGCGCTGCTCCGCTGCGCCTCGAGCTGTGGAGCGACCTTCTGACGCCTCTCTGCGACGCGGCGAGCGAGGACGACTACGTCGGCGGCGGCAGCGCCGATGACGCGCGCTCCGCGGCTGCGCGGCGCGTGCTGTGGCGCGTGCTGCGCCCGCTCGCGCCGTTGCGCATCGCGCGCGCGCCGCGCGGCAGCCGCTACTGCTACGCGACGACGCCGAGCGAGTGGTCGCGCGACGCGCGAGAGCTCGGCGCCGCGGTGCTGCAAGCGGAGGGTGGCGGCAGCACCGCCGCCGGGTGCCTCGAGTGCCACGTGCTGCGCGCCGACGCCGCCGACGCCGCCGACGCCACCGACGCCGCCGACGCCACCGACGCCGCCGACGCCGCCGCGCCCGACGCTGCGGCCGCGTCGCCGCCCGCCGTCGTGATCAACTCGGCGTTGGGCGCCGGCTGCCGCGTCGGCGCCGCCGCGCACGTCGAGCACTGCGAGCTGCGCGCAGGCGTGGGCGTGGGCGAAGGTTGCTTTGTCAGCGGCGTCTCCACGCTGCGGGGCGGCTGCGAGCTGCCGCCCCACACGGCGCTGCTCGACACGACCTTTTCGGTGGAGGTGCTGGATGAGCTCGAGCGGAGCGCCGCCGTCGCCGCCGCCGCCTCTCCCGCGCCCGGGCACGCGACGCCCTTGCGCCGCTACTCCTCCGCATCAGCCACCTTTGGCGTGCCGGAGGGCGTCGCCCTGGCGGAGGATGGCGCCGCCGACGCCGCGCGCCGCGTGACGCTCGTCTTTGGGCTGCACGACGCTCTCAAGGCGCCGTGTGGCGGCGGCGGCGCCACCTTCCTCGGCGAGGAATGGAGCGCCTTCGTCGAGCGCGTCGGCGTGAACGACGCGATGTTGTGGCCCTCGGAGCCGCCGGCCGACGAGCGCTGCCTGTGGAACGCGCGCCTCTTCCCCATCGGCGACGGCGCCGACGGCACCGATGGCGACGACGAGCGCTGGCACGCCTTCCTGCTTCGGCGGCCGCTCGTCGCGCCGAGCCCCGCGCTGATGCGGCGCTGGCGCCGCGCGCCGCGCGCCTCGCTCGCCGACGCCGCGTGGCGCTCCGACACGGCGGCGCTGCTGCGGCGCCGCGCCGCGCTGGCGCGCTCCATCGATGTCAAGCTGCTGCAGCGCGCCATGCTGCGCGGACGTCGCGAGTTTGTGCACCCGATCATTGCTCGCTTCATGGGCTCGGAGGCGCAGCTGCTCGAGCTGCTCAAGGTGCTGGACGACGTCGCCGCTGACAGCGCCCACAACATCCCGGTGGCCACCAAGGCGCTAGCCACCATCGCCGACGCGCTCGCCATGTACGCCGGCCCCGCGGGCGGCCTGCGCTCTGGGCCCGCGTCCAACCCCTCCTTCCGCGCCGCCTTCGAGGCGCTGCAGCCGTCGGCTCTGCGGCTGGAGGAGGCGGTAGAGCTGCTGGCGGCGCAGCGCGACCGCTGGCTGCAGCAGCGCCGCGCCGAGACCATGATGCGCGCCGCGCGCCACTACGAGGGAGCGGTCGCGCGTTGCATCTCCAACGGCGTCCTCACGTGCGTCTGCGCCACGAAGGCGACGCAGCCGCCGTCCTTTGGGGATTGGGCTGTCTCGGAGGTGCCCTCACGCATCGACCTCGCGGGCGGCTGGAGCGACACGCCGCCGCTGTGCTACGAGCACGGCGGCGCCGTCGTCACGGCCGCGATCGCCATCGACGGCGCGTGCGCGCTCGGCTGCCGGGCGCGGCGCCTGCGCGAGAGCAAGATCGTCATCTCGATCGAGGGCGCGCAGGCGCCGCCCACCGTGTGCACGCAGCTGGACGACCTCAACGACTACTGCTCGCCGCTGGCGGCGGGCGCCCTCGTCAAGACGGTCCTCCTCTTTTCGGGCTTTGTGCGGCTGCGCGGCGAGGCGCCGCCGCTCGAGCAGCAGCTGATCGACGCGGGCGGCGGCCTGGAGGTTGTGACGTGGTCGCGACTGCCCACCGGCTCGGGCCTCGGCACCTCCTCTATCCTGGCGGCCGCCATCATCGCCAGCGTCGGCGCCGTCCACGGCGTCGCCTACGACAAGGCGGACCTCGTGCACGCGGTGCTCCTCGTCGAGCAGATGCTCACCACGGGCGGTGGCTGGCAGGACCAGGCTGGCGGCGTCTACCCGGCGCTCAACATCTCCTTCTCGCCGCCCTCGCTGCCCCTCACCGTGCGCACCGAGGCGCTGCAGCTGCCCCGCGAGGCGCTGCAGCGGCTCGACGCCCACCTCGCCCTCATCTACACAGGCAAGACGCGCCTCGCGCGCAACCTCCTGCAGGATGTGCTACGGCGCTGGTACTCGGCCAACACCGCCATCGTGGCCAACGTCGACGCGCTCGTGGCCAACGCGCACACGATGCGCGAGGCCCTCCTCGCCGGCGACATTGCCGCCGTGGGCGCCTCGCTCTCCGCCTATTGGGAGCAGAAGAAGCTGATGTGCGACGCAGAGCCCGCAGCCGTGACGCGCATGCTGGCCAAGCTGCGACCGCTCATTCACGGCGCGACGCTCTGCGGTGCGGGCGGTGGCGGGTTCATGGCGCTCATCACGAAGGAGCCCAACGCCGATGCCGCCATCGCCGCGGCGCTGCGTGAGGAGGAGTGCGTGCTGCACCGCGTCAACGTGCACGAGCGGGGCCTTTGCACGTGGTTCGAAAAGGCGGACGCGCCGGCGGCAGAGGAGCAGTGAGCAGCGAGACGTCGGCGTGGAGCAGGAGGAGGAGGTCAGCTGCTGGTGGAACCAGCTCAAGGCCGGCACACATGCGCGGGCGATGGACTGACTCAAGCAGCTCAAGGGCTCGCACTCTCCTCACCACCGCGCGCACGTTGCAGCAGGAGTGCTGCAAACCGCAGTGCGCATTGTGCGTCTCCGTATCTCGCATTGTGCCGCAGCTGCACCCGGACAATCATCGAGAGAACTCGACGGTCCACTGCGAGGGTGCGGTCAGGATCTCTTCTGAGAGCCGGCGCGGATCGCGGCTGCGGCCAAAGGCTCTTGCCGGCGGGACGGAGCCTGACGTCTGCCAGGCTTCGGTTCCACAGTCTCTCGGCGCTCGCGCGCACCACCGCCCCCGGTGCGGGGTGGATTGTCAGTTCGTGAGTTCTGTCCCCATCCCTGTGCCCCACCTTCTTGCCTTGTGTCTTTTTCCTGCGAACCCCACTATGTAGCGCCACCTGTGAGCTGTCCTGTGCGAGCTGTGAGCTGTGCGTCTAGGACCCAGTGATACGGCCGGTGATGAGAGTGTGCTCCCGAGCCAATCGTGCGCAGCGTGTGTGTGCGTGTGGACTCGTCCTCCATGCTCGGAGGTTAAAGGCCTGACTGAGACTGACTGCCTTGTGAACAACCCCAAACAAGCACACACCGGCCGGCTCCGCGACGTAACGACGTCCACTCCGCGTGCCCCCCCCGGGCATGCGCTGCTCCTCATCGGCCACCTGCCTGCGTCACGCCGCACCGGCCGCTGCTCCGAGTGAGCGACCGCTGCGCAGCGGCTTCGTCGCAAACAGGCCTTGCGGCTCTGGAAAGGCCTCGCGGCCAACGCGCCACCGCCAGCCGCGTCCTCTGGCGCATGGCGACCTCTTCACCATCTCGCAGCCAGTCTTGCTAGAGGCAGCTGGGCCCACCGATGATGCCGGTCCACGCCCCGCCACGGCCACGCCACGTTCGCACGGCACGGTGGGAACTGTTGGCGGCGGCGAGAGGAGGCGGAAGCACCTCGAGCTCCTTCCCCAGCCGAGGGCAGTGCGGCCACAATCGCAGCCGGGCGGTCCCGCCTCTGCCTTCGACCTGTCGCAGATCCCGACGTGCCTCGCTGTTTGCGAACAGCGTGTAGAAGAGGACCGCGCGGAGCACCCCCGACCACGCCCTGCCACCACGTCGCGCTCGCGCGCGGCTCTCACGGCTCCCTCCAGCGCAAAGGCACGGCCGGACTGGAGGCGGCAGGGCGTCGACGCGATGCTCGCTCGGGACCTACCTGGGGCGGTCTTTGCCTTTGGCCAAGCACTCGCCGAGGCCGGCACGCCAGAGTCTGGCCGGCTGGAGATGCTCCGCCTGCGTTGCGCCGCACTCCTCCGGCTGGAGAGGTTCGGAGAGGTACTGCATGAGCTCGACGGCGCCACCAGGGAGGACAATGGCCACGGGCCGAGCGGCCGTGTGCAAGCAGCCGCGCACGAGCTGCTCCACCTGCGGGCGGTCGCCCTCCTTGCCATAGGGCGCAACGAGGAGGCTGCCAAGAGCCTCTCGCTCGCGCTCGGGCGCGAGGGAGGAGGCTCGCGCGGACGCCGCTTCGAGACGCTCTCCGGCCTGTTCATCAAGGCTGCCGTCGCTGCGCCACACTGCGCACTTGTGCCGCTCCAGGCCTACCTGCCACCGGAGCAGCCCGACGCGTGCGGCTCATCACACTCCCGCAACTCCCGAGGGCCCCTGAGCACCCGGCGGGACCAGGCCGGCGGTGCTCTCGCGCCCGTCTTTCGGATCGTGCTGCGGCCCCGCAGCCCACCTTGGCCGATGCGCCTCGTGATCCCACGCAAGACTGACACGTGGACGCTGGCCTTCTACTGCACACCTCGCCAGCCGGGCCCCGCGGCGTCAGAGGCGCCGCACGTACGCCTCACGAGCGCAGAGAGCAGTTCGCCGACGCCGAGGCTGGTGCAGATCGACGTCCGCGTGGACGGCATTGTCGAGGCCGGCCGCCCTCCCACCGCACTGTTCCCCTCCTAGAGACGCACTCACGCGGCTCCGGCTCGCAGGTCCTCTCGAACGCGAGCACCGCCGCGTGGCGTGGACTCGAGGAGGCGCTGCCGCCGGGTGACGCGCAGCCACCCTCGATTCCTTTCTTGTGATTGTTGATCCCCTCTTCAATGCCAACAAAACAACACACTCTCTGTCTCAATGCCTGCAGGAGTGATAACCACCGAAGTTCACAGCCTTGTTATTGAGAAGAAAATACCTCCTATGGCGCTGTGCGCTGGTCTGTGAGAGGTTGAGGTGCGAGCCCTGGAGGCCCTGGGGGCGAACCTTCTTTTCGTGCCAGTGTGCTGTGAGAGAGGCTTTCTTGTAAGAATTCTTTTCGTTATTCTTTTCGTTTCGGCCCGGCCCGGGGGGGGCCCCCCCCCCCCCCCCCCCGGGGGGAGTTGGCAACGGTCGGCATGGAGTGCTGGGTTTGCCCGGAGCCAGCCGAGTACGTTTGCCCGTCGTGCCAACCTTCCGCGGACACCGTCATCTGCGGGCGCTGCTTTGACACCTTCGTCCGTGTGCGGGCAGCCAACCATCCGTTCAGTCCCCGCAACGAGGCAGCGGGCCGCCATTCGCGGGCGGCGCGCCGACCCCAGCCGGGCGACGCAGAGACCGTCATGGCGTCGCCGTGCGGACAGTGCAATCGATTTTGCCTGCGATCAGCTCTTCGACCGTACCCACTGCCGGCACCGCTGCACGCCGCGACCGTGCAGGTGCGCACCGCTCGCCCACGAAGAGCGTGCACCTAACTCACAAACCTAACATCGATCCATCCACTCGCCAGGCGGGAGAAGAGGCGGCGTCGCCGCCGGGCGCGGGCGCGGGCGAGCCAGCGCCGGCCGCACCAGCGCCGGCCGCCGCAGCGAGCGCGCCATGCGGCGGCGGCGGCGGCTGCTCGCCAGCCCCCGCCGACGCCTCGGGCGCCTCTCCTCCGGCACCCGCCGACGCCTCGGGCGCCTCTCCTCCGGCACCGGGGGGAGAGGCGGAGACGGCGGTGGGAGACGAGGCGGGGTCGCCGCCGGGCGCGGGCGCGGGCGCGGGCGAGCCGGCGCCGGCCGCACGAGCGCGGCCGGCCGCTGCAGCGCGCGCGCCATGCGGCGGCGGCGGCTTGGCGGGGGGCGCTGCCTCGGCCGTACCTCCGTCGCCGGGGGGCGGGGCTGGGGGATGCTCGGCGGGCGAGGGCGGCCCGCCGGGGCCACTCGGCAAGGCGCGCTCTGCGGTAGTCGGGGCATGGACATGGTTGACGGCAAGGAAGCGGAGCCGCGGGCCGGAGGAGGAGGAGCAGCCGCCGCCCAAGAGGCTGGCGGGCAACGGCGTCGGGGCCGGGCCGTCGGCGCTCCCGGCCCCGGAGCTCGCGCCGCGCCCGGCGCCGGCGCCGCCGCTGGGAGAGCCGCCGCAGGCGGTGATGGTAGTCCCGCCGAGGGCGGCGGTCTGGCCGCCGCAGCCGTCCGGCGTGGGGCTCGAGGCGGTGCGGCTCGCGGGGGCGGAGGGGGCGGCCTTGATCCTGTCGTTCTACACGAAGACGGGCTACAAGGGCGTCGGCCGCGGCGAGTACGTGGACGGCACGCCGTTCTACGAGGTGCGCGGCTGCAGCATCAGCGGTCGCAAGTACATAAGCCCCGAGCACGCTGCTCTCGCCCGCTGGCGAGCCATCTTCTCGTCGCACCTGCAGCTGCCTGAGGCGGGGCGAAGCTCGAGGCCGCGCGGGGGCGACCGCTGTGCGGGCTCCTCGCGACAGGTGGCTGCGGTGGCGGCGGAGGCGGAGGGGCTGCGGCTGCACCTCTCGAGCAGCAGCAGCACCGGCTACAAGGGCGTCACCAAGGTCTCCGGCGTCACCAAGCGCTTCCAGGCGGTGCACTATGTGGGCAAGTTGCGGGTCTACATCGGCTCCTTCGACACGGCGGTGGAGGCGGCGGTGGCGTACGCGCGGGCGGTAGGCGAGTGGGTGGAGCGGCGTGGCGTGGAGCTCCGAGATAGCGCGAGATCGCCCGAGATCGCGCGGTTCTGCAGCACCTCGGCACTCGGCGAGTTGGATGGGTGGGGAGCGTCCTAAGTCGTGTGAAGATCTGAGGATATCGACCTAAGCCCGAGCCTGCCGCACGGACTTCCGTCTTGTTACTGCCGATGCTCGCACACTCTCTTGCCGCACGCGACGGCGGTGAAGCCCTTCTTCTGCGTCTGTTGGACGCCACCCCATCAGCGCTCTGGGCAACCGACAGCGACGGAAACACCCTTCTCCACCACGCATTCCGATACGACCGGCGGGCCCTGGCCGCCGAACTGGTGAAGCGAGGGCTCGACCCGTGGAGCGCTAACAACGCGGGGCTGCGGCCGGTGGACTTTCCCCGCGCGCTCGAGGGCCTACCCGTCGGCCCGCTGGACGCGCCGAGCAGCGCATCGCTGGACGCGCCGAGCGAACCGCGCACGGAGGCGGGAGGCGCGCGCCCCACCTACAGAGGGGCAGCTCCCGCCTCTCTGCCCGCGCGGGCGACGGAGGAGGATGGCACGCAGGCCGAGGAGGTCCCGTGGTGCCTCCTGAACAGCCCCGACGACGTTGTGATTGAGATCATGAAGCACTTGCCGCTTCGCTCTGTGTTGTCGCTGTTCGAGGCTTCACATCGCTTCCGCCGGCTGAGCGGCTCCGCCCTGCTGTGGGAGCATCTTTGCTGGGCGCACCTCAAGCTGACGCAGGGGCGGCGGAGCTGCCTCGCTTCGTGGCGCGAGGCGTACGTCGAGCACGTCATCATGCAGAGCGGCGTCAAGCTGCTGCGCGACCAGCGCGAGGAGGCAAAGGGGCGCGGCGAGCACGTGCGCCGGCACATGAGCTCCTCCATCGCCGAGCTGCTCACGTGAAGCCGCCGCTGTCGCGCCCGCCCACCCCGCGTGCGATACACACGCGGGCCACCTGTACACCTGCACACTTCTGTCCATGTCTGTCATCTTCCCTCTCCATGTGTTACGTCGTTGGAGATCCGTGTCCTCTTCCCTTGCGCTGACCGCGCGAGTGCTTTGGGGATTTGTCAGTGGCGCACTGGTGCCGTGCCCATCGTGATTCTTCGCGTCAGTGTTGTGTGACTCGTGCACGCGACTCGCCTCTCGCGCGAGGCGCGTCTCCGTCTGCGGTGCGCGATAGAGTACCCCACGCGTCGTCGTCGACACCATGTGTCGGTAAAGAGTTAGGCGACTGAGTAAATATGCATATAGTACGGCTCTCTCGTTGCCCGTCGGCCTTGTGCGTGTCGCGAGGTGCGTCGTGTATAGTATCAGTAAAGTTTGCCCGGCGCCATGTTTCTCGTGTCTTTTTCGCACGAAAAAAAAGCCGCGAAACGGAACGTGAAAACATACAACCCAAAGGAGGGATGCGGATGGGAGGACGGCACGCCGCCACCACGGGGATTTCACGGGAAGGAAGGTGCGTCTTTCGCACGACACTGGGCTCGGCGTGCGGAAGTTCTTCTTAGTTAATCTGATTATCTGTGCGTAGGGTAAAATTCCGTTCTGCGTTCCCACCGATTGAACCAAACACGTGGCGCGCTGAGCCTGAGGCCCCGACGAGGTAAGCCCTACCCATCTCCCCACTACTGCGCCGTGGGCGTGGCGTGCATTCGCCAGATCTAGCATTTATCAGCCAGCCCTCACTGCCGCCGCCGCCGCCGCCGCCGCCGCGCCGCCGTGCCGTGCCGTGCCGCCCAACTTGCGTGCAACTCTCGTCGCCACCGTCTCTGCCGTCTCCGTCGCCCGGCCACAGCCTGCAGCACAGCCTGCTCGACGGTCTGGCACGTGGTAGGAGCGCGTGGCTTGCGTCGCGCGACGGTCTCAGACCTAGACCCTATATTCCAGGATGGCATTCTTCGAAATGGGCGCCGCAGCGGCCCGTAGCGGCGCTCCCTGCGTGCCCCCGGCCACCCCGGGGCCATGGGACACCCCCCCGGCCATCGGGGATGCTTCATCCATTACCCCATTTACACGGGCTGTGTTGCGGCGCGCCTCGAGACGCGCAGCGCAGCGGCCGCAGCGCGCAGACCACAAAACAGATCAGAAGACGGCCGTGGCGACACCCGCTCTGGCGACAGCCCCGCAAAAGGCACTCGCTCGCCGGCAAGGACTACGGGTAGCACAGGCGGCAGCAGAGGTGGCGGTCCGGGTCGCAGCGCGCGTAGCACAAGTCGGCCCCAGCGTCACGGGCGTCGGGCCAGGAGCCGGCTCCACGAGATCGACGAAGAGGACGAAGAGGAGGAAGACTACTCGAACTTGGACGAGGACTCGGGCGAGGAGCAGGACTCGGAGACCGGCCAGGGAAGCGACGACCATGACTAGTTGGCCCAGTCGCGCGCCAGTCAGCCGACACGGCTGCGCGGCACAGGTTCGTACCGTTGGCCCAGCCAATTGCCGCCGATGAGGCTGTCTGTCGGGCGATATCTTGCTCTCGCCCACGCCGCCGCCGCCCTCCACCTCGCCCCACGCCGCCGCCGCCGCCGCTCACGCCGCCGCCGCCCTCCGCCTTGATGCCACTGCCATCGCCGCCGCCCTCGCTCGCCCTCCCGCCTCCCCCCACTCCCATCGCCATTCCCGCCTCCGCTGCCCCTCCCGCCGCCACCCTACTCGAGTATCCTTCACCGCACCTTGCCTCCGCCCTATTCCAATCCGCCGCCTCCCGCCGTCCCATAGCTAGCGTTCTCCGCCCGTCCCCTTGGCACCCACTCGAGGAGGGAAGAACAGGGAAAACGCTGGGGGCGGAGGTCGGAGCTGACGAGGGCGACGAGACGCTGGGGGCGGAGGTCGGAGCTGACGAGGGCGACGAGACGCTGGGGGCGGAGGTCGGAGCTGACGAGGGCGGCGGAGGGGCAGGCGGCGGCGGTGCCGGAGGCGGCGGCGTGGGAGGGGGCGGGGCTGGCGGCGGCGTGGAGGGAATTGGGAGCGGTGAGGGCGACAGCGACGGCGGCGGCGGCGAGGGCGGCGAGGCGGGAGGCAAAGAGGGTGGCGAGGCGGGAGGTAAAGACGGCGGCGAGGCGGGCGGCGACGAGGGTGGCGAGGCGGGAGGTGACGAGGGCGGCGAGACGGGAGGTGACGCGGGCGGCGAGGCGGGCGGCGACGCGGGCGGCGACGCGGGAGGCGATGAGGGCGGCGAGGCGGGAGGTAAAGACGGCGGCGAGGCGGGCGGCGACGCGGGCGGCGAGGCGGGAGGTGACGAGGGCGGCGAGACGGGAGGTGACGCGGGCGGCGAGGCGGGAGGCGACGCGGGCGGCGACGCGGGAGGCGTCGAGGGCGGCGAGGCAGGAGGTGACGAGGGCGACGAGACGCTGGGGGCGGAGGTCGGAGCTGACGAGGGCGACGAGGAGGGAAGAACAGGGAAAACGCTGGGGGCGGAGGTCGGAGCTGACGAGGGCGACGAGACGCTGGGGGCGGAGGTCGGAGCTGACGAGGGCGGCGGAGGGGCAGGCGGCGGCGGTGCCGGAGGCGGCGGCGTGGGAGGGGGCGGGGCTGGCGGCGGCGTGGAGGGAATTGGGGGCGGTGAGGGCGACAGCGACGGCGGCGGCGGCGAGGGCGGCGAGGCGGGAGGCAAAGAGGGTGGCGAGGCGGGAGGTAAAGACGGCGGCGAGGCGGGCGGCGACGAGGGTGGCGAGGCGGGAGGTGACGAGGGCGGCGAGACGGGAGGTGACGCGGGCGGCGAGGCGGGCGGCGACGCGGGCGGCGAGGCGGGAGGCGATGAGGGCGGCGAGGCGGGAGGTGACGCGGGCGGCGAGGCGGGCGGCGACGCGGGCGGCGAGGCGGGAGGTAAAGAGGGCGGTGAGGCCGGTGGCAAATAGGGCGGCGAGGCGGGAGGCGACGCGGGCGGCGACGCAGGAGGCAGCGCGGGCGGCGAGGCAGGAGGTGACGAGGGCGGCGAGGCGGGAGGTAAAGACGGCGGCGAGGCGGGAGGCGACGCGGGCGGCGAGGCGGGAGGCGACGCAGGCGGCGACGCTGGTGGCAACGAGGGGGGCGAGGCGGGAGGCGTCGAGGGCGGCGAGGCAGTGGGTGACGCTGTCGACGTCGACGTCGGGGAGGATGAAGGAGCCGCGGTGGGCGCGACGCTCGGCGATGAGGAGGGCAGACTGGTCGGGACAGCGCTCGGGGACGAGGAAGGCAGACTCGTCGGAGTCGCGCTCGGCGAAGCCGAAGGTGCGGAGCTCGGGGTGGCGCTAGGAAACGAAGAGGGAGCGGCGCTTGGTGCGGTGGAGGGGGAGGAGCTCGGCGTCGCGGACGGCGCGAGCGTAGGAGTTGAAGTCGGAGCCTACGGGAAGGTAGCCGACGGTCAGGGACGGTTCAGGTGACAGCTTGGACCTTGCTGAGAGCGCCGAAGACGGTGCGGAGCTTGGAGAGCTGCTAGGGGTTGAGGAAGGGCTGGCGCTCGGCGACGAGGAGGGCGAGCTAGTCGGCGAGGAAGAATGAACTGACGTCGGAGCCTACGGGAAGAGAACCGGCGGTCAGGGACAGTCCTCTCGGCAGCTTCCACCTGGCGGCAGAGCGCCGAAGAGGGGGAAGCGCTGGGAGAGCTGCTTGGCGCTGAAGAGGGACTGACGCTTGGCGACGCGGAGGGTGAGGAGCTCGGCGACGCGGACGGCGCAAGCGTGGGAACAGACGTCGGAGCCTACGGGAAGACACTCGATGGTCACAGAGTCCCGGTGGCAGCTCTGACCGAACGGTAGAGCGCCGAGGACGGGGCTGAGCTGGGGGTGCTGGTAGGTGACACCGTCGGCGAGGCTGTGGGGCTGGCGGTCGGTGACGCCGTCGGCGAGGCTGTGATCCAGGTAGGTGATGCCGTCGGCGAGGCTGTGGGGCTGGCGCTCGGCGACGAGGAGGGCGAGCTAGTCGGCGAGGAAGAATGAACTGACGTCGGAGCCTCCGTGGCCATAGTCCCGCCAGGGTGTTCACCGCTATGTCCTTGGCCAGGTTGGTTGCCGGGTCCATCGTTCCGCACCCTCCCAGGTCTAGCGGGAGCAGCACCACCTCCATCGCCGCCGAGCGCTGGGCCGTGAGCGGGGTGGGGGCTAGCCGGAGGGCACGCAACGCCAGGGCCCCATTTTCTCAACGTGGCGGTGAGTTGCGGAGGGAGGAGGTGGAGGCGCTCGCGACCCGCTACCCGGCCACCACTGTCCACAGGCGATAAACAGGACTGCCGCGCACAACATACTACATACATGGCGCGGCGCAAGCACCGGCATTCGGTCGCGCGATTTGTCGACCGCGTGCGCATTTTCGCGGCGGGTGGACACGGCGGCAACGGGTGCGCCAGCTTCTTCCGTGACACCCGCGTCGAGCGCGGGCCGCCCGACGGCGGCAGTGGCGGCGGCGGTGGCAGTGTGTTTGTGCGCGCCAGCGGCGGCGTGGGTGACCTGTCTCTTGGGCGGCACTCCTTCCGCGCCGGGCCAGGGGCGCATGGCTCGAGCAGTCAGATGAACGGCAGGCGTGGCGCCGACGTGTACATCGAGGTGCCGTGCGGCACAGCCGTCGAGCGTCTCGGCAGGGTGACACGCTCCGTTGTGCCGGCGCTCCATCCGGCCGACGAGACGGTCACGTTGCTGGCGAACCTGATCTACGAGGGCGACGAAGTGGTGATCGCCGCTGGAGGCGCCGGCGGCCGTGGCAACGTGACGCTTCGGTCGGGCCGGCTGCAGAGCTCGAGGCTCGCCGAGGATGGCTTGCCGGGTGAGCAGACGACGCTTGCGCTCACGCTCAAGACGGTAGCGGACGTCGGCCTAGTTGGCTTCCCGAACGCGGGTAAGTCGTCGCTGCTCGCGGCAATCTCTCGCGCCACGCCGCAAGTCGCCGAGTACCCGTTCACCACGCTGCACCCGCAGCTCGGCTCGGTGACCGCGCCTGCGTCGCCGTGGGCGGAGTTTAGCGTAGCAGACATCCCCGGCCTGGTCGAGGGTGCGTTCGAGAACCGAGGGCTCGGCCACTCCTTTCTCTCACACATCGAGCGCACCTCCCTGCTCTGCTACGTCCTCGACCTCGCCTGCGCCGAGCGCCACCCGGCGGTGCAGCTCGCACTGCTGCAAGAGGCGCGCCACCCCTGCTCGGCTACTGCCTCTCGCCCGACGGCGTCTGCCTCCTCTCGCCGTCTCGGCGAGAGCCGGACGCGCGGCTCCACGCGGCTCCACGCGCCCCTCCCCCCTCGCCCCCAGGAGCTCGATCGCTACCTGCCAGGCCTCGCGGCGAGACCGTGCATCATCGCCGCAAACAAGGCGGACGCCTCCGCCGCCGCCGCGTCGCGCCTCGCGGAGCTCCGAAGCGAAGTGGCCCACCGGCGCGCGCGCGGCGAGCTCGCGGGCCTGGTGACGCCGGCCGGCCCGGCAACCTCGCACGTGCTGCCCGTATCGGCGCTTCGGCGGGAGAACCTCGCGCGGCTAGTGGGGCGCATGGCGGACGGCCTCGACGCGGCGCACCGGCTTGCGGCAGAGGCGGACGCAGCGGCAGCGGCGGCGGCGGAGGCGGCGGCGGAGGCTGCGGCAGAGGCGGAGGCGGAGGCGGCGGCGGAGGCGGAGGCGGGGAGAGAATGGCGGGAGGCGCTGATGGCGGCGAGGGCAGCGGAAGAGGGCGGCGCAAAGGAGAGCGGAGGGAGGAACGAAAGGCGAGCGAAACGGAGGCGGCGCAGGGGCACGAGGCCACCGTACGAGCATGAGCGTGTGCGGGAGATCTTGCGAGCGGGGACTCGGCAGTCCCCAATGTAGAGCGCGCGCTGTTGGCGCGGGCCGTTTGGGGTGGGCCGGCCGCTATTGGGAGCGGGCGGCTGGCGGCTGGCGGGTGCGGGCGGTGGGGGGGGGGGTGCCGGGGGGGCGCCACAGCTTCCGCCAGCGCCACGCCACGCACACGCGCGTACGAAAAAACGAAAATAAAAAATCATTGTCCTAAAATAACCCTGCCCATTTCGCCACCACGAATCGGAACGTCAATCGCAACTCCTCTACCCATTCTCAGCACCGCCGATCAGGGTTGACGCTGTGCCACAAGCAACCGCATGTCGAAGCCCGCCTCCTCGGCCACCATCGATTTGAGCGGAACAATGCGTGAGGGCCCGGTGCCAGCCTCGCTCCGCGAACAGGACACCCAGCGCTGGCACAGCTCCTCCGAAGGGGCGTGCACGGTGTGCACCTCGAGGCTGAAGCTCAGCTCCTCCGGCGCGAGTGGCGTGAGTTGCTGCTCGCAGACGCAAACCCGCACGAGGAAGCCGCGCAGCTGCTCCAGGAGCTTGTGCACGCCGGAAATCGCAGCGGGCGCTCCACTCAGCTCGAGGACAAACGTCTCGAGCACATTCGGTACCACGAGCACATCCGACGGAGCGGCGGAAGATTGCGCGAGTGGTGCGCCCAGGACAAGGATGGCCAGCCTCTCTGCCTCTCCACGGCGCAGGAGATCGGCAAGGTCGCGCACGGCACCATCGATGTAGGCGCAAAGCTCTGGGTGCCGCGACCTGAGTGCGAAATTATCCGGGCCCTGAGAGGCATGGGGGCGCTGGGATATAATGTGTTGGCGGGGACAGCACTCGCCTGCGCACCGCGACACCGAGGTGGCGGCGGGCTTCAAAGGTCTCCTCGGGGTAGACCTTGCGAGCGAAGAGCACCTGGTGGATGAGCACTTGCACAAAATCGAGCAGCGTTTGCTGCACCTCGGCGCTCGAGGCCATACACGGGCGGCGGTGTGCTCTACTGCTCTTCTGCTCAGCCACAAAGAAGGGTCCCGCACTTTCTTTCAGACTTTTCAGAATTCTCATCCGGGCAAGTTTCGCGCGTCCCCACGATGGTGGCTGCCCTTGGCGGCTGCCACCGTGGGAGCCGACCTGGAGATCCTCAGCGGCTGCAGCCGCCCGCGGCCGCTGCCGAAGGCACCAGTCGCACGGACTTCAGCTCGGTACAAAGTCCAAGCGGTGCATGTGGGCCCCCGACCCGCGCTCGCTCGACGCGGTGCGCGACCGCACGGATGTCAAGGGCACGCCGGACTCCGCAGACGGCGTCCTTCGCGGTATTCGCGTGCTCGGGGCGTACCTCGGGGACAAGGCGTGGTGCCGTGACAAACTCGTCAAGCGCGTCCGCAAGGCGCTGGAGCCGCTCTCGGGCATCATGGCGCTGCGCGACACCAAAACGATCCACACCGCGCAGCAGCTCGCCCAGGTGCTCCTCCGCTTCTGCAGCAACACCACGCTCACCTTCTTCCTTCGCACTATGCCGCCGTCGGTAACCCAGGACGCCGCGCGCGAGCACGACCGCCTGATGGAGGAGGCGCTCTACACCCTCGTGGGTGGCGCGCGGGTCGGACGCAACAGCCCACGGTGGCGGGTCGCTGTTCAGCAGGCCCGACTTCCGGTCAGGATGGGCGGTATGGGCCTGACCAGTGCCATGGACATCCGTGAGGCAGCGTGGGTCGGCACGTGGGCCCTCGTCACGCGGCCGATACGCGAGCTGCACGAGCCATTCCGCGACCTCGATGTGGCCCTCGCGCCGGGAGAGCGCTTCGACGAGCTTCGGGAGGCTCACAAACGCCTCCGCGCCGTTCGCGACGCGGTCGGCAAGACGTGGCGCGAGTGGGACGGGCGCACGCTATACCAAGACGTCGTCGGGCCCTTCCAGGAGACCAAGGCGGTGGGACGGCGCCGCTACCACCCGCCCAAGCTTACGCCGGCGGCGGAGCTGCTCGATCTTTCGGAGTTCTCGTCTACCAGCGAGTTCTTACAGCAGGCGCAGCGGCGGTACACCGTCGGCGTACACCATCGCAACTGGCTCGCCCTCGCCGACGCCTTCGTCAGCGAGGCATCCCGGCAGGGCGGCCGCTACAAGACTGGCAGGTGCAAGAACCACAAGTGCTGGCGCGAGGCGATTCGGTTCGTCGCAGTCAGCCAGGAGGGGGCTGGCGCCTGGGCCGCACCGTCCAGCACAGGCTTCTCGCCCGCGTGCGCTCCCCGCGTCGCGCATTTCACGCATGTGCGGCCAGCGCATGCGGGCAACGGACGGCACAGAGGGGCGAGTTGTGCAGGCGGCGGACCCGCACAGGTGCCGGCTGCAGCTGAGCGATTATCGCCTCTCGACGCGATCATACCGGCCCGAGGACCTCCGGGCGACTGCCTTTGATCCCCAAGATATCATCCTGAACGGCGCGCCGGCAGACCTGCACGGAGAAGTCGTGCGCGTGTGGTGGCAGGACGAGGACCGGGGCGGCAGTTGGTTCACCGCCGTGCTGGGGCCGCCGCGGGTGCATCGCCAGCACGGTTGGTTCCTGCTCTCGTACGAGGACGACGGAGAAGAGGAGGAGATTTACATCGGCGTGGGGCCCAATGGGAGGTGCCTCGTCTTTCGCACCGACGGGGAGGAGCGAGAGCCGTCTCGAGCACCAGCGGGTGTGTGAAACTATCTCAGCGGGACCCTCCAATGCTAGGAGCTGCGGCTGGGGAGGGACGTCGAGCTGGCCGACGAGCTGCTCGCCAATGCCGTTCGGCTCTTGTATCACGAGGCGTCTGCCAAGGCTCCGCTGAGCTCCGCGCTCTCCAGCGCGCGCGGCGAGATTGCGGATCTGCGCAAACAGCTGGCGGCTTCGCAACGACAGCTCGCCGAGCACGGCCTCGTGAGCGCCGCGGCACCTGCCGCAGACGCGACGCGCAGAGGTGGGACACAGGAGGGCGGGCCGCACGAAGTGGAGGAGCTCGATGGCTACCTGATCGAGTCGCAGTCGGCGCCGCCGAGGTCTTGCGGCGCCGCCCGCGCGGATTCGGATCCTGGCGCGTCGGGGTCCGAGCGCGAGCAGGCAACCACGATGCGCAGCCTGATTCTGGCCGCTCTCAAAGCCGGCCACACTGTGCGTGACGACATCTACGCCTTCATCGAGGCCTCCCCCGCCGCAGCGTCGTACGGCAATTTGCGGAAGAGCGTTGTCACCGCTTTGGGCCGCGAAAAGATTCGAACGACCCCGCTGTGGACGCAGATCGGCTCGACCAACGTCTACCGCATCGGAGAGGCGGCCGACGGCGCTGCGGCCGGGCATGACGTTCTCAAAGGTGGCTCTGACGCGGTGCCGGTGCTGGCAAAGGAGGACGACGAGGCTGGCGAGGTCTGGCAGGCGAGAGGACACAAGTTTGTCGGCAGGAAGGTCGTGCGGTCTTTCGAGGGAGCTGCGGTGCACGGCAAAATCACGCTATGGCTGCCGGCCACCGACGAGGATGCTGCCCTCTTCCACTGCGTGCACGAGGACGGTGACGAGGAGGATCTGGAGGAGTGCGAGGCGGAGCAGGCCATCGCGGCGCATGTCGAAGAGGTCGTGAAGCGCCAGGCCGCTTACGCGGCGAAGCGTCAGAAAGTGGTGGGGGGGCGACGGACTCTGCCGCCTGCTCCGCAGGACAGCTCGGAGCAGCAGCAGCCGCAGCAGCAGCAGCCGCAGCAGCAGCAGCAGCAGCAGCAGCAGCAGCAACAGCAGCAGCAGCAGCAGCAGCAGCAGCAGCAGCAGGCGTGTCCTGATGCGGACTGAGACCTCGACATCTCGAACGCGCTGCGCAGCGTGACCCCTTCTCGCTTCTGGGATCTTGCCCGTTTCTGCGGAGAGAAGATTTCTCAGGGCGGTCCGGCGGGGTTACGTGCAAGAGCTAGAGACCAGTCAACGGAGAGCTCAGAGAGACAGAGAGGTCCGCGCGCCGCGCGGAGGCCGGAGAGCGCGGAGGCGGGGGCGCGCGGGGAGAAGAGGCACGCACAGACGACGCCCCCGCTCGCACGCGGGGCTTTTTAGTTTTTTGATGGTGGTCCTTGGGCCGTCCCGTTTTGATCTCTCGGTCTGTGCACTGTGAGCGGCGCCCGCCCGCCGCCTCTGAGGGGGTCGGCCCCCCTAGTCTGAAAACAAAAACAAGCTCGAAAACTCCAAAACAGCCAAAATCAGCCTGCGAGAGAGGCACTGCCCGCGCCGCTCCCGCTGACCTCATGTGTGGCCCACGTGTGGCGGGGATGTGTGCCGACACCAATACTGATCTAAACCCTGGAAACCCTTGTTCAAAGCCGACCCTAATCGCCATCCTTCCTGCTCTCACCTGATGCTGCTGCCCCGCACCGCCTCCTTGGGCCCCCTTGGGCGTATTTTCTACTCCCACGGTGGGGTCCCCGGGGCCCCCGCGCCCCGGGCCCCTCTTGTTTTCTGTTTTCTGTTTTTCAAAACGCCCGCCCGCCCGCCACCCCGAGGCGGCTCGGCCCCCCACAGTGCACAGACCGGCGAGAGATCAAAACGGGAAATAAATAAATAAAAACGGTCAAACTCTGAGACGAGATATGGGATTTAGGTGGACATGATTGTGTGTCCCCGCGCGCCCTGCACCCCACGGTCTTGTGGTGTGAGGGATCTTCAATCCGTCCCCTCACTGACTGATCAAAACGGGACGGCCTTGGACACAATAAATTTATAGTGCATGATCAAGTGCATGATCGCTCTCGAGTATGGACTATGGACTTGACTATGGTGTATCGCGCGCAAGAGCGGCCGTTTTCCTTTTCGTTTTTGCTGCGTCCCTCAGAATAAACTTCGCCTGAGCGCTCGCGCGGAGGGAGGGAGTGCCCCAACGTTAAGGAGGCATGCGCCCAGCAGCACCACGCCGTAGACGGCCGAGACTGCAGCTACGATCGTCGCCATTGAGTCGAAGCCGTTGTGCGGCGCCCACTCGCACTCGCACGCAACTGCCTGCAGGGCGGGGAGCGCGCTTCTGGTTAGACGAGAGAGTCGGCACGGGGGCGGTCGACCCGCGGAGGGGCTGACCTCCCCGGCGCCAACGCCGGCCCCGTCGGCGTCACCCGAGCCTGCGTCGCAGCTGGCCAGGTCATGGCCGACGCAGAGCTGCGCGGTGCGGCTCGCCTCGTAGAGGAGCCCGCCTGTGCCGCACACGGTCTGCGGTGAGGCGGGGGCGGCGGTGCGCTCCGGGCTGAAGAGGGTAGGCGGCCGAGCAGCGGCCCAAATGCCCAACCGAGCGAGTAGGCCGCGTTCCACAGGCCCGAGGCGGAGGCGAGGGTCATCTTGTCGGGCGGGAGGAGCAGGACCATGTCTGGATAGACGGCGTTGTTGGAGAGGGCGGACCCAACTCCCTTGAGGCCCATCGCGACCATGACGGCCGACACAGAATTGAGCTCCGCCGGCGGCAGCGCCGAGAGCGGCGGCGCTCCTGGCCCCGTCCGAGGCAGCGCCGGCGCGAGGATCGCGAAGCTGAGCGCGAGGACGGCGAAGCCGGAAGCAGTAACCGCCTTGTACAAGCGCGACGAGGAGGGGAAGAGGTCGACGAGCCCGCCTAGCGCGACAGGGCGGGGGGTGAGGCGGGGTGAGGCGAGGCGGGGAGGCGCAGGCCGGGGCGGGCGGGCGTTGCCGATCGGGACCGAGCACAGGGTGTACACGACGGACGAGTACATGAAGACGAAGGAGACGAGTGAGGCCGAGGCGTAAAAGGGCGGCGCGCTCAGCCGGTACGAGAGCGTCGGGTCCAGCGTGGCGACCACGCCGCCCGACAGCATCGTCGAGCCCAGCCCCAGCAGCACCGACGCGCCGCAGAGTGGAGAAGCGCACACTGCGCCAGCCGACGCCCCTCTCCGCGCCTCGCCGGCGCCGCCGGCAGCGACGTCCTCGAGGCCGAGCTCAGCAGCGCCCGCCTTGGCCGTCGCCGGCGAGACGGGCTCGTCCGGCGCGTCCTCCCGCCCGCCCGCCCCCGGCGTGTCCTCGGCCCTTCCCTCCCCACCAGCGCCGTCGCTGCTGATGCCGCCGGCGGGCATGATAGCGCGGAGCGGCAAGACGAGCGCGAGCGAGGCGAGGGCGCAGACGAAGAAGGGGAAGCGGAAGCGCATGCCCATGCTCCCGTCCGCGGGCAGGTCGTAGAGCACGCCGCCCACCACCGGCCCTACCATGCACCCCACGCCGGAGATGGTGCCGATGGAGGCCATCACCGTGCCGAGCCGGTCTGGAAACTGCTGCGTGGCGAGGATGATGGCGGCGTTCTCCGCGACCGAGCCGAGCAGCCCGCTAAGCCAGTAGAAGCCCAGGAAGCCCCACTTGTACTGCGCCGTCTCGCCGCCCCACGCGTCCACCGCGTCGGGAGTGAGTCCGAACGCCAGCGTCAGCACCGACGTCAGCTGCAGCCCGAGTGAGATGGCCGTGCGCGTGCCGAGCCGCTGGACGATTTGCGGCGCAAACAGCGACGTCAGCGACATTCCCGCCGGGTACGCCGCGAAGATGAGCCCGTTGAAGCTGCCGCTGATGCCCCACGCCGTCGCGACGGGCGTGAAAAAGGCGGAAAGGAAGGTGGCGATGACATAGCGCAGGAAGAGAACGCTGTACACCCCGATGAGCAGCAGTCCGCGCGGAGGCTCTGCTGCCCGCTGCTCGTCTTCGTGCTGCTCGTCAGAGCGTTGCCCTCCGTCGAGGAGGTTGTCATCTGCCATGTATTAGCAGGACTGCCCCTCGGCCTGCGGGTTGACTAAGGTGGATCTTGCCATGAGCGGGAGGGTTCGCACCTCAATGAGGTAGGGTAGGGTACGCCCAGACCACCGCTTCAGTGGTCGTGAGTCGTGTCCTTCTGCGTTTTCGAGTTCGTTATTGATATTGCCATGATACATGAATCATTGTGTAGGTGGACTCTGATGTAGCCCCCCTTTTCCCCTCCCCTTTGCCCCCCCCTCCCCCCGCTACTGCAGCGGTGGCGGCCGCTCCTCGCTCTCCGCGTTGAGCTGCTCCTCGAGGTCCTCCCGCAGAAGCTCCTGCAGCGCGGTCGGCACCGATCCCGCGACCGCGGCGGCCCAATCCCGCGCTATCGCCTCCCGGTGCGCGAGCACGCGCGACGCCACCAGCGCCGGCTCGGTCATCCCCAGCCCGCCGCTGCTTAGCTGGCGCGGCTGCGGTGAGCTCGAGAGCAACTCGAGCACGAACAGGCCCGCGAGCTGGTGTCGCCGCGGCGACTCAAACCGCGGCAGCCACTCGTCGAGCTTCTCGCGCAGCCACTCCGCCGACGCCGCGTGCGAGTTCGACTCGTTCTGCTCCTCGTCCAAGTCGCGCAAGGCCGAGAGCGCCGCCTCGCGCGTGCACGCCCGCTGCAGCAGGTCGAGGTTGGACGCACGAAAGGGCGAGGATGCCTCCGAAAAGTCGGAGCTCCACTTGCCCGACGCGGCGCGCGTCGAGGCGTACAACGCCGGCGGCAGCGCGATTCGTGGGTCCATGCACAGTGCGTCGACCGTCACGTTGCCTGCCAAGTACTCGCCGAGGGGCGTGGAGGGCGCCACGTCCTGCCGCTCGCTGCAGTCGACGTCACGGGTGGCGAAGGCATCGCCACCGTTCTGGACGCCGCCCACGCCGCTCCCGTCGAAGGGGTCGGCCCTTCCGCCGCCGCCGTCGCCGCCGCCGCCGCTCCCGCACACGTCGCCCAAGTACAGGCTCTCCGACGACACGCTCAGCAGGTCGCTGCTCCACTCGAGGGCCAGCTGGCGGCAGATGGACATCAGCCCTTGCGCGACGCGGCGCGGCTCGACCACCTCGCTGTACTCCTTGTACTGCGGGCCCGACTGCTTGAGGTACGGGTTGGCCGCGCGCGAGGCCGACGCGGCTGCCCACGGCGCCTCGCTCGCGTCGCCCGCCGAACCTGCACCAGCAGCCGCCGCGGCGCTCGCGGCCGACCCCGCAGTGTCAGCCGCGTCAGCCGTGCCGATCTTGTAGCGTACCTCGTAGCGCTCCACCTTGCCTCGGAGCATGGTCTGCAGGTACTCGGTCCACGAGCAGCGCAGGCCATCGCTCAGGCCGCGGTAGAGCGGGTAGCCTGAGCTCTTGCGTCCTCCGGTGCGCTCCACTCTAAGGTGCGCGTGGCCGAGGAAGGACTCCAGCCACCGCGCGCGCATCTCATTCTTGAACTCGTTGTAGTAGGAGAGCTGCGCCTGGATCGCGCACTGCATGAGCAGCGAACACACCTTGGCAGGCAGCGGAGGCCCCTCATAGGGCATCTCGTTCTCGTCGTCGGTTGATGCCATCGTGACTGCCGCCGCTGGGCCGGAATGGGTCGGATGGAGCACGACGTGCCGGAACACGCCGGCACTGCTGTGCCAAGCCGCACTGTACAGCATCGCTGTGCTCAGAAGCGCGAGCATCGCTGCTCCCTTCCGCTGATCTTCGTGCCTCGCGTGACGGCACGAGGGGCGGGCCTCTGGCGCGACACCGGCCGGCAGCGGGCACGCAGGCTGATCGATCGACGCGCGGCTGGTTCGGCCTCCGAGACCTTGGAAAGGAGAAACGAAACGCCCGGCGGCGAATGCGCGCCCCCCCTAGCTAGGGGTCAGGGCTCTCTAGCCCGTAGCCCGATGCCGATCATCCGGCTCGCTGGGTGCGCTTCTTAGCTCCCCGGCCCTGGATGTGAGGTTACCGACTGCACTCCAAGTGCTGCAAGTGCTTTCTTCCGGGCCACTTTCTGTATACCCGAAAGAAAGAAAAGGGAGCTCGCGGGGGAGGTGACGAGTGAACTACAGGTAGTGGGGAAGGCAGCCTCGACTGCCATACAGACATGGATGCGAAACAACGACAAGACCAAGGCACGGGCAGAGGAACGAGAGAAGAATATAGGGTGGATAAAGCGCCTGTTCACGGCATGGAGGGTGAGCCACGCCGAACGTACCGAACGTAGAGCCGAGCGGAAGGAAGCGGGGGAAGACGACTCCGAGGAGGACGAACCAGTGGAAATCCCGTTGTCAGCCGTCACGATGCACCCGAAGGGGACCCCAGCGAGCGCCGGCATCATCCGTGAAGGCACAAGTGTTCGAAGAGAGAGTCGACCTGAGCAACGACATGACTGGGCGGCAAATGATCGCAGTGGGCATCAGAAGACTCGTCCTTGCGCGAGGAGAGCTCGATAGACTCGAGCGTCGAGGGGCCAGGATATGCAGCAAGGAGGGCGGAGCTGCGCCAAAAGGCGAAAGAAGCCGAGAGAACAAGGGAACGGCAGGCGGCGGCGGCGTCGCAGAACGAGGCAGAGGAGTCAGAGCGACGCGACAGAGGAAGAAGCGACAAGGGAGAGCACGACGAGAAGGGGGAGACCGCGAGGTGGCACGAAGGTTGCAGCGAGAATAGGAGAGAGACTGCGAAGAGAGATCGGAAGAGGCGGACGCCCAAGGGTGGGCGACACGGCTAGCGCACCGCACCCCTCTCCTTAAAATCCCTGTGTGGTGGCGGCGTGCCGTTCTCCCATCCCTCCCTTGGGTTGGCGGTTTTCTTTCTTTCTTTTTTCTGCAAATTCGACTCATAGCGGTGGTTGAGGCCGATTGCCTCAACTGTCGCAACCACGTGGTTGACAGAGGCCTCAACCCTCAACCAAGTGGTTGACAGACCCCTTCAACCCCTCAACTACCAACCACGCGGAATGGCTGTTCATCCCCCCCGCGCTGCCGCGCAAAGGTCTGACACACATTCTCTGTGACCATTCATTCATGTCGTCTTCTTTAGACGCCTGGATGCTGCATTTGACGCGCCATTTTTACGAGTACTTGCTGTGAATGGGAGGTGTGATTCAAAGCCCGGAGGAGCGCTGGAGCCGCCGCACATTGGTCATTGCTCGGTACCCCCCCTGCACATCTAAAGTCATCCCTGCTGCTGGGGGGGGGGGGTGACCCTATAGGTCTGACCCCCCCAGCAGCAAAACGCTGCTGCTGGGGGGGGGGGGGGGTCCCGACCCCCCCCAGCAGCAGAGGGCATTGGACCCAGCTCTCCCGGCTCCCGCCTCTTCGCCGCCGCCGCCCCCTCCGCCTCCCACCTCGGCTCGTGTTTTAGCGGTACGCTCGAGGCGGCTGTGTTCACCGCGCCTTCGAGCCCAATACGCACCTTCGTCGTGTCGAGTGCTGGCGTTTTACTAAAGACTTGTGACGCACTGACCATGATCCATGTGAGCCTATCTTGTACTACCACACTACAAGCCGTATAGTGCCACTCACTCGGGCGTCTCGGCTGACGTTGATCGATCAGCGTTGATTGATCTCTCTAGCCATCGCCCCCCCGCTCGATCCTCGGATCGCTCGCTCGTCGAAATCGATCAGGCTACGGAGCACTTGGAGCACTTGGAGTGCAGTCAGTAACCGCACATCCAGGGCCGGGGAGCTAAGAAGCGCATGCAGCTCACTTTTCCGGTTGCAAGATTCTTTTTTCGCCAGTTCGCACCTGTGTCGATAAATAAATAAATACAACGGACACGCCAAACGAGGGGTGGGAGAAGGACAGGGTCCCCACCTGCACAAGCAGGATCTTGTAGGACGATCAGGGACACAGGGGAACGGGAGCGGGGAGCGCATCGCGACACGGAGGGGGGCTGGGCAGGGGGTTCACCCTCACGACAGGAATCCCATCTCTCGTATAGGACAGGTTGCACCCGGCGGCACGGGGGCAAGCGCGGGCCTCCTACTGGTTGCGCTCTCCTAGTTCTCCTGCTCCTGACAAGGGACAGCGACAGGCTCGCAGCACGGTGGACTCCCTATCCACTGGCGATCTCTCTCGACTAGCGACCTTCCTCCGACGTCTCACCGGCAGTCTCTTCTACCACAGGCAGACTGACACGTGGGTGGCAGTGGCGGTGATAGGAGTCTCCCACTCTGTGGGCCTCGCTAGAAGTGCGACCCCTGCGCGCCTGTGTCGAGCCTGTGTGCTGTGAGTTGTTTAAATTCTTTTTTCGACACGGTCGTCTTCCCGCGCTTTCCGTTCGTACGCAATGGCGGAGCAATCACCTCGCGCACCGCTTGCGGCGCTGCCTGCTGGCTCGACCGGCGTGCCGAGCAGCGTGGCGTGCCGAGCACCGCCCGCCACGCGGAACATCCGCATCCTCTGCCCTGAGGTGGACACGACGGGTGGTGGTGGTGTCATCGAGATCGAGGAGGGCATGACGCTCTCCGATGTGCGCGCTCTGCTCCTCGAGGAGCTCGACGACGAGCAGCTTCCCGAAGGTGTGAAGGACGGCACGACGCCATTCTACTTCGAAGACGCCAGCTCCGGCATGCCGTGGAGCAGCGGGCAGGAGCGCAAGAAGCGCCCGTGGCAGGCAATCGAGGGCGACTACACCGTCGTGCTCAAGGCGCGCAAAAAGATGAAGTCCGCTGCGACAGAGTTCAGCGCTCCCGCCGCTTCCGCCGACGCCGCGCCCGCCGCGCCCGCCGCACCCGCCGCACCCGCCGCGCCCGCCGCGCCCGCCGCGCCCGCCGCGCCCGCCGCGCCCGCCGCGCCTGCAGTGGAGGCGTTCGAGGCTGCCGCGCCGCTGCTTTCAGACGACGAAGCTATGGCCGCTGAGTCAGCGCAGACCGTCGACGCGTCGCCCGCCCAGCCTGTGGCCGAGGCCATGGTTCTGCTCGATGAGCCGCCGCCGCCCGCAGCAAGCGGGGACCAGTCCGAGCGGCGCGACGAGCGCGGTGTGCACGAGACGGCCAAGCGGCAGAAGGTCGGCTGCGAGCAGCCGGTGCATGACGACGCCGAGAAATTCCGGCCCGCCGCCGACAGGGGCGACGCGGCGGTGGCAGAGGCGGCGCCAGCAGCAGTGCCGGAGCCCGGCGCCGCTGAGGGCGACGAGGAAGTGACGGTGGCCGCTGCCGAGCCGGCGCTCAAGCTGCAGCTGCAGCAGGCTCCTGCGCCGAGCGTGGCGCAGCGCTCCCTCTTCTCGTTCGGCGCGGGCTCGCCCTTCGCGGCAACGCTTGAGACGCGACTCGCCGGCGCCTCCTGCTCCATCGCGCCTACCCAGGCGACGACGGACGCGATCGCCGCCGAGGCCAAGCAGGCCGAGGCCGCCGCAGCGCTGGCCAAGGCGGCGGCGGTAGAGACTGCTGCCGCCCTGGCGGAGGCGGCCAAGAAGGAGGCGCTGGAGGCCGAGGCCGCGGAAAAGGCCACTGCGGCTCACGACACGCTGCTGGCCGCGGTGTCGGCGGAGCCGCTTGAGGTGGAGGTGGGGGCGGCGGCCGACGCGCTGGCGGCGGCCGAGAGCGCGGGCGTGGCGCTGGAGGCGCAAGCCTCGGCCCGAGCGAAGCTGGACGCGGCGAAGGCGGCGCAGCAGCGGCGCGACGAGGCGCGCGACGCGATGGGCGCCGCAGTGGCACAGCCGCTGCTGCTGCTGGAGGTGGAGGGGGCGACGGCGGCGGCGGAGCACGCGGCGGCTGCGGGCGTCGGGATGGCGGAGGTGGCGTGGGCGCGCGAGAAGATCGAGGAGGCGCGCGAGGCGCAGGGGCGGCGCGATGCGGCTCAGGCGGCGCTGCAGGCGGCGGTGGCGCCGGCGGCGCTGCAGGTGGACGTGGCGGCGGCGGAGGCGCTGGTGGCGCCGGCCGAGGCGGCGGGCGTGCCAGAGGCGGCGGTGGCGGCGGCGCGTGCGGCGCTCGAGGTGGCGAGGCAGCAGCAGCAGCGACGCAAGGAGGCAGAGGCGAAGCTCCTTGAAGCGCTCAGCGGCCCCGCCGTGCTGGTCGATGTGGAGGCGGCGAAGCAGGCGCTGCAGATCGCGCGGACGTGCGAGGTGGCGCGCGCCGTGATCGACAACGCGCGCCAGAAGTTGGTGACAATCACCAGCGAGCAGACTCTCGCTCAGACGGCGGACGATGACGCGAGCCCGCCCCCCTCGTCAAAGCGCCAGCGCGTCGACATCTCCCTCGACAGCGACAGCGATGACGAGGACAGCAGTCAGGGCAGCCGCGATGACAAGCGCGCCGATGGTGCGGAAGGCGAGGCGCATGAGTCGCTTGGCATTTGCAAGCGGGTGTTGGCGGAGCTGCGCGCCAAGATCGAGGCTGAGCCGCTGCTCGCCAGCCTCGAGCGCCGCGAGAGTTGGGCAAGCCGGTGCACCGAGATCGAGGGGCGCGGCATCCCCGAGACGGTCATCGGCGTCCTCGGCGGCACGGGCGTGGGCAAGTCGAGCTTGCTCAACGCGCTGATCGGCGAGGCGTCGGCGCTGCCCACGTCTTGCTCGCGCGCGTGCACGGCGGCGTCCGTGGAGCTACGCTTCAACACGGCGCTCGGCGAAGTGGGCGGGACGGCGGCGGCTGGGCGCCTTGTCGCTGTGTACCAAGCGCGCGTCGAGTTCATGGCGCTTGCCGACTGGCTGCGGCAGCTTAAGCTGCTCGTGCAGGACGTGTGCAGCCACAAGGGTACTCTCGCGGAGAGCTGCCCGCGCGCCGATCGCAATGAGGCGGGGCACACGGCGTGGGTGACGCTCGAGCTGGTCTACGGCAAGGGCCGCCTGGAGAAGTTCGCGGCTGACGCGGACGAGGACGCCGTATACGATGAGCTGGCGGCCGAACCGCGTGTGCGCCAGCTGCTCACGCCGAGCGACGGCGCCGCGAACCACGTCTTGCACCTGCAGAAGGGCGAGGTCGAGGCGGGCTCGGCGGAGGCGGCGGCGCTCGCCTCGGGCAGGGGCCTCGACCGCGCGCTGGAGGCGCAGAAGAAGGCGTGGGCGACCGAGTTCCGCGGCGCGATCGACCCCTTTGTGTACAAGAAGGGCGAGGAGGGCGAGGCCGAGGACTGGCCGTTGATCCAAAACGTGACACTCGCGGGGCCGTGGCACGTGCTGCGCTCGGGCGCCTGCCTGGTCGACCTGCCGGGCGTCCGCGATGCCAACGTCGTGCGCAACAAGGTGGCGCAGAGGCGGCTGACTGCCTGCTCGGGCATCTGGGTGGTGGCACCAATCATGCGCGCTGTCGACGACCGCACGGCCAAGGAGCTGCTCGGCGAGCACTTCAAACGGCGGCTGCTCATGGACGGCCTGATGGACAACGTCAGCTTTGTGTGCACGCAGACGGACGAACTCGAGGTGTCCGATATCTGGAAAGACCACCATAAGGAGGCCGCCACCAAGCCCGGCCGCGCCGAGCGAATGCGCGAGTTGCACGAGCGGATGGGGCGCGCGGCAGCGGCGCAGGTGAAACTCGAGCACGAGGAGATCGACAAGGCGGAGAGCGTGCGGGCTCTCGAGCGTGCCGCCAAGGCGGCGAAGAAGGAGGCCAGGGAGGCCATGAAGCAGGCCCAGGAGGCGGTCAAGGCGTGGGAGCAGAAGGTGGCCGCGGGCGGTCCGGCCGTCACACTGCGGGCAGTGGCCGATGCTGATGGCCGGGTCAGCGTCCGCGTGGGCGCCGACGAGTGTGCGGCGCTGCGCGCGGAGGAGGAGCGCACCAAGAACGAGTACTACGACGCCAACGATCTGCACCAAAAGAAAAGGAAGGAGCACGCCACGTGGAAGCGGCACGTGCACGACAAGGAGAAGGTGCAGCACGAGGCGGAGTGCACCTCGCTCAAGGCGCAGCTCCGCCCGCTGTGCGCGGTGCTGCGCAACGAGTTCGCATCGCGCCGGTTGCAGAGCGACTTCCGCGCGGGGCTCGAGGAGCTGCTGCGCGCGCCCGACGAGGAGGAGCAGGGTGCGTCGTCGTCGGCGACGCCGGCGGCGGTGGCGGCTCCAGCCATCCGGCCCGAGGACTACCAGATGCGGGTGCACTGCGTGTCAGCCACCGACTTCCTCAAGGTGGCGCGCATCAAAACGCAGAGCGACGGCAAGAGCGCCACCTTCGAGTCAGAGGAGGAGACCGGCATCCCGGAGCTGCGCGTGGCGGTGCACGAGACGACGGCGCAGCGGCGCGAGCGCGCGGCGCGCGACGCGCTGCGCGAGACGGCCTACCTCGTCGACGAGATCGAGGTGCACCTGGGCTCCGCGGGCGGGCTAAGCGCGACGGCGAGCGCCCAGTGCCAGGCCGCCTTCGACGCACAGCTGGCTGAGCTGCGTTCGCGCTGCGAGGCCAGCTGCAGCGACCTCGCTTGGGCGCTCCGCCGCGAGGTGGACGTCGGGCTGGTGCCCAAGTTCAACCAGGGCGTCGAGCGCGGGCAGCGGCAGGCGCTGGCAACGGTCGAGTCGTGGGGCTCGGGCGACAAGCGCAGCAAGGGCGACCGCGCAGGTGGCGGGCTCGCGTGGGCCACCTACCTGGCGACGACGCAGCGCGACGGCTCATACTCGTCGCCGAAGGTGGGCGACATCGACTGGAACGCCGAGCTGGCCGAGCCGGTGGAGCAGTCGATCATGGTGGGCTGGGAGCAGACGATGAACGCCAAAACTAATGAGCTGCTGCGCGCGTGCCGCGACAAGCTGCAGGCCGACGCCAAGGAGGCGACGGTGCGCCTGCGCGCGGCGCTCGCGCAGCAAGAGCTGCCGGCCGAGGCGGTGGCCAAGGCGGCGCAGACGGCGGCGAAGTCGCTGGAGCTGGCGGTGGGGCGGCAGATGGAAGGCCTGCAGGACTACACGACGACGCGCCAGCGCGACATCAACCGCGGGCTGCAGCCGCAAATCCTCGAGCGCATGAAGGCGGCCTACGCGGCCGCGCGCGACGCGCCTGGGGGCAAGGGCCGCTTCGAGCGGATGCAGGAGAAGATGAAGGGAGGGGCGGAGGTGGGGATGAAGGACATGTTCAAGGAGCTCACCGACAAGATGTGCGCTCTCGCTGCCCCCCGCCGCGGCTGGCTCCCGCCCGCCCCCCCCGCTGCGCGCCGCTCCCCGCAAGCTCCCAGCGCCCTGAGCCGCGCCTCCCCGCGGTGTCGCAGGCTGGCCGACATCTTTGAGTTCATCGAGGCGCTCAAGGAGCGCGTCGCTGCCGTGTGCGAGGCCGCGTACAAGCTGCTCAACGACATCTTCTCGGCGTGCTGGACGTGCGAGGACGCCGCGGCCGAGAGCGCTGACACGCGCGAGGACGTGCGCCGCGCGCGCGACGAGGCGATCGGCGGGCTGGCGCCGCTGCGGCAGGCGCTCCACAAGCGCATGGTCGAGTCGGGCATCGAGCCGATGGAGCTGGACTAGGGGGCTGAAAACCGCGCCTGCTAGCAGCGGCTGCGGCGGCAAAGAACGCACTTGAAGACGGGGAGGGGGCTAGCCCGCACACCTTCCTGGGAAATCCCTGTGTGCCTATGTGTGTTGCTGCGGTGCCAGTGGTGGCTGTCGTGACGTGTTCACTCTTTCTTCCGATTTTAGCCGCCGCGCTGCGCGCACACTCACGATCTCACGTAAGTCGTAACCGCTTTTTTGTGCACCGCTCAAACCCGCCTCACAGGATTGAGAGCAGCAGGCCCTGGTCGACGCCGCCGCCCTTCTCTTCCAGGCGGATGGCGTCGCCAAGCGCCCAATGCGCCTCGCTCTGAAACCCGTCAATCTCCCTCGCGCGCAGCCGCAGCTTCCGCTCGCTGCGCAGCCCGAGCGCGGCTAGCGCCGAATAGTTTGCACGGATCCGCACCTCCACCGGGTGGTCGGCCCAGTTTGCCACAGCCACGGCGAACCGGGGTGGCGACCCCGCCGCGCCGTCGCCGATAAAGACGCTCGCGACCGCGGCGGGGCCTCTGCCTCCTCCGTGGCCGTACTCGACCGTGGGGGCCAGCAGGGAGACGGGGCAGGCGGGGTCCCACCACCCGAGGAGCCGCGGCCTGAGCATGCCCATCGCGTCGAGCGCCGCCCAGAGCGGGCGCGGGTTGCACTTCCACGGGTCGGGGTAGATGCGGCACGTCATGCCGTGCACCAGCCCCTGCCTACAGGGGTCGCATCCACCTCACCAGGAGCGAGCGCGCGCGGGGGGCGCGAGCTAAGGAGCGAGGGGTCGCGCGCCACTGATCCGAGTTGTCTCCGAGGAGCTCGCTGCCTGGGGGGGCGGGGAGGGGGAGCTCGGTCACAAAATCGGATGGAGGGCTGAGGGGCGGGGCGGGGCGCGCTCGCCGAGGCCAAAGGGCACGCCCGAGACCTCGGCCAGCCACATCGGCGGCGAGAAGGTGCGGTACTCGCACTGCTCGCCAAACCAGATCGAGTCGAGGTAGGGGTAGAGCTCCATGTAGGGCAGGTGCGGGTTGCCCGCGCACGAGGCGTGCAAGTCGAGAAGGAAAGGGTCGCCGCGCCGCCCGCGCCGCTCGGCCGCCAGCGCGCGCCGCAGCCTCCGCAGCACGGTCCGCTCGTACGGGGCGCCATCTAGGTAGATGCCGTCGATGCCGATGTTGCGCACGAGCCAGAGGATGCCCTCGATCCAGTAATTGTCCCAGCGGGAGGTGAAGGCGGGCGTCTGTACCGCGGCGTCCACCTCGCCGTCGGTGAGCACCTCGTGCCACGCGGCGGTGTAGTTTGCTCTCAGGTGCTCGCGCAGCCAAGCATGGCCAGCCGCCTTGCCGCGGCTGGAGATGAGAACCTCACTGCCCAGGGCTCGCAGCGCCCACAGCTCGACGGCGCGGCTGGAGAGCTCGCGGACGGTGTAGTAGAGCTTGACCTTCGCGCCGGCGGCGTGGGCGTCGCGCACGTACCGGCGCAGCGGCTGCAGGTCGATGAAGGGGTAGTTGATGTACGGAATCAGCGGGTTGCCTTGGGGCGGGGGGTAGGGGGGAGGGGGTGGGAGGCTGTGAGGAGGCGGTGCGGGCACCGAGCCAAGGAGGGGAGGCTCGAGCCTTGGTGCAGGATGATCCACGGCCTCGTCGGCGACGTGTCGAGCGCCTCGCCCAGGTCGATGTGGCGCTGCATGTGGAAGTACCTGCGCGCGCGGGCTGCGCCTCGGAGAAGAGTGTCCGGAGGTGCTGCGGCCGCCTCAACGGCGCGAGCGTGCCTCGTCGCAAAATCGGCCCGCACGGGTCCTCCCGCACCGCGCACTGGTGTGAGAAGAAGACGCCAGTGGAGGCGGAGCCGCTCTCCGGGCCGAAGCGGCGGCAGCTCGCCCGTGTGGACAGAGAGGCGCACGGCCGGCGGGTGGTCGCCCGTGGTGTCTGGCAGCACCGTCGCGCCGCCGCGGTTCGAGTTGTACCACTCCCTCGAGCCCAACGCGGCGTTGAACTGCGCGTCCGAAACGTCACCGCACTGCAGCCGCCCATCCTCGTCGTTGCCGCAGCTGCTCGCGACGGCCGCCGCTGCCTCGCCGCCGCCCTGTAGGTTGAGCTGCAGCCCTGCGGCCGCCGAGCCGAGCCAGACGCGGCAGTTGAGGCCTCGCTGCGCGTGGTCCTGGGTCGACTGCGCCTTGTCCCACCGCCAGCGCACCTCGGCGGGGCGCGAGCCTCCCTTGACGTCGAACCCGTTGATGAGGGGGACCATGGCCTCGAGGAGCGGCAGCTCCAGCCGCACGTCGCTCAGGTTGACCGAGGAGCCGCTCGGGGAGAGACGCCGGCTCACGTGCAGCTCGGCGGCCATCTCGGCGAGTCTGGGCCGTTCGGCGGGCGTGTGGGCGCCCGGGGGGGGGGCGGGGCGGGGGCGGGGGGGGGGGGGCAATCGGAGATTGGGAGCCGCACACCCGTCGTTGGCAAAGCTGCCAGAGAGGCGCACGTGGAGAGCAGTCGCGCTGGCAGAGTGCGCCCGCGCGAGCAGTCTCCAGCTCACGCTGCCGCCGGGGCCACGCTCGGCCACGAGCCGTGGCTCGAGCGGCAAGAGCTTGAGGTCGTGCTTCCCGTCCCGCAGCCGCAGCTCGACTGGCGAGGCGAGCAGCTCGGCAGAGCCAACCTGGCCGGAAGAGAATAAAGGTGCAGCCGCAGTTGTGCCGGAAGAGGAAGAGGGTGCGACGGGGAGGAAAAGGGGGCCTTGAGGCTGGCGGGCAGCCCGTGCGCCGAGAGGGCGATCTGCCCCTGGCCGGGGGCGATCAAGACCACGGCGTCCTCGCGTCGCTGCAGCTGCACGCACCCGTCCTCACCCGCGTCACACTCCTCGGCCGGCTGCGGCTGCTCTGGCGCCTCCTCCTCCTCGGCGCCAGCGGTCGAGTCGAGCCAGCGAAGCCGCGAGTGGCGCCACGGCTCGCCGTCGCCGGCCTCGACAGCGCGGTCCTCACCCACGGCCAGCTCCACCGCGACGCTCTCATCCTGGGTGCGCGCGAGTCCACACACACACGCGTGGCATGAGGGTGGAGGTGCCGGTCGGACAACGCCAGGCGAGGGGCTGCGGGGAGGCGGCTCACCGAGGCGCCGCTCTCCGCCCACGCCGCGCTGACGAGGACGGTGCCCCGGTACGAGTCGGCCGGCGCGTCGCTTGGCACGTCGACCCCGATCCACAGCGGCAGCACCGCTCCGACGGCGACGTGGAGCCCGTCGCGAGCGGCCGCCGAGCCGCTCGGCAGGTTGATGCACCGCAGACGAGCGGCGCCAATCACGCCGCCGGTTCGCCGTCCGCGAAGCTGCGCGCAGGCACGGCAAGGGCAGTCGGCGGCGAGGCTGACCCGTCAGACCGGGGGTGAGAGGGCGGGTAGGAGGAGGCCTCGACACGACTGGCAGGAAAGCGGGTGCGTGTGCCTCGGTCCATCGCACGTGTAGCGCCAGACTCGTCTGCGGCGCATAGGCGCCGATCTGAAAGGTGAAGAACTCGCCGCGCAGAGCCTCGCCCCGGTAGGCCGAGCCGTTGGCCGGGGCGGCGCCGGCGGCGACCCACAGCAGCGGCAGCGTGTGCGTCATGCGGATCGGGCGGATGCGGTCTTCCGGCCACACCATCAGCGTCCTCCCGCTGGCGCGCAGAGACGCCACCTGCAAACGGGGACGGGAGCAACAACTCGGCCGGAGTAGTGAGGGAGGGGTGTTCAGTCACCCGTTTGCGCCTCGGCCGCCGTTGCCGCAACCTCCATCGGGTAGAACGAGTCCCGCTCGGTGCGCGCCTGCGGGCGCCGAGGCGGCGTGAGCTGCTTCGCCCGTTCGGATCGGGGAGGAGCGTGGCGGTGACACACAGGAGCACCAGCGTTAAATAAACCCGCGCGCCTGAAAGCCGGTGACTGCGGCACGCGGGATCGAGTCGCGCCAGCCCGGCGCGGCGGCAAGCGCCGCCGCCCGCCGCGCCCAACCTGTCTGCACCGCGCGCGCGTCCGCAATGCACTGCCCCCACGCCGCGCCCGCGACGTAGCCAGTGCAGGTGGGCGCGCGGGCGGGGCATTTCGCGCTCGCGTCGCCGAGCGTGCCCGTCTGGCCGCAGCAGACCGAGTCGCCCACCCTCGCGCCAAAGTCGGCGGCGCACTTGTCGTCTGCGCTCGAGAGCTTGTATGGCGTCGAGCATGCGCGGGACGGCCCCGTCTCGCAAGCGGTTCGCACAAACGGCAAGTAATAGAGGTGCAAGCGAGGCACGGGCCGCGCCGGCGGCTCGAAGAGCAGCGTGACCGACTCTGAGTCGATGGAGGTGACGTGGAGCGGCAGCTCCTCGCGCTCCTCCTCCTCGCCAGACCCGTCGCCGCCCGCCGCTGCGTGCAGCCGCAGCATCCGGGCGTCCACGGCGATCCCAGGAAGCCGCCACTCGACGTGCGCCCACGCAAAGGCGCCGTATCCGCCCGTCGCTCGTAGGCGTAGCTCGGCGCGGTGGCTGCCCATCCCCGCGTCTTGCCACGGCTTGACTGAGTACAGGCGAGCCGCCGCCGCCACCGCCGCCGCCGCTGTCGAAGAGGATTGTGCCGCGTGTGGGCCGGCACCTGCTGCCGGCCGCCAGTCGGGCAGCGCGTGGAGCAACGCGGATCCGGCCTACGACGAGTGCGGCGACCAACCTCTCGGGACGGCCCAAAGCGTGTGCTTCTGAGGAGAGAGAGGAGTGTTCGCCAGCAAGAGCGCCGTCGCCATCGCGACAAGCGTGAAGAGGAACCTTTCAGTCCTGCGTCTGCGTGGCAGACGTTGAGGGGAGATCTTGACGCGCGGTGGACAGCGCGGTGGACAGCACTGCAGGACAGCACAGCACTCGCGTCGGCCAGTGCGTGACTCAGTCACTTTCTTTTACCATTTTTTAATATTATTCTTTTTGTTTTTGGGGGGTAATTAACGCGTCGATTATCGCGGGCGCCGGCGGGCTGCACCTGCTTTCGTTTCGCGCGCAGCGCGTGCCCACGTTGCTGAGCCCGCTGGCTTAGCCCGCTGCTGAGAGACATGATGAAGCCCTCACTGCCGCCGCCCTCGAACCAGTACATGGCCCGCATGCGCGATGGGCGCACGACCCTCCCGCCCGCATTCGAGTCTTCCGGCGAGGGCAAGACGGTGGTCGCGCTAAACGGAGGCGGCGTTCATGCATACGTCGGCTCCTATGGCGCTCCGCTCGGCCCGAAAGTACTCTCGAACCTGCAACACCGCCAAACTGCCCTACCTGTTGCCAGGCGTGCTGCGCGGGCTGTACAAAGCGTCCGCGCTATCCCAGGTCGGCGTGCTCGCCGGCGTTTCTGGCGGCTTTTGGGCAACATCGGTGTACTCCTTTGCGCGGCCGCACAAGAACGGGAAAGTCCGCTATCCTCCCTCTCCCCACATGCCTTCGCCTCGCCTCACCCCCCACCACACATTCGCCGCCCGTCCAGGAATTGGGGCCAAGGGACGCGGATGAGGTCCTTCTCGATGCGGGGCGGAATTCAGACCCATCAACCTACACGTGGGACGAGCTGGGCAAACTCGACAAGCAGGCCCTCGGCCAACCGGCGACGAACGGCTGCTTTGGCCTGACACCGGTCCGTTTTCCTAGCCACCAGTGCAGATACTGTACTCCCCAGCCTTGTCCTCTTTCACCATCGCTGCCTGCTCCATAGCTTGTTGGAATCTGCTGCTGCTGCCTTCCGATCATCAACACCTGCGTTTACATCCTGCCGGGATCTGGGACTTCGTGTGGCGGCTGTGCGCACGCGTTCGGCTGCAAGAAATCGGGGCGCGCCCTCCCGCCTGCCCCGCTGTCCCCGGCCCCCTCCATTGAGCCTCCTCCGCCTGGCGGGTGATATGCAGAGCGACTTGCTGCAACCTGCCACACAGCATGCACAGTGCCTGGTTCGATGAGGTGTACCGCGTGTTTCTCAAGCCGTTCAACGTCAAGGCGGACAAGCTGCTCGCACCCGACGAGACGGAGGCGGATGCCATCGCCTCGCTTCTCGGCAACTCAGTCGCGAAGGAGGACTTCCAGTGGCCGCGCTATGGCACGGAGGGGCCGGCGCCTCTGGGCATCTTCTCGCTGGTGCTGCCAGCCGGCCTGTCGTGGCAGAATGGCCGGCGAGAGCTGTACGAGATGCACACAAAGGCGGACAACGACTGGGTCGACTACGGAGGAGCGGCGGTCGACGTTGCGGAGTCGGCTCGAGACCACCACAACGGGGTGACGCTCATTCCATGGTGGAGCACCGCCGGCGCCACGGGGACGCAGTACATTACCCATAAGATGACCTTCCCCCATGCGCAGACGCACGTCTTTCCGTGGTGCAGCCCCCCATCCATTCCAACGGCGTGCTCCAACTGCTGCAGCATGTTGCACGTCACACTCACAGACGAGTGCATCAACAATTGCTTCCTCAAAGTCCCGTGCTGCGCGAAGCCGGAGGATGCGACGTTCGGCGCGACGAGCTCTGCGGCATGGGACGTTGTCAAGCCGGGCAGCCACGCCTTTTCGAGCCACTCGTTCGCATCCACCTTTGACGGATGCTGTTCGCCGGTGGCCACTTCGGACAAGCTTTCGATCGAGGCCCCCCCCCCCCCCCTCACCCACACACCCACACCCACAATCAAGCCCCCTCTCGCCCCCTCTCGCCCCCGGCCCTAAGGTGCTGACCGGCCTGTCGAGCGATGTCGGCGTGGCCTTCCTAAACTGCCGTGGCGCGGACTCCTGCCTTACCAACACGCTGTGCTGCTGCGGGCCACTCACGGGCCGCCTCAAGATTGTGACGTCGCCGGGCGAGCCAGCCCGCATGTGCGACTTTGGCGACGGCGGCATCATGGACAACACCGGCGTCGCCGCCGCGATTGCGCGTGGCAGCACAAAGATCATGTCGATGGTGACGCCCCCGGGCCCCTTCCGCCCGCCGACGAAAGCCTTCCTCGATGAGGCGAACAATCATAGCAGCCGAGTATCCCTGGGATAGCCGAGAGAGGACCGAGATGCCGATGACATGCATGACTGCCGCTTGACAAAGGCGGACGAACTCGTGGCTGCGGGCAAATTCGAGGAGCTCCGACGTCTCCTGCAACACTGGGTCGACGCCACCTCCAGGGTCGACACGAAACCGACAGACCCCGAGGACTCCACCTACCTGCTGGACGTGTGGCTATGTGCGCTGTTTGGTGTGGCGCAGACCAAGACCGTGCAGGGGCAGGTTGGGATCCAGTTCAGGCTGACCAACCAGATCTTTGGGCCGTCCGACTTCGTCCTCCTCCTCAAGAAGTTCAAGGCGCTCTACGAGAAGGGCCTGCCCCTCGTGGCCGCGATCGACCTTGTCACGCGCGAGAACTCCTTCTTCGGCGTCAAGAAGGGAACAAAGGTTGTGGCCGACCCACTTGCCAGCACGCACGTGCCCGTTCCCACTCTAGGCCGACCGCGTGAGCAGGTTACCGTGACCTTCTTCTACTACACGCTGCCCGGCGAGATGGGCAGCTGGAAGAAAGACAACGCCGACTGGACGACGATGTTCGACAACGCCAATTGGGAGTCCAAGCATTACGTGGAGGGCTCTTGGGCCTTTAAGGTGGAGCAGAGCTTGGGTAAGGACTGGGAGAAGAAGGTTTCCGGTGGCGTCTGCGTCAACATCGCGAGCATCTGCACCAATCGATGCACCCACCCGTGCTCGAAGTTGTGCTGCCCCCAAGTCCCCGTGCACCCCTTCCCGTACCTCTTCTTTGCCGTCCAGAACCTGTTCGCTTACACGTCTCCCATCGCCTGCTGCGCACCAAAGCTCCAAGCCTACACGTACCAGCAGGCCAACTTGTGTGGCCGCCTGAGCGACTTGAAGGTGCAGTTATTTACCCGGTGTGCTCACTTGACAGGTGAACCTGTTCGGCAGCCTTGGCGACTACATGGTGCAGGAGTCGTGGGAGGAAATCGCAAAGGCTCTCGGGGACAAAAACTAGCTCTCCCATCCCTGCTCCCCGCGACGGCGCAAGCGCGCTACCGCGAGTGTTCGAGGGCGACATTTGCGCTGCTTACGATCTACGGTCCACGATGTGTGAGATCGCCCCCAACACGGTACACGCAACAGTGAACAGATCGGGGATCAATGCGGATGAAGCGGAGGGAACGTGCCTGCGGGATGCGCGAGCCGTGACTGATGTGTGATCCCCTGAGATGGTCGTCTTTGTGTGTTAGCTCTCTTCCCTTTGTGCTCTTTGAGAAAAAACTCGTTAGACCGGCTCTGGCCTGAGACGGGCGACCACACCGCACACCACAAACTCACATGTTTGGTTTAGCTGGGCGGCTCGTGGCAAAGCACGACGTCGCCTTGCAAAACATGTATAGCTCAACCGCAGCCAAGCGCGACGGGCGCAGCCAGACGTCGCCATTTCGCCCGCGCCGGCGTGGCGCAACCCCCGGGCGCCTTCCCTGGCGGTCCTCATAGGGCTTTGCGCGCGCCGTGCAACCGGTCGCGCAGCGCAATCGCGGCCTCGAAGTCGTCCGCGTCCATCGCCGCCTGCAGCTGCGCCTCGAGCGCCGCCCTCTCCCCGCCGCCGCCCGCCGAGACAGGGGCATCCGATCCCCCCGTCAGCGCCTGCAGCCTGTCACGCAGCGCGATCGCAGCCTCGAAGTCGTCCGCGTCCATCGCCGCCTGCAACTGCGCCTCGAGCGCCGCCCTCTCCCCGCCGCCGCCCGCCGAGACAGGGGCATCCGATCCCCCCGTCAGCGCCTGCAGCCTGTCACGCAGCGCGATCGCAGCCTCAAAATCGTCCGCGTCCATCGCCGCCTGCAGCTGCGCCTCGAGCGCCGCCGGCGCCTCGTCTGCCGGAGGAGCGCGCGGCAAGTCCGGTGGAGGCGTCTCCTCCTCGGGTACGGCTGGCGGCGGCGGCGGCGGCGGCGGCGGCAGCGCTGCCGCCGCGGCCGCGCTGGCAAACGAGTCGACATCTGCGGCCGGTGCAACCGGCGTGGCGGCCGCCACGCTGGGCTGTGGCGTCTGCGCCACCGGCTGCTGCTGCACTGCCCGCACCGGCTCCGGAGCCGGAGCTTGCGCCGTGGCGGGCGTCTTGCGTTGCGCTACCGGCTGCGGCTGCGGGTCGTAGAGCGGCGCCAGCAACCCAAGCACCTCCTCCAAACGAGTCCGCTCCGCTCCGGCCGGCGCGTCGGCCGGCGCGTCGGCCGCCGCGGCTCGCAGGTCCTCGTACTTTTGCTGCAGCACCCCGTACGACCACAGCACGTTGCTGCCGTCGTCCCGCCGGTCACGGGGCGCCACATCGCCGGCGCAAAGCAGCGCCTGCGCGGCATCTGCGAGCCGGCCCGCCGCCATGAGCGCGGCGACGAGGGCGACGGTGCCGCCCGGAGGCGGCCGGCCGCCTTCTGAGGCGACCCAAGAGTGGAGCTCAGAGGCGATGTCGAGCAGTCCCTCCGACGGAGGCGACAGCGGCGGAGACGTCCTCGACGCCGGAGGAGCGCGGCCCCCAAACGACACCGACGACGCGCTCTGCGGCCGCTGCCCAACCAGCGTCTTGAGGAGCGCCTCGGCGATTGGCCACGGCAGCCGCAGCTTGCGCTCGGCCGCCTCGGTGCGGAGCGCGGCGACGTGCGCGGCGACGCGCTGCGGCGGCGCGGCCGCGTCGATGTTCGCCTGGATGATGTTGACGTACGACATGAAGGAGTGGCCGAGCGAGACGAGCGGCGCCGCCTCGAGCGACTCGGCCACCACCGCGAGGTCGCCGCCGGAAGTCGCCGCCTGCTCCCATGCCTGCGCGAGCGAGTGCGACGAGGCGAGCAGCTCGGCCGAGGCGGTGCGCATCGCGTCGAAGGCCTCCTCGGCGCGCTCGATCTGGCCGTTGCCGGCCCACACGCCAAACATCCGGTGGCAGAGCGAGATCGAGGGGCGGATCCCGTCCTCGGCCATCATCTCCCACGCGCGGTTCGCGTGGGCGAGGCGCACCTCGTTCGGAGACCCGTCCGGCTTCCACGCGCCGCGCGGCTCGCTGTGCTTCGTGCCGATCGCCACGTCGAAGAGGAACGCGTAGCTGAGCGGGTCGACCGCGCCCACGTCGCGCGCCGCCCGCAGCGCCGCCTCGGCCGCGTCGAAGCCGTCCTTGACGCCGCGGGCGAGGATGCGGTAGTTTGAGGCGTGCCTCAGCCGGTGCCGCAGCGAGTCGAAGACGGCCTTGCCCGTGACGGACTCCATCTGCGCGAGCAGCTCCTCCGTGAGAGCCACGTCGCCGCGGCACGCGGCGCGGTGCAGCAGCGGCCGCCACGCGAACGTGTCCACCTGCGGCGGCGCGAGACGCGCAAATGAGGAGGGCGCACGCCTCGACGCCGGTGCGCCGCGGCGGCGCGCCTGCACGCCCGCCTCGACCGCCTCGACCAGCTTGGCTCGCCCCCGCGGCACGGCGTCGGCGCGGCCGTAGACCTGCGCGGGCGGCCGCAGCGCCGGGTCAGCGGGAGGTGGAGGCGAGCGCGGCGAGGCGCCTGCCGCGCGCCTGCATCAGCGTCGCCACCGTGATGCTGCTCGGCGAAATGCCAGAGCCGTCCATCTCGCGGTGCATCGCCTACGGCGCGCGCCACCGCACCCGCCTCACTCCCTCCTCCCCTGTCGTCTCCCGAACCGCTCCCCCTCCGCCGCGACCTCTGCGCGAGGGAGGTCTGCGGAGCGCATGCGCGAGCAGAGCGAGATGAGGGAGTTGTAGGTCACCTGCCGCCAGGCAGGGGCGTGCTGGGGTCCGCCCTCTCTACCCCTCCCCAACCGGCGCCGCGGCCGCCAGGGGCGCAGGGGGCGGTCGGCCGCCGCGCCTCGTCGGGCGCCACGCCCGCCTCGCGCATGCGGTCGACGGCGCGCCACGCGTTGGACACCTCGTGCGGGAGCAGGGTGGCGGGCCGCTGCTTCTGGTGCGAGTACATGTTGATGAGCGCGTTGTACGCCGTCGCGCTGCGCGCCCCCGCCGCGTTCGCGTCGAGGAGGCTCTCGAAGAAGCGCTCGCCCCGCTTGAGCTGCCTCGCGCGGCCGCAGCCCTTGAGGAGCGCGGCAAAGACGCGCGGGTCGGGCTCCAGCCCGCGCCGGACCATCGTGTCGAAGTGCACAAAGGCCTGGTCAAGCCGGCGCAGCTTGACGCACGCGTAGATGAGCAGCGCGTACGACTCGCCGACGGCGGCGTCGGCATCCCGGCCGGCGGAGGCCTCGACGAGGTCCTTCTGGCCCTCGAAGAAGCGGAGGATCGCGTCGCACAGCCGCGGGTTGAGCAGCACGGACTGCATCAGCGCGTCGCCCGCCGCGTCGGCCGCCACGCCCTGCGACTCCTGCGCCAGAAGGAGGCGCACCGCGCGCGCGAGCGCCGGGCTCTGCACACTCTTCGCGTCGATCTCGTCGGGCTCGTGAAGGCTGTCCGCCGCGCTGTCGAGATCGGTGCTGGCTGCACTGCTGCAAAGCCGCCGAGGAGGAGCCGCCGCACGCCAGCCGGCCGCCGCGTAGCGGAGCGAGGGCGCTGCGGCCCGGCGGACGCAGAGTCGGCGAAGCGACATTTCGCGAATTGGAAAGAAGGAATTCGTGGTCAAGTGCTCCAAGTGGTCAGGTGTCGGAGGAGGAGGCGAGGGATGAGCTGGCGCGACCTCTGCGAGTAGAGTCGGGACGTACGAGCTCGCCGGGGGGAGACCCGTCGCGGTGGCAGCCGGGCCACCGTGATCTCCGACAGGGAGGGCCACGCCTCCCCGAGCCTGAGGAGGAGCCGGCGGATGGCCCGACGCGAACATCGAGGCCGCCGCCGAGCGCTGCCTCATCTACCTCATCGGCACGCGGGACCTCGGCCTCGGAGGGTGATGCCGTACTTGAGACAGAGTTCGCGCACGGCGCTGGAGTTGAGGACGACCTCGTTGTCGCAGAACGCAACTCCTCCGCGGAACGTGTGGCCGTCCTTTCCCTCGTTCTCGGCGAAGTACTTGCGCAGGTAGGCAGGCGTCTGGCCCTTGGTCTGCAGGATGTACGGCGTGATGGTGCTGGTGTGCTCGTCGACGACCATGAGTGCGTAGCGGTGCCCATCGACGCCTACCACACCCTTGGGCGACCAGAGGTCGTAGTGCGACGAGCCTCCGAAGCGAGTGGCCAGTGGCCGGCCGGTGCTGCGCCGCGCGTGGTACTTGGCGTTCGCCTGCAGCGCGGCGTCGTCGAGGCCCTCGTTGCGGTCCATCTTGGAGAGGTCTGGCACGCCGTCCGCGATCTTGCTGAGATCCTTTAGCGCGTCGCCGGAGATGCACAGGGCGTGCCGCCAGAAGGTGCCATCCGTCGGGCGCCGCCCCGGCTTGCCGCGCACGATGGCCTTGGCGGCGTTGGCGCCGACGGATGCGCCGAGCGGCATCAGGTGGATGTTGAAGTCCTCCCCGAAGTAGATGGTCTGCCCGGAGGGGTAGTTGAGGCGTGGTGGGCAGAGGTCGAAGCGGACCATGTGAAGGTCTTCAGTGACCACTCACAAGCTGTTCCAAGGCCCGACAGAAATGTACTGTCAAAACTTTGTTCAAACAAAAGTCCTGGCCCGCGGCCCCCACACCCACAATGACTATCAATCCAGGCTGCGGGTGAAGGGCAAAACCGCGCCGCTGCAGAACGGTTTTTGCAAAACCGCGCCGCAGCGGTACGAAACTGCGCAGATGCAGTCCAGGGGTGGTAAGGACACTATGTGTGTGTGTGTGGCCGTAGACTAGACGGCTGCGCGGTCGTCGGTCTTCAACAGGTGGGGAGGAAGACGGAGTCGCCGCGGGTCACGTTGTTGTCGAGCGTAGCCTTGTCCGACTCGTCGGGCGTCTCGTCCGCGGTCACAGGCTCCGGCCACGCGCCCTCGATGTCCGTCGGGGTGAGGTCGGAGGTAGGAGCACGGTACTCGATGCCGTTCCAGAGCTCGTTGACGCAGAAGGTCGCCTGCGTGGTGGTGCCGATGTGCCCCTTGCGCGGACCCTCGGTGATGACGTACTTCCAGCCGGGCGAAGTTCGCGAGATGCCGAGGAAGGCCGCCATCTCGCCCGTGGGTGAGACACCGTTCGCCACAAGGTGGGGGGGCGACTTGACGATCATCTTGCACGCCCACGGGTAGAACATGTTCATCTTGGGGCGCTGCCCGGTCTTGAGCTCGTACGCTGACTTGCCGGTGTCGCGCACGGCGAAGGTGGCGTTGGCGATGGTGGCCGCGTACACCCAGGCGTAGCCCCAGTACTGGTAGAGCTGGGTGGCGCCATGCCCCCCTGCGCGCGCCATCATCTCCCGCACGATCCTGCCGCAGGTAGCGTTCGCACGCTCGCACGCCCCATTCTGCCACGGCTCGTAGGGGCAGCTGTTGCGGAGGGTGATGCCGTACTTGAGGCAGAGTTCGCGCACGGCGCTGGAGTTGAGGACGACCTCGTTGTCGCAGAACGCAACTCCTCCGCGGAACGTGTGGCCGTCCTTTCCCTCGTTCTCGGCGAAGTACTTGCGCAGGTAGGCAGGCGTCTGGCCCTTGGTCTGCAGGATGTACGGCGTGATGGTGCTGGTGTGCTCGTCGACGACCATGAGTGCGTAGCGGTGCCCATCGACGCCTACCACACCCTTGGGCGACCAGAGGTCGTAGTGCGACGAGCCTCCGAAGCGAGTGGCCAGTGGCCGGCCGGTGCTGCGCCGCGCGTGGTACTTGGCGTTCGCCTGCAGCGCGGCGTCGTCGAGGCCCTCGTTGCGGTCCATCTTGGAGAGGTCTGGCACGCCGTCCGCGATCTTGCTGAGATCCTTTAGCGCGTCGCCGGAGATGCACAGGGCGTGCCGCCAGAAGGTGCCATCCGTCGGGCGCCGCCCCGGCTTGCCGCGCACGATGGCCTTGGCGGCGTTGGCGCCGACGGATGCGCCGAGCGGCATCAAGTGGATGTTGAAGTCCTCTCCGAAGTAGATGGTCTGCCCGGAGGGGTAGTTGAGGCGTGGTGGGCAGAGGTCGAAGCGGACCACGATGTTCTGCGCCTTGCACTCCTTGACGCTGACGAGAGGCATGGCGAGTCCGGGCGCGTACAGCGCGTTCACCCACTCGGTGTTCACAACCTTGGTGTCCTGCGGCTTGGTCGGGTCAGCCAGCGCGAAGGCGTACGCGGTGCCGACGCCCTTCGCCTTGAGGTAGTCGTTGTTTGCGCAGCGGATGTAGATGGGCTTCTCGGGCTCGCGCCACCCGTGAGGGAAGTAGTCGGGCGTCGGGAACATGTTCATGCCCGCCTTGGAGTCGACGCCAGCGGCATACGATCCCGGCATGTTCACACCGGCGGTCGTGTCGTACGCGTCGACGACCTTGACATGCCCGACAAGCGCGTGTGCCTGCATCGCGTCCATGCGTGCCACGTACATGGCGAGCATGATGCACGTGTACGAGAGGACGAGCGGGACCGTCTTGGGCACGTCGATGTTATTCACCGCGCGGAACATGTCGCCCGCGACCTTGCGGTAGATCGGCTGGAGCGGGTCCTCCTCGATGGCGTACTCTGCTCCGCCACCTGAGCCAGTCGCCTGCCCGGTGGACAGCTCGAGAGGGAGTGCGATGACGGACTCGACCATCACGCCCATGTTCGAGGGCTCGTCTACGGCGTCGGCCACAGGCGTGCCGATCGAGGCAGGCGAGCCCATGTAGACCGGGATGAGGCACGCGAGCAGGACGAGTAGGATGGAAGCGCCGATGTACGGGCGAGGCAGCGCGGTGACGAACGAGGTGAACTTGACCCACAGCCCGCCGCGCGCCCGTGCCTCCGCCGCATTGCGCGCCGCCGTCTTGGCCTTGAGGATGGCGGGCGTGTCGGTGGGGTTGGAGTCGGGGAAGGTGTCCTCGACCTGGTCGGTGCCGACGCCAGCGACAAAGCCGCCGACGATGCCGTCCGAGTCGAACGTGCGGGTGACAGAGTCGGCCAGCGCCGCCCGCACCTCCTCGTGGTCGGCCGCGGTGGAGTCCGACTTCTTGGCGAAGGGGTCGTGCGGGAGGGTGCGGCCGGGGGACTTGGCGCACACCTTCTTGTACGAGGACTGGGCCATGCGCACCTTCGTCTCGTGGTCGATGCGGTCGGGGAGCTCCTCGAGCACCTTGGCGACAGGGACCCCCTTGCAGATGAGGTCGCCCGCGCACTTGCCGCCGTGCAATCCGCCGCAGTGTGGGCACGGCTTGCGCCCAGCGGCTGCGCGGCCGCCGCGGTCCCCGCCGCCCTTGTCGGACTTGATCTGCGCCTGGAGAGCGGCGACCTGGGACTCGGCGGCCGCGAGCTTCTCCTTGAGCACGCCTTGCGAGGCAATCTCCGCCTCGAACGCCGCCTGCGCAGCCGCCTTGGCCTCGTTGGCGCGGTCCGCGTTGTCTTGGTCGAGGATGCCCTGCATCGCGAGCGTAGACGCCTTGAGGCCGTACGTCTTGCCCGATTGCGCGGCGAGTTGGCGCTGTATGCCGATCTGCACGCGCATGTTTGCGCCGAGCGTGGCCCCCTTGGCGGCGATCGCGTCGAGGATGTATTCCTCGATCACCTCGTCGGGGAGGTGCCACTGGGAGCCCTTGAGGAACTTGTTTGCCAGCTCGATGCCCGTCTTGAACTTGGCGAGGCTCGCGGACGTGAGGTCCTTGAGAGCGTCGGGGGAGTACGCCTTCTCGAGATCCGCGCGCAGCGCCTTCGTGCGCACGTTCTTGGAGTTCGTGTCCTCCGACTCGATGAGCGACTTGATCGCCGCGATGCCCTTCTTGATGTCGTCGTAGTGGTCGGCGTCCTCGTCCGCCAAGATCTCGGCCAGCGTGTCGTCGTCCTTGACGGCGTTCTGCAGCGCACCGTAGAGTTGGCGCGACAGAGTCACCGACAGGTCCTTGAAGAACTTGTCGATGATGGCCGGGATGAGGCCGTCCGCAGTGCCGATGTTCTTGTAGCGCACGTGCAGCGCGACCGCCTCGGCCTCGCGCTCCGCGCCCGGCCGGATGGTGCCCACCTCGATGATGTCGAGGAGGTACTTGTGTTGCTTCGCCGCGGTCCGCAGGTTGCGGAACCACTCGTTGAACTCCCGCTCGGAGCTCTGTTTGTAGGCCGGAATCACCAGCTTGTCCGTCGACGACATGTTGTCGTAATGTCCCGGGGATCGTTGCCCCGCCGCCACCAACTGTGAAGGTCTTCAGTGACCACTCACAAGCTGTTCCAAGGCCCGACAGAAATGTACTGTCAAAACTTCGTTCAAACAAAAGTCCTGGCCCGCGGCCCCCACACCCACAATGACTATCAATCCAGGCTGCGGGTGAAGGGCAAAACCGCGCCGCTGCAGAACGGTTTTTGCAAAACCGCGCCGCAGCGGTACGAAACTGCGCAGATGCAGTCCAGGGGTGGTAAGGACACTATGTGTGTGTGTGTGGCCGTAGACTAGACGGCTGCGCGGTCGTCGGTCTTCAACACAATGACTATCAATCCAGCCTCCTCAAGGGTGGAGGACAAACATACAGGTGACTCGGGGAGCTCCAGGAGCGCCCATACTGCCGGTTGTCGACTACATTTGATGAAGGGGAAGTCGGCGTTTCCCCTCTGTGCCGTCCTAGGCGGTGTCGTTCATGATCTCCTTGCGGAACGACTCGAACTCCTTGCGCGGGAGCGGCTTGGTGAAGAAGTCGGCGAAGTTCTTGAGGCTCTCGACGTACTCGACCTTGACCTCCCCGGACTCGACGAGCTCGCGAATCTTGAGCTCCTTGCGCAGGATGTGCTTCGTCTTGTCGTGCATGACCGGGTCCTCGGCGACGCGCAGCGCGGCCGTGTTGTCGATCTTGATGACGGTCGGGCCCTTGGGCTTGTAGCCGAGCGACGCGAGGAGCGAGCGCAGGTGGACCGCCTCGCAAGCCGCCAGCGTGCCGGCAGAGATCTCGGCCTCGAACGTCGAGAGGGAGATGTGACCCTGCTTCTTGGAGAAGTACGAGATGATCGCGGTGCCGATCTTGAAGGCGCAGCCGGAGGTGCTCTGGCGGGTGCACCAGTTCGCGTCGGAGCAGCCGAAGAGCTTGGGGTCGGCAACGCGCTCGTAGTGGAGGCCGAGGTCCTGCGTGCCGATGAGGTAGATGAGGCAGCGCTCGGCGGCGGCCTCGATGTTCGCGTCGGGCCAAGCCATGCAGCGCGCCAGCTGCGAGACGGTGTACTGGATGTCGGGGCGCGCGTTGGTGGCGAACATGAGGCTGCCGATGAGGCACTGGCAGCGCTGGAGGAGCTGCGGGTCGGGCGCGGTCTTCTTCTCGGCTGCGCTGATGACGATGGACGGGAGGTCCTTGTCCGCGGGCACCTTGTAGCCCGCGTGCGTGACGCCTGACGGGAAGAAGCGCGCGCGCAGCGTGTCGATGTACTTGCTGGCAGACAGCTTGAAACCGGTCTGCGTCTTGGTGATGTTGAGCCCGAGGAACTCGTGCACCTTTCCCTCGTGGACCTTGAGCGGCTTGCCGACGTGCTTGTTGAAGTGCTCGATGTACTCGTGCGCGAGCGCTTTGCCAGCGGTGGTCCCGGAGTGGAAGATGCCGAAGTCGTCCACGTAGATGACGACGATGAGTTTCGTGCTGTTGCGGGTGAGGATGAAGCAGCTCGGGTCCGCCTCGGACTGAACGAGCCCAGGAAACGCCTTGTTGATGGACTTGACGTGGTTCCACCAAGCGTTACCTGCGGATGGTGCGCCGTAGAGGTTGCCGACCTCGCACACCATGTCCTTCTCCTCGCCGGTGATGGGGTCGATGTAGCAGTACTCGGGCTTGCCCTTGAGCCCCTTCGGCATCTCGCAGTACCAGGTCTCGCCCTCCCCGCGCTCCGCCCAGGTGTACGCCATGGGCTGGTCGCACGTGATGAGTTCCATGTCCTCCTGCGCGGCCACGTTGAGCACGGTGCGGGTCGTGCCGTAGCGGACCACGCTCGCGAAGGTCTTGGTGAAGTCGACGCCGGGCCGCATCAGGTTGCCCATGACACAGCCGCGCCACTTGCACCGGCCGTCGGACTTCCGGGAGGCGATCTCCTTCAGCGGGAGGACGCGCACCTTGGCGGGGCGGCGCATGGGCTTGAGCGTGCCGTTCTGGATGAGGCCGAGGAACTCGGTGTCATACGCCTTGTACCACGCGTCGCGCAGCTTGGGGTCGCGGATGTTGGCGATGTCCTTGTAGTGCTTGGGCACGATGTTGTCCGGCATGGGCATGATCTGGCCGTCCACGCTCGACATGTACGCGACGCACTGGTCCGTGGTGTTGCGGTAGACCGACGACGATGGGGATGCGGCCGCCGCAGCCGCCCAGATGCCGAAGGGCGTGGCATTGGCGGCGAGGCGGGCGTTGAGCATGTTGTTGTACTCGCCCGTCGAGACGCCGCCGCGGCTGCGGGTGGTGCGCGGCGCAGGCGCACCCGCTGCGGGCGGGTTGACGTTGCCGTCATTGGCCGGGTCTGGCATGATCACCACCTCCTCGTCGAGGGTCAGCCCCCCGGCGTGGTTGTCGGTGGTGGGGAGGAAGACGGAGTCGCCGCGGGTCACGTTGTTGTCGAGCGTAGCCTTGTCCGACTCGTCGGGCGTCTCGTCCGCGGTCACAGGCTCCGGCCACGCGCCCTCGATGTCCGTCGGGGTGGGGTCGGAGGTAGGAGCACGGTACTCGATGCCGTTCCAGAGCTCGTTGACGCAGAAGGTCGCCTGCGTGGTGGTGCCGATGTGCCCCTTGCGCGGACCCTCGGTGATGACGTACTTCCAGCCGGGCGAAGTGCGCGAGATGCCGAGGAAGGCCGCCATCTCGCCCGTGGGTGAGACACCGTTCGCCACAAGGTGGGGGGGCGACTTGACGATCATCTTGCACGCCCACGGGTAGAACATGTTCATCTTGGGGCGCTGCCCGGTCTTGAGCTCGTACGCTGACTTGCCGGTGTCGCGCACGGCAAAGGTGGCGTTGGCGATGGTGGCCGCGTACACCCAGGCGTAGCCCCAGTACTGGTAGAGCTGGGTGGCGCCATTCGGGGTGGGGTCGGAGGTAGGAGCACGGTACTCGATGCCGTTCCAGAGCTCGTTGACGCAGAAGGTCGCCTGCGTGGTGGTGCCGATGTGCCCCTTGCGCGGACCCTCGGTGATGACGTACTTCCAGCCGGGCGAAGTGCGCGAGATGCCGAGGAAGGCCGCCATCTCGCCCGTGGGTGAGACACCGTTCGCCACAAGGTGGGGGGGCGACTTGACGATCATCTTGCACGCCCACGGGTAGAACATGTTCATCTTGGGGCGCTGCCCGGTCTTGAGCTCGTACGCTGACTTGCCGGTGTCGCGCACGGCAAAGGTGGCGTTGGCGATGGTGGCCGCGTACACCCAGGCGTAGCCCCAGTACTGGTAGAGCTGGGTGGCGCCATGCCCCCCTGCGCGCGCCATCATCTCCCGCACGATCCTGCCGCAGGTAGCGTTCGCACGCTCGCACGCCCCATTCTGCCACGGCTCGTAGGGGCAGCTGTTGCGGAGGGTGATGCCGTACTTGAGGCAGAGTTCGCGCACGGCGCTGGAGTTGAGGACGACCTCGTTGTCGCAGAACGCAACCCCTCCGCGGAACGTGTGGCCGTCCTTTCCCTCGTTCTCGGCGAAGTACTTGCGCAGGTAGGCAGGCGTCTGGCCCTTGGTCTGCAGGATGTACGGCGTGATGGTGCTGGTGTGCTCGTCGACGACCATGAGTGCGTGAAACCTATATAGCATACCGGGGGAATTGGACACCACAGATACGCACACACGACAAACCAACTCCCGCACACACACAATCGCACTCTGGCCATCGAATGACTCCGAATGACTCACTGTGTGTGCTAAGACAAAATCTCCGCGGACAGCCAAAACGGGCCGTGCCGCGTTTGTGGTGTCTTCTCAAGCACTAGCATCTGGGCGCCGCACTCGAGCGGGCGGGTCACATCTATGTGGGCCCAGTGCGCACTACGGCCTTGAGGGAGTCGCGGAGGAGGAGGGATAACGGAGGTAACGTGCAGACAGGCCAGCAGCCAGTGGGACGAACGAGGGCCGCGACGGCGGCTCAAGCGGGAGGGAGCGGAGACGGTGGGCAGCGAGCGAAGTGGGTGAGACTGATGATGCTCCTTCGACTTAGGGAGCGGTTCAGCTGCTGGGCGGGCTTCAGGCTGGTGCTCACGCGAAAAGGAATCGACGCGATGTACAAAGCATACAAGAAGAGGAGAAAGAAGAGGACGGACATCGGTGATGACGAAACAGAAGCTAGCGCAGACGAGGGCAGGGCAGACCCGGGGACGGCGGAGTCGGAGCAGACGGCATCGGCCGCCGAGGAAACGTTGGGAAGAGGCACGAGGAGGGCGGCGACCTCGACCGACTACGGAGGACCCGTCACCAGACGACGCAGGGCAGACGACGGGGAGGCGGAGCAGACGCGCAGGGCGAGACGAGGGAGGGAGCAGGATGTTGCTGAGATCAGCAGGAGGATGTACGACGAGATTAGGAGCAGCAGGGACCCGAGGGACCATGTGGAAGACGGCTAGTGCTAGTCCCCCATCGGGAGGACGACCCCGGCTAGTCGCCGACCACACCCACAAAGAACCCTGCACAAAGACCGCAGGGCGGGGACCTGTTCCTTTTTACCCATCTCCTAGTAGAGGTGTCCGTGTTATTTATTTATTTATTTAATTATAGTATCGTGCGCGCTGCACTCTAGGTCCCGAGACTCTTCCCCAAGTTCAGCAGAGACGAGACAATGCTTCAATCACAAGCGCAACCCTCTCTCTTGGGGGGCCCCGTGTCGTTCGTTATCGCTCGTTGCACCCGTGTTTGCAGCCGAGCAGCCCGCACAGCCGCCGCCGTCCGCCACCAGCGTGCCGTCGGCCGCAGGCAGAGCGCCCGCGCTGCTGACGGAGCGTCGCATCGAACGGTGGGGGCCGTCGCGGCGGCGCAACCTCGCCTCGGGGCGCGTCGGCGGCTCCGCCGCATCCTCGCCCCTCCCACGCGCTGCTGCCTCGGGGCGCGTCGGCGGCTCCGCCGCATCCTCGCCCCTCCCACGCGCGCGAAGCAGCGCGCTGAGCGAGCTGGCGGACCGAAGCACCGACGGGTGGGACCCCCCTAGCAGCGCGCGGCGGCTCTCGAGCGCGGCGCGGTAGAGCTCCTCCGCCTGAGGGGGCGCGCGCCGGTGGGGTGAAGAAGGCGGCGACGGAGAGCCTCGGGGGCGGCTGGGTGGCCGGCTGGGCCTCGTCGAGTCGGCCCTGCGCCTTGAGGAGCGCCGCCAGATTGCTCATCGACGCGGCCGTCTCCGGATGCTGCAGCCCCTGCGTCGCGCGGCTCTCCTCCGCCGCCTCACGGCACAAGCCCTCCGCCTCTCCGAGCCGCCCCTGCGCCAGCCGCAGCAGCCCCAAATTGGACAGGTAGGCGAGGGTGTCGGAGTGGCGCCGGCCGAGCGTCTCGCGCGCCAGCTGCAGCGCCGCCTCCTGCAGCGGCGCCGCCTCCTCCAGCCGGCCGAGCGAGCGCAGCAGCGTGCCGAGGTTGGAGAGGCTGACGAGCGTGTCCGGATGGCGCGGGCCGAGGAGCCGCCGCCGGGCCGCGAGGCACTCGCGGTAGAGCGGCTCAGCCTTGGATCGAGAGGGGGGTGCCGGTGAGCAAAGGCTCGCCACAGGGCGAGCGAGCGAGCGAGCGTGCGTGCGTGCGCCTGGCTCAGCTTGCCGCGGTCGTGGAGAAGGGAGGCGAGGTCGTTCATCGCGACGAGGTAAGTCGCGTGCCTCGTGCCGAGCGCCGCGCGGCTCGCCTCGAGCGCCTCGCGGCAGAGCGGCTCCGCCTGCGAGGGTGGTGGCGGTGAGGGCGCTGGCGGCGAAGGCGGCAGCGACGGGGCTCGGTATCGAAGGCACCTGCGCCAGCTCGCCCCGGTCCTGCAGCAGCGCGGCGAGCCGCGTGGTGGAGAGCAGCGTGTCGGAGTGGCTTGCGCCCCGAGTCGCACGGCAGACCTCCAGCGCCTCGCGCAGCAGCGGCTCGGCCTCCGCTAGCCGGCCCTGAGCCTGAAGCTCCACCGCCAGCCGCGACATGGAGTGGAGGGCTCCCGCGCTGCCGCGCTCGCGCTGCGCGTCGAGCCGAGCCCGGAGCAGCTCCAGCGACAGCTCATCGCGGAACTCAACCTTGCACGTCCCGCACCGGTACGCGGCGTCGCGCCGGGTGCTCGAACGGCGCCAGCGCTCAAGACAGGCGCGGTGGACCCAGCTGGCCGAGCCGCGGCAGCCGCACGGCTGCGACAGCGGCCCGTCCTCAGCGCCGGCGTGGCAGATCCGACACTCTCTGGAGTCCCTGGCTGAGTCAGCGGCGTCCGCTCGTCCTTCACTCGCGTCCATGTCTCTCTCGCACACGTCTGTTTGTGCCGCGTCCCGTGCCCCCGAGTTCATTTTGTATAACACGTCTGTTGTAGTGAGAGCTGCTGCCCAGCGTCCTCCTGGGGGGCTCAAATTTCTTTTTCCGGGCCTGGCGTGGAGGGTGGGAGGACGGCACGCCGCCACCGCACAGGGATTTTAAGGAGAGGAGTCTACGATTATAAGTCTCTCGTGTCCGCGCCGACGCTCTTGGTTTAACCGTAGAACGTCCCAGCCGAAATCCGCCCGCCACGATCGATCAGTCCACAATCGTCGGCCCGCAGCGACCCGCAGCGATGGATGCCGCCGCCCCCCCGGCCCCTGCGGCTGACGCGCCGATGCACGACCGGCCTCCGTCGGATGGCTCTCCGGCCTCTCCGGCCGCTGACGCGGCCGCCCATGCTGCTGCCGATCCGGTCCCTCTCACGCTCAGCGATATCCGCACAAGCTACGACAACTTCGAGGTCGCCGGCTTTGGCCAGGTGCAGAAACCAACCTGCTTGCCTCCATGTTCACGCTTCGCGCCCCTTCCCCCCCTCTGACGCCGCCGTATGACCGTAGGTGAGGGGCACGACTACCCGCCTGGAAGGCGCTCTCATCAGCAAGTCACCCAGGCACCAACTCCTGGGCGTTTACGCTTGACTACGAAACCATGCAGTGGATGCAGCTCGATCAAAACGGCGACGCCAACAGCTGGTCCCTGGGCGAGTTCCTCGCCCAGGATGAGGTGCGAGTCATGATGCTCGACCCAGCGTGCACCAAGTCGCTCACATTCCGTGAGTTCGTCAACGGGCCGAACACACTCTCCAAGTCGACTGCGATCTCGAACTCCGACAACTGGACCGGTGCACTCGTAGGACGATGGCTCCCTCGACGACATCCCTTCATCGACGGACGCCTTCACCGCCGCCGGCCCTGGGCCATCCAGCGCGGCCTCCGACGGCCTGCACGTGATCGAGCGGGTACAGAAACGGTGGCTGCCGCAGCTCACACCCTAATCGATCTGCCTTAGGCACGGAGCCAACGGAGCCATCGCGCATGCCCGCATCGCGTGCGGCTCCGAGGTCTCCCGCCGAGACCGGCTCGGCGCGGCGCGTGGCCGCACGCCGCCGTTGAAAAGGCGAGATAGGACCGAGGGGAGAGCGCCGGCCACATCGAGCGAGCGCTGACGTGTAAGGTGTCTGTGCTGCTCCGGTGTGTGTGGGATTCTGCCTCCCCCCCCATCTGTGCGGCGAGTTGTTTGCGGCGCGATGCCCGATCGTGCGCGATAGCCTCCCATTGTGCGTGGTGTGTCGGTTGTCGGGGTCGTCCGGAGCGTGTGGCGGCGCCGTTGCATGCAGCGACTGCTCCACGTGCCACGACTGCTTTGACTGACGTGACTGACTGATGAGTGCCACGAACTGCTTTGACTGACGTGACTGACTGATGAGTGCCACGAACTGCTTTGACTGACGTGACTGACTGATGAGTGCCACGAACTGCTTTGACTGACGTGACTGACTGATGAGTGCCACGAACTGCTTTGACTGACGTGACTGACTGATGAGTGCCACGAACTGCTTTGACTGACGTGACTGACTGATGAGACATGAGTGCTGATGGATGATCTCCGACAACCCAAAACCAAAATGCAAATGAGTGGCCCACTTTGGCGTGCAGATCCTGCGTCTCTCACTGCCCGAACAACAGAGACGGGTACCGCCGCAGGTCCCACACTAGTGTACGGGATATCCCCCGCGGGGCGCGCGAATTCTCTTGCAACGAGGAGTGGATTGGCTGCAGAGCGCGGGGGGCGTGGCGCTCCTCCTCAGGCGCGCGTTTCCCCCTCGCGGCTCGCCGCGAGTGCCTTCCGTGCTTGGCGCGGTCGGCCGCCCCCTCGACCCTCGGCCGCCGCCGGCCTGCTGCGCGCACGGCCTAAGCCTCCATCGCAGCGCACTCCCGCACGCGTTCCGGCTGGGAGGGCTAGGGGCCCACAAACGCTCCTCTCGCTCACCCGCGACGACGGGCCGCAGGTGCGGCGGCGCCGCTTTCCGAGAGCCCGCTTTCCGAGAGCCCGTCTGCGCAAGCGTGCAATGCCGCCGGCGCGAGCCGCCGCGCCCTCCCTGCCGCCGTGCTCGGACTGCGGCGCGAAGAGCGACTTCGACCTCGACCCCGAGCTTGGCAAGGCGACCTGCCGCTGCGGCATGGTCATGCCGTATCGCCCCGCCCCAGCCCGGCAGGCGGCAAAGAAGTCGCCGACGCGCATCCAGAAATGGTACGCCGAGATGTCGCGGCGGCTCGGCGGCTTGCCCTCCTTTGTGGTCAAGGACGCCTCGCGGATGTACCACGCGTGCCTTCTCAAGGACAAGGAGCGGCAGGGCTGCAAGGACCTCGACCTCGCCCTCGCGGCACTCGACCGCGCGATGTGCAAGATCGGCATCCTGCGCTCGCGGCCGGACCTGCTCGCGTCGACGGCGCAGCGGGTCGACGGCGACGGGCTGACCGCGGGCAAGCTGCTGGTCGACTCCAAGGCCAAGGAGCCGCTCCCCTCCGAGTCGCCCACGCTCGAGAAGTTTGTGGCGCTGCTCTGCGAAGAGCTCAAGCTGCGCGGCCAGTGGGCAAAGGTGGCGGCGGCCGTGGCCGCGCAGGCGGACGCGCTCGGCGCGGGTCGCGACACGCCGCCCCTGACGCTCGCCGCGACGGTGTGCGTGCTCGTCGTCGAGCGCCACCCGCCGAAGGAGGCGCCGTCCTCGCAGACGATTGCGGCCGCCGCCGGCGCGCGGCCCAGGGGAGAGGGGGCTGCGGCGCGTTGAGGGTTGGAGTAGAGGAGGCGTGTGGCCCCTCGCTCCGGTAGGCCTGGAGGAGAAGGACCTGCTCGAGACGTACCAGATGCAGCTGCTGCCGCACCTGCAGGCACTGCTCGACGCCTCGCAAGAGGCCATCCTCCCGACGGCGCCGCCCGCCCTCGGCGCGCCGGCGCCTCCTAGCGGCAAGCTCAAGCCCGTCTCGAAGCGGGGGCGGGGGCGGGGCGGCCGCGGCGGGCGCGGGCGCGGGCGCGGGCGTGGGCGCGGCGCCGCGGCGGTCTCCGCCGAGGGCGCGGCGGGCGACGGGGCAGCTGGCACGAGCAGAGCCGCGGACGACGGCAGCGGCGACGAGGCCGGATCGGCGGGAGGGTCGGCGGGGCAGGCGGCGGAGGGCGTGGCTGCGGCGAGCGAGGCGGACGCAGACGCGAGCCAGCCGCCGTGCCTTCACTGCGGCGAGCTCACCGAGCCGGACGCGCCGAGCGGGCTGTGCGTCGACTGCCGCGCAGACCAGTGCCGTTTGTGCGGCCGGGTCGACCCGATTGCCCTCGACGCGCATTGGCGCTGCTTTGGCTGCATGCGGGAGGCGTCGATACGATCGCGCCACGAGCGGCTGGGGAGGCTGTACCAGCTGCACCACCTCCTCCAGCCCCCGCCCCAGCCCCAGCAGCCCACGCCGTCGCCGCCTGGCGAGGGATCGGAGGGGGCATCGTCTCTCCCGGCGCCGATTGTTGTGCCGCTTGCCGGGCCGGGCGCCGCACTGGCCACGCCCGCAGCCGACGCGACCCCCGCCGCGCCCGCCGCTGCGGCGCCCGCCGTCGCGCCCGCCGCCGGCGCGTCCGCCGTCGCCGCCGACCCCGACCCGCTGCCGGCTCGAGCGGCCAGCGTCGAGATGCCTCCGCCGCCGGTGCCGCAACGGGCACAGTCTCAGCAGCAGCAGCCGCCGCCGCCGCAGCCGCAGCAGCCGCAGCCGCAGGCCGGCGGGGCTCAGGCGGGAGGCGCGCGTGGCCCCTCTCCTTGCCGGCAGCTCTCGCCGGCGCTCATGGCCGCGCTTGCACCGGGCGCGGCTGTGCCGCCGAACTTCGCCCTCGACGGCGCAGCTCCCTTCCCGCCGGCGATCGCTTCCGCCGCCCTGTCCGCGGAGTGGGAGCGGCCCCTCTCTGACGGCGCGCCGCACTCCCTCCGCGCGTCTCTAGCACGGAGGGCGCCTGCTGCCGCCCACACCTCCAAGCTCGGGGCCTCGGCCCCGCCTCTCCAGGCCCTGTGCCGGCTAGCAGTGCCGCCTCCCTGCAGCCGGCAGGCTCTAGGGCGCCCAGAGAGGGCCGCGTGCCGCCCAGCAGTGCCGCCCCTCCGCAGGCGAGCTCGTGCAGCTCATGGCGTCGCCGCGCAGGCCGTCCACGCCGTCGCACGCGGCTCCGCCCGCCTACCCCAGCCCGAGCCAGCTCGCCAGCTTCGGAACCTCCCCCGGCACCCTCCCCTCCGCCTCGCCGCGCCGCGCCGACGGAGTCGCGCCGCTCGGCGTGCCCCTCGACACGCGGATGCCGCTGCTCGGCCAGCCGTCGCCTCCGCAGCGCCTTCCGTCGCCGTGGAGGCTTCCGGGCGGCGGCGGCGGCGGGGGCGGCGGCGCGGACTCGACGCCGCTCTCTCCTGACGCGGGGGGCGCTCTTCGCGGCGAGGGCCGCGCGCTGGTCGAGTGGGCCCTCGCCACCGCGCGGCACGCGTCGCCCTACATTGGCGTGCCACAGTCGCCGCTGCATCACGCGTGCGCGTCCGCCGTCTCCGCCGCCGCCGCAGGGCACCCGTCCTCGGTGGGCGGACTGCTCCACGAGGGCGCGGCGGGGCCGGACGGGGCCGCCTTCGGGGCCGCCTTCGCCGAGTCGGTGCGCCGCTCGCCTCGCCTGCCGCACGGCGGCTTGGGCGGGGGGCTGAGCAGCGGGCTCGCCGACCCCCGGATGTCGCCCCAGTGGAGGGGAGGCGCAGCGCTCGGGCCCGGCGGGCTCGGGGCGGCGGGGCCCATGGCAGCAGCTGCCGCGGCCGGGCCGTTGGAGCGGCCGTCGACGGACCCGCGCGGCGACGGGCCGGGCGCGGGGCTTCTGGGCGGAGGACAGGCCTCGCACGAGCGGCCCTCCACGGACCCGCACTACTCGCTTCTGCGGCGCTCGCCGCGCTTGCACCCTCCAAACGCGTCGCCCCTGCTCGGGCCTCGCGGGGCGAGCACGATGCCGCCGCCGCCGCCGCGCCGCCCGGCCGACGGCGACCACGCGGCCGAGGCCAAGCGACGAAAGATCGACCCCAACGCGCCGCTTTCGGATGGCGACATCGAGGCGTTCCTCGAGCCAGACATGCACACCCTCGACCAGCAGTACGGCTCCATGACGGATTGAGCCCACACCTACCGAGTGCAATCTCTGCAAAACCGAAAACGTCTGTGACTGTGTCTTGGCTTGCGCGTCCGCCCATCGATGGCCCATCGTCCGCTCCCTCTGTCGCCTGTGAATAGCCCGCCCCACCCTCGATTTCGTATATTCCCGTTAAAAATGTCCCCGCGTATACCCAGCTCTCTTGTACCACGACCAATTGCAATTCGCGAAGCTCCTGGTCCTGCTCGTATACCGGTCTTGGGCAGCGGTAGCGGCCTAGCGCACGCTACACTCTACACGGCCGGCTCTCGGTGTGCGCGTCCCGGTCGTCTCGTGGCTCTCTCACTGTCACACCTGTCCTGCCGATGCGCTTGCCCGCACCCGCGGCTCGCTCGAGCTCACGAGCGCAGCGACAGCTCGATTGCCTCCTGCACCGCCCGCTCCTCCTCCTCCGCCGCAGCGGCGGCTGCCGCCGCCTCTCTTGCCGCCGCAGCCTCGGCAGCAGAGGCGGCGCCGACGAGCATCCCCCGCGAGACGGGCTGGTAGGCGTTGGCGCCCGCCTTGTCGAGGCGCACCCACTCGGGGAAGGACGAGAAGAGATCCCACATCGTCGTGCGGCAGTCGGCAGGCGGCAGGAACGTGCTTGCGACGCTGTCCGTCGCCCAACGCAGCTGCAGGAGCAGCTCGTCGAAGGAGGGGCCGTCCCGGAAAAAGACCCCCTTGAGGCCCACCCTCCCCACCGCCGCATGGCCCGGCCGGCTCGCGTAGAGCTGCGCCTGCGGGGACGGCGCGCGGGGCGTTGCTTGCACCCTCTCTCGGCTCTCTCGGCTCCCTCTCGGTTCTCCCCGCCTGCCTGGTTGCCGAGCCCGATCTCCCCACATCTCCCCATATCTCCCCCATATCTCCCCGCCCGCCTGGTTGCCGAGCTCGTCGTACGACCGCTTCTCAGCGGAGCCGTCGCCCACGACCAGCACTTGCCGCGGCAGGGCGACCCGTTCGGGCAGGTGCGACTCGTCCCAGCTGCGCGCCTGCGGGGAGGGGGGCGGGCCGGCTTGGAAGGGCCGCGGCGGGCGCGGCGGGGCGGGCGGGCGGGGCAGCGGCCTGCTTCTTCTCGGAGATGAAGGAGAAGAACATGTCCGTCTTGTACCACTCGGCGTAGTTGTCCACTTCCGATCCGATCGTCGTCATGTACTTATGCCCGGCCGGCTTCGGCTTCATGTACTTTGAGCCGTAGCTGTCTCGGTAGCGCGCGGGCAGGCTGTCGAGCAGCGCCTTGGTCTCCGGGAGGAGCACCGCCGAGCTCTTCTCGTACCAGCCCTTGCACGCGTGCGTCACGATCTTGACCTCGCCGCTCTGCTGCAGCGTGCGGATGAAGCCGCTGATTGCCTGCGACAGGAGCTGGACCTTGCGCTCCGACGGCGGAGAGGCGCCCTCCCGCACGCGGTCCTTCCACGCGGAGGTCGGAAAAAGCGTGTCATCCCAGTCGATCAGCACCACGCTGTGCTCGCCTGGCACAAATATCTCATGCTTGGAGTCGTCGGCTGCTGCGGCGTCGCCCTCCTGCCGTCGCTTTGCATGCGCAAGCCGCTTCGCCGCGGCGGCGGCCTTCATCTCCTCGGCCTTGCGGCGCGCGGCCGCAATCTTCTCCGCGTGCGTCGACATGGTCAAAAGCGCGCGCAGCGCCTAGTGTTCTGGGTTTCTTTATTCGAGCTCCACCGGGTGGTCGATCGAGCTCCACAGAGCGACACACAACGGCGCTCGCAATGGCCTCACTCCTCGCAGTGGCGTTTGCTCTCCCGGGCACCCAGACTGGCCGCTCCGCCGTGCTGACGCGGCGCGGCGCCGTCGGTGCGCTTGTTGCCGCCGCCGCGCCAGTCGCGGTCTCTGCGGATGGAGCCAACTCCAAGGCCACCGTGGACAAGGCGCGGGCTATTTACGGCAGCCGGGTCGTGCGGTTGGCGAGTGCAAGCCCCGAAGCCATCATCGAAGACCAGAACGCAATCACGCTCTTCATTTCCGGTGCCTACCGGGCGGGTTCAGTCACTAGATGGTGCACGAAACCCGTCGCCTGCCTTTGGGCATCTTACACACGCACGGGCGACTCTTCTTCTCGGGCAGCAGCAGCTTACACCGCAGACAGATCCTCTTGGGTCAAGATGGTCAGGAGGATCACTGGTCGCGAGAGGAGGAGGCTGAGAGCGTGGAAGGAAGCGCTCCACTCCCAGCCACAGCCTGGCCACCCCGCGCGGACACGGGGCGCCCCACATAGCCCCACTCGACACGGGGCGCCCCATAGACCCCGGTTCTGTTGCGCTGCACTAATTACGCCACGGCCCGCTCGCCCACGCAGGGCCGAACGGAAACACGCAGGACAAGGCCATCTCCAAGCAGCTTCTGGCACTGAAGAAGACTGCCCTCGACGGCGCCAAATCGGGCGACGCGGCAAAAGCACAAGGTGCGCTCAAGGAGATGATCGCGATCGCCAAGCTCACCGAACAGGACGGCTACGACGGCAACTACAACCCGAAGCAGCGCAGGAACCCGGGCGCCCCCCCGACCGAGGCCATCGTCGCTCAGATGGGCAGCGAAGCGTACGCGCTTTACGACCGTTACGACGCGCGCTCCGCAGGCGCGCCACAGAAGAAGTGATGGCCCGTCCACACACGTGGATCGTGCGGCTACAACTCTAGTATCACAGGTCGCGCGGGCGGCGGCACGGCTTAACGCGCTCCTCTGACCGGTGCGATTGAGGGTTCTGCCGGTTCGCCGTGGGTTGGGAGCGGTGGCGCGCAGCCGGCGAGCCGGCCGAGGCCCGAGCTGCGCGCCGGACGGTAGCGGTCTGGTAGGGGTAGCGGTCTGGCAGCGGTGTATGTGCTGATCAATGCGTATATCAGACCGGACCCAGCAGGCACCCCCACCCACACACGCCGCACACTCAAACCCGCACACACCGGTCACACCCCTCGCCGGCGGACGCGGGGCGGGGGCTGGGGTGTTCGCGCGGTTTGTAGTCTACTCTCCTTCACGGCACTGTCTACTCTCCTTCACGCATCACGGCAGTCCACTCTCTTCATTCACGGCAGTCTCCTTCCCTTCACGCCAGTCCTCTCTTCACGACAGTCTACTCTCCTTCACGCATTCAGATTCACGGAGCAACCGCCTCTCCGCGGCAGCTCATCGTAAACTCGGCTCCGCGCGTGACGCTCAGGAAGCCGCACCACACAAACCCGACGCTTGCGGAGAATGGCACGCGCAAGTGCATCGGCATGACGGAGAACTGCACCAGCGACGTCGGGATGAAGAGCCTCCAGAGAGCCTGCAGGTCGTCGAGCGCGTTGGCGGCATACGTGTTCATCGCGTCGCGAAAGGAGACCGTGCGCGCACCGCCGCTCTGAATGATCTCCTTGCACGTGTAGAAGACCGGAAAGTAGCAGAACGGGTGGTAGACGAACTGGTCGATGCCCACCTGTGCCGCCAGGTTGCGCAGCCCGGCAGCGTCCCGTAGCTTGGCGGACCACGGCGCAGCGGCGAAAATGGCGGCGTTGGGGAACGCCCTCCCAAAGGCGTTCACGTACAGCCAATGTTGGACGAAGCCAACCTGGAGCACCCCAAAGGAGAAGAAGACTGTGAGGCGTCGCCAATCCAGCGCCTCCTGACCTTCCACGTATCGCTGCACGAGCGCATCCGCCGCCGTGGTCTTGGCGGCACCGAAGCCCATAGCAAAGCGCAGCGGCGCTCGCTCGGCGAGGCCCAGCAATGCTCGCGTCCACACCATGATCCACGAGATGTCTGTCCAAAGTGGCTGTCCCCCCGCGATTCGCTCGCGAAAGTAGGCGCGGGGGAGCTGTCTTTCTTTTTTCTAGCCCACTGATGAGGAACCGGCGCCACAACACAAAAAAACAGCGGTTCCGGCGAGCCGCAGCGTGGGCGACACAAAACACAGGTCACAGCGTAGGTACCAGGGGAGAGCGAAACCGAGAGATGCAGATGCGGGTTGTGCGCTTGTGCGGCCGGGCCCAGTTCTGGCGTTCAGACTTCAGTGCGCCTGCGCGCCACCCCCGTTGCTGTGAGCGTGTCAGAGACCTGCCAGTACATCGGTCATCGCACCGCGCAACGTGCCGAGCGATCCTCTACGGGACTCCCCGAGGATCAGATGAGAGCGGCGCCAACACTGGCCGTCGGGTGCCGCGGCGCGCTCCACCGCGATTCGCGCGTGGCCGCATTTGCGTAGTACGTCAGGCCCGACGCGGGGTCTTCCACTGCGGTCCAGCCAGGGGGAAGCGGTGGCGGCGGCGGCGGCGGAAGCTGAGATGCTGGCTGTTCCCACTGCGAGGCGCCCGTCGCGGCGTGAGCAAAGTAGGTGCGCCCCGACGTGGGGTCAGCGATGGCGACCCAGCCGTGCGGCAAGCTGACTGGCGTCGGCGCCGGCGACTCCTCCGCGGCGCCCAGGGGAGCTGCGAGCGCGACCGCACGCTCGGGTGGCGCGGGTGCGTGGGTGGCGAGGGGCAGTGCGGCGAGGGGGGTGCCCTTAGTGGAGGTGGCGGGAATCGCAGACACGAACGCAGCGCAGGTTGCAACGGCGGGAGCGGCGGGAGCGGCGGGAGCGGCGGCGGCGGGAGCGGCGGCGGCGGGAGCGGCGGGAGCGGCGGGAGCGGCGGGAGCGGTGGCGGCGGCGGGGGCGGCAACGGTGGTGGGAGCGGCGATGGCGGGAGCGGCGGCGACAGCGGGAGTGGCGGCGGCGGGAGCGGGAACGGTGGCGGCGGCGGAAGCGGCGGCGGGGGAAGCGGGGGCTGGTGCGGCGACGGCAGCAGGTGTGGCGGTGGCGGCGGGGGCGCGCATGGCAGCGGGGGTGGCAGCGGCGGAGGCGGCGGAGGCGGTGCCCCCGATGCTGGGCTCGCGTGCGGCTCTGCCGAGTCCATCGTCGGCGGCGGATGGGCGGCGTGGTGGCTGCGAGTGCTGCAAGTGCTGCTCGTCTAGCCACGGCTGCTCTATGAGGCTGTGCGCGGACAGCCTGGCGGACGGGTCGACGAGCAGGAGCTTCTTGACCACGGCGCGTGCGCGCGGCGAGAGGGAGGTGGAGAGCGGCTGGTGCGCGCCCCGCTGGATTCGCATCGAGAGCTGCGGTAGCGTGGAGGCGCGGAAGGCGGGCTGCGCGTGCAGCAACTCGTAGACGAGTGCGCCGAGCGCCCACATGTCCACGGGAGGGCCGCGGTAGCCGTCGCCAGTGCTCGAGATCTCGGGCGCCATGTACTGCGGCGAGCCGCAGACAGTGTGCAGCCTTCGCTCGGCGCACATCTGGGGCGTGGACGTGGGGGCGTGTCGGGGCGGAAAGTGGGGAGACAAGGCCGGGAGGGCGGGAGGGCGAGGCAGGCGAGGCAGGCGGGGCGGGGCGGGTGGCGCCTTCGCGAAGCCAAAGTCACACAGCTTGACCGTCGCGTGCGAGCCGTCCGTGTAGAGGACGTTCTCCGGCTTGACGTCGCGGTGGGCGACACCTAGCCGGTGCAGGTGGGAGAGCGCCCTGCCCAGCTGCGAGGCGACGGCGCGCGCCTCGACCTCGTCCAGGCCGACGCGCCGCAGCGAGTGGGAGGCGAGCCGGCGCTGCAACGAGCCGCCGGCACAGTACTCAAGCATGAGCGAGATGGAGGTGAGTGACACGCACCTCTCGATCAGGTTGGCCACGTGCGCGTGTGCCGAGGGGCGGAGCGCCAGCAGCGCCTCGACCTCGGCCCTCATCGCGCCGCTCGTGAGCGCGGAGCGAGAACACCTCGCCTTTGAGAAGGACTTGACGGCCACCTGCCTCCCCGTGCTCGAGTGCCTTGCCCTGACAATCATCGAGAACGCGCCCGAGGCGATCGGCCCGAGCGTGGTGTAGCCGTGCTCTGAGAGCGGGTCCGCCCGCCTCGCGCGGTCAGCGGCTGCGGAGAGGGGCACGAGGGGCTCGCTCTGTCGGCGCGCCCGCCGCCACTCCGCAGCGTGTGTCCCCGTCGTCGCGAGGCTCTGCCGACGGCTGCTCGGAGCAAACGAGCGGCGGCCGGCCGAGTTGCAATCGGCGGCCGCAGAGATCCGGCCCCGAGGCGCCTTGCGGGCGCCGAACGGAGGCGGTGGCGGCGGCGGCGGCGGGGAGTTCTCGTCAATCTCGGCCAGCATTGTTCGTCAGTCAGTCATCTCGACCAGCATTGTTCGAACGTCGGATATAAAAAACAACTAGAGCCGGTTATAGGGGTGACACGCAGCCGAAGGTCCATCCTGCTCGCCGAGTCGACGCTGGGGCCTGACGCGCGTGCGCGAGATGGCGCGGCCGCGCGCTTGCGCGCGGCCGGTGAGTGTGCGCTTGCGCCGCAATCCTGGCTGAGCGGGGCGTACCTGCGGCGCTTATGGGGGTCGTCCCCCCCACGGCGTGCGAGCCGCCACGGTGTCGTGGCGCGCCGCGGGGTCAGGCTCTGGATCAAGGTTCAGAGCGCGAACACTGGGGGGTCCCTCTCGCATGGGGGGCTGAAGATACGTGCCACTCCTTCCGGGAGACCGGCCCTTGGATCCTCCTCACCGTTACTAGTGCTGGCTGCCCATTTGTGCAGCTAGGTGTCCCACTAGCCACCGCGGATGTCTGCCGTGCAAAGCCAGGGGGCTGCGAGGCCTGTTCTCGCGGATTAGGTAAGTAGTTAGCGTCGGCTGATGGGTGCTTGTCGCGCGTGCGCGTATGTGCCTGGGTCGGGGGGGGGGGGGGCGCGGGTGGTGTGTCGCCCCCCTCCTCTTGCGTTAATGAAATTGGAGCTGACGCGGCCTCTGCGAGTAGAGTCGGGACGGACGGACGAGCCGAGGACGATAGAGAGACCGCGGGGGCGGGCGCGAGTCCTCGACCGAAGAGAGCTGGCCCCACCCCCCGGGGAGGGGCGGCGTGGCGATCGAATGCCGCCGCCCTCACCCGAGGAGTCGGGCACGGGATCGCCGGAGGCGGAGGCAACAAGAATAGCCCCCGAAGACGAGACGGCGGCGAGGCCGCGGTTGAAGAAGTATAAGAGGGGAAGGCGGGCTCCGCAGCCGACGCCGAACCATCGGAAATCGAACAGGAGGGAGGACCGGGAGGAGAGGGGAGCCCCCTCGGACGAGGGGTGGGGAGATCGGGCGGAGGAGCCCTGAGTGGCGATGTCGGGTGAGAGTGTACGTCATGCTCGTGTCTAGGGTCTGGTGTTTACTAGCTCCGAGTAGAGGGGGCGTTCCGCCGCTAGGGGACACCCAAAGCGCAGAACTAACCCTCGGAGACCCGTGTTTACTTTAAGGCCCTCGCCCTGCGAATGCGCACCCCCCCTAGCTAGGGGTCAGGGCTCTCTAGCCCGTAGCCCGATCCCGATCATCCGGCCCGCTGGATGCGCTTCTCAGCTCACCGGCCCTGGATGTGAGGTTACCGAATGCACTCCAAGTGCTCCAGGGTACCCAGTACGAGATGTGACAACCGGAGATGGCCTTGGCCCTCTCGCTCTCTGTCTCTCGTCGGCCTTCACGAGCTTGTCACACCTCTCGAGAGGTCTCGACGCTCTCGACCCTCCGCTATCGCTAAAGCCTAAAACCACTATATCTCGTCCCCTGGTCTCGTCGCACCCCCTCTCACCCACACCGCATGCGCGCGCCCGCGGATCCCCCCCGGCGGCGCCGGCGGCGCGCGCCGCTCACGATGAGAAACCACGCTCGCGGGTGTCGCCCAGCTGGTGTCGCCTCTACGATTTGCCACTCGCCATGCGCGTCCTTGGCTGACCCTCCAAAACTCCCTCCCCGCCGTTCGCGGCTCGGCTTGCGTATGCGGGTGGGAGCTTCGAGCACATGCAGGCGTCCCACCCCCTTCGGCCACCCGCCCGGCTCCCAAGCGCGCGGCCGCGACGCGCTGCGCACCCTCTTCCGCGCTGCGCCCGCTGCCGCTCTCGGCATGGGCCATATGGCCGTCGTCCGCCGAGATCACCTCCTCTTCGCGCCGCAGGTGCACAACCAAGGGCTGGCCACCTCCGTATCCATCATGGTGAAGCCAATGGGCCAAAAAGGGAGAACGCTCTCCTCCCAGTTATATATCATGGCGCGACCCGACGCCCGACACACACATAAAGGGCTGTGCTGAGCGCAGTGCACCCTCTCCTGAGGGGGTTGACTCTTCAGGCTTCCAGTCGCCGTGGGGCAGCCCGAGTCCCGCCCGTGTACTCAGGAGAGAAACTTGCCGTCGGCGTCTACCTCGCTGAATCCAGTCCCCTCGCCGCCGACCTGGCCAATCCCGTCAACCTCGCACACGGCGCCCTTGAACTTAGGCAGGTAGGGCGCCCTGCAGAACGAGGAGTAGGCGATCTCCGAGCCGCGGTAAATGGGCACAAACGACTTGTTGCACACGACAAACGGGTTGCGCTCGTCGTACGCCTGCGGCAGCAGAGGGCGTGAGGCGCGCGGGCGGGAGGGCGGAGGGGAGTCCAGATCAGAGGGGAGGGGAGGGGAGCGGGGACAGGAGTGGATTGCAGCGGGGGCGCGCGCCATAGTGAAGTCATCGGTCAAATCCGACTCGCAAGCCTGGATCACCTTGCGCGCCGTCTGCGCGAATTCGGGCTTCGGGTTGAGCTCGAGGAGCCGGCGCGCAAAGGCGGCGGCGGAGCGCTTGAGCTTGGCCTTCCACGAGATGTTCATCGCCGAGCGGAGCGCGAGGATCATGTGGGCCGGCTGCAGGTTGCAGTGCGTGAAGTAGGCGGCGAGCTCGCACGCGCGCACCTGCGCGGCGGGAAGAGCGGGGTGGGGCTGGAGGGGCTGGGGCTGGGCGGGGCGGGGCGGGCGGGGGGGGGGGGGGGTGAGAGTGTGCGAAGGCCGAGGTACGGGAGGGCGGCGCGCCTTTTCGTCGGCGCCGAGGGTGCGGCGGAGGAGCTCGAGGCGGAGGCCGGTGATGTACTCGCGGCAGATGCCGAGCAGCTCCTTGAGCTCCGCCACCTGCTGCCGCGACAGCGCCAGCGCGAGGGCGATGCTCCCCATGATGCTCTTGAAGGCGTCGAGCGCCTCGGCAAACTTGCCCCCGGTGACGAGTCCGTACGCCGCCTTGAGCTTCTCGACGAGCGAGCCGAGGCTGATGCACACGCACGGCCAGCCGCCCGGCCGGGTGAGCGGCGCCTGCAGCGACGGCAGCGACGGCGCCGGCGCGAGCACCGACTGCGACGATGCGGCGAGCGCGAGGAAGGCGCCCCGCAGCGGCTCGAGCCGCGCGAGCCCAAACTGGCGCTGCAACAGCTGCATCGCCGACTCGAAAGAGCCGGCGGCGGCGTGGTCCGCCGCGAGGCGCGACTCGCGCGACCAGCGCGTCGTCAGCGGCATCCCCACGTTTGGCGCGACGTAGTACCCGCCGCCCATCGACGCGCGCTCGCTGCCGCCCGGCAGGTCGCCCAGGTCCAGCTCCTCCGTCCCCCACCCGTCCCCATCCGCGCCCTCGCCCCCCAGCGGGTCCGCGTCGTCGCCGAGCGGGTCGCCGCCGCCGCCGCCGCCGCCGCCGCCGGTGCCGTCCAGGTCGAGGTCGTCGTCCCCCCACCCGCCGCCGCCGTCCATGTCGTCAAGGTCGAGCCCCGCGTCGCCCAAGCCCGAGTCGGCGGTGGCGCCGCCGCCGCCGCCGCCGGCGAGCGTGCGCTCGAAGGTGCCCTTTGAGACGGTGAGGAGCGGCCAGTTGCTGTCGCGAGAGATGGGCAGCGCGGGGTAGAGCATCTTCGGCGCGGGCGAGAGCGGCTCGGGTAGCGGGAGCCCGGCCGCGGTGAGCTGCTGCGAGAGGGCCTCGGCCTGCTCGGTGAGGCCGTACGTGAGGGCCGTGATGTAGGCGAGCGGGATGTGGCCCGCCTCAACGAGCAGCTTGACGCGCTCGGGCACGTCGCCGAGGTAGAGCGCGTTGTGGAAGCGCCCCATCACGTCGGAGCGCATCTCCGCGATCTTGAGCATCTTTTTGAGCTTGTCGATGTTGCCCGTCATCAGGTAGAGGAAGGAGAGCTTCTCCATGTCCTTGGTGCGCTGGTAGGCCATCTCCACCACCTGGTGGTTGCCGTGCTTGAGCGCCTCGGCGCCCAGCCGGTGCCAGTTCTCCTTCGAGTCGAGCGCCTGCGCCGCCTGCAGCGCAATGTCGACGTTGCCGCACTCGACGGCCAGGTTGAAGCGCGTCTGCTCGTCCGAGACAAAGTGGAGGGCGACCTGCGGGAAGCCTTTCTTCTGCAGGTAGGCGATGATGGCGTGGCCCGAGAGGCGCGACTGCTTAATGATGCGGATCACGCGCTCAAACTCCTTCTTGTGCAGCGAGAGCTTAAACTGGCACTCGGTCACGTCAACCACCATCTTGCGCACCTTGCCCTCCCGGTCGAGGCAGTGCACGGTGCCGCCAGAGACGCGCGAGATGTAGACGGGCACCTGCAGTGAACGTCAAGGGCGTGCCGTGGGCGTGTCGCGGGCGTGACACGGACGCGCCGTGAGGCGGTGATGGAGTGGACACGGCGGGGCGGGGCGCAGTGGCTCTCAGGAGCACGCGCAGCAGCAGCAGGCGTCTCGGAAAAACTGTGCTATCGGAAAGCCACTCACGTCGAGCGTGCGGATGATGCCCGAATCGCCGTTGATGAGGCAGTACTTGATGTGGTTGAGGGTCGAGTAGACGAACACCTACTCGCGCCGAGAGCGGTCAAGGCGCCGGCCCCAGACCGCGCGGCTGCGAGCGTTGAGCGGGCGGCAGACCTCGTTGCCGTCCCACGCGCCCGACTTGATCCGGATCGTCTCGTGCACCATGCAGAGCTGCTCGAGCTTCTTGTTTGCGATGACGACGCCGTGCTTCGAGAGCAGGGCGACGTGAGAGTTGTCGGGCGACCAGACCACGTACTTGACGGCGGGCGTCGACAGCTCGGCAACCGCCTTGCGCTGCTGCACGTCAAAGAGCGAGATGCGCTCCTCGGAGCGCAGCAGCAGCATGCCGGTGCCCACGGGGAAGAGGCAGTCGGTCGAAGCGTGCGGCGGTGCGCACTTCTTCGTCACCTCATTCTGGAAGTTCTTGATCAGGATCTGCCGGTTCTTGTCCAGCACGGCGAAGCGCTGCCGCGCGACAAACACGGCAGAGCTGCCCGCACCGCGCTTGCACTCCTGCGACTGGTCCGACGAGCGGCCGTCGCGCGGCACCGAGTAGAGCTCGTAGGAGCCACCGTCGGTGTCGTGGCAGACGAGCAGCATGTTCTCCTGCTCATTGTAGTGGACCTATGGGCACGCGCCGCCCGCACGTCATGGACACGTGCGTCCGGCGTTTTCCTGGTCGTGCCGCGGCGCGCCGAGCGCGCGACGGCGGGGCCGCCCGAGTTGCCCGAGCGGCGGATCGACATGAGCGCCGTGTCCTTGCCGGAGCCGTAGTCGAACGAGCGCACGTACCGGTCCTTGACGAAGAGCACGCCACCGGAGATTGGAGTGAAGGCCGGCCGCTCGCGCTCGAGCTTGAAGACGATCATGCCGCCGTCATGGCCCGCGGCGAGCAAGTTGGACTCCTGGTGCACGGCGAGGATCCAGAAGCGGTCGTGCTCGCGGCGGAAGGTCTGCACGCCCTGCCGCTTGGACATGTCCCACACGCGGATCGACTTGTCCTCCGAGTTTGAGATGATGAGCTCCTGCTTTGGGTGGAAGAGGGCGCACGAGACGTTGTTGATGTGGCCGCGCAGCGTGTCAACCTCCCACGCCTTGGTCTCGTTCATCCGCCAGAGCTTGACCTGGGGGGAGGGGCGAGGCGGGGGTGAGGAGAGATGTGCGCGATGCGGCGCGCGGCCCGCGGGGGGAGGGGGGGGGGGGAGGGAGGCGACGTCGCCGCAAGGCGGGTGGCGGGCGAGAGGTGCGAGAGAGAGATCGCAGGGAGGGAGTGGGAGCAACCTGCCGGTCGTCGGCGCCAGAGACGATGAGCGGGAGGGTGGAGTGGAAGGAGGCCCAGTTGACGCCGCGGTCGTGCCCCTCGAGAACGTACTTGACCGTCGCGTCGTTGCCTCCGAAGAGGTCCTCGACCTTCATGTTTGGGATCGCCTTGCCGAGCTTGCTCGAGAGCGACCCTCCGGGGCTGCTGCCGGCGGGGTCGGGCATGGGCGGCCCCATGGCGCTACGCTCCTCTGGCGTGACCGTCTCGGGCAGCGTCTTTTTGCGCAGCCCGCCGATGTCCCACACACGCACCGTCTGGTCGAGCGAGGCGGACAGCACCAGGTCGTCCTTTGCAGACGCGGGGCGGACGGGCGGGCAAGCGTCAGGCGAGCGAGGCTGGGGAGGTGGAGCCGCGAGGCGCGGGCCGCCGCAGCGAAGGGCGGGAGAGGGCGGCGCGTGGCGAGGCTCCAGCAGCTGCCCTCTGGCGCGCGGGCGCAGCGCGGCGCCAGGGCAGTGGAAGTGTCTCGGAGGCGTCCCCACCTTGACGTGGAACTGCGCGCACATGACGTAGTGGTTGTGGCCGGTGAGGACGGAGACGCACGAGCGCTGCTGCCAGTTCCAGATGCGGATCGTCTGGTCGTCCGACGCCGACACGATCCACGGGTGCTCCACGTGGAACTGCACGGTGCGGATGTAGTCGAGGTGGCCGAGCAGCGAAAACAGGCAGCGCCGCAGCTTGTAGTTCCAAACCTTGATCTTGTAGTCGTCGCCGCCGGTGACGAAGAGCGGCTGGCTCTGGTGGAAGCACACCCCGCGCACCGGCCCGTCGTGCTCATCAAACCGGTCGATCAGCGTCCCCATCCGAAAGTCCCACAGCTGCACGACGCCATTGTGCAGCGACGCGAGCACCCACGGCCGGCTCGAGTGGAATGCGAGGCCCTTGACGCGGTTCGACTTGGTCTCGAACTTGGTCAGCATCGCGCCGCGCCACGCCGGTCGCCGCGGGAGCCGAAACTGCGGGGGGGGAGAGGGGATGCGCGCTCAGAGCTTCGGGTCGCGTGCAGACAGCGTGGCGGCGGCGGCGGCTTGTGTGCTTATGAAAATACCGCAGGACGCGAGTGGGCGGCCGCGCGGCGCGTGACGGCTGACGTGGGCGTGCGGTGCGTGAGTGAGGTCCGTCCGCCGACCGAGGCGCAGAGCGCTTGTTGTTCTGTGCAGCGCGCCGACGCAAAAAATTACCTCCACGTGTTTGTTGTAGGTGTGTGTGTGTCACACACTAAGGTAAGGTAAGGTAAACGTCTCCACACACACAAAGTGGTGGGGCAAGGGGGGGCGACCCTCGCATCTCCACGCCCGGACACGGGCAGGAGCCCCACGGCATTCAAAGTGCAAGCACGGTCTCAGCCCTACCTGGCCATTCTAGATTATAGAATGGCATCCTTACATCTAGAATGGCGTCTCGCGCGCGCTCACCCGGCCGCCTCGCAGCCCCAGCGGCCGGGGGGCGCTTGCCGGGGTTGGGGCTGGTCACACACAGGCGCCACTTTAACGCGGCGAGCCAGAGGAGTCACACAGGAGAGCCCCCAACATGCCACATTTTCAGCAGCAGACGGGCCGCGGTGAGGGCCCATTCTGTATCGAAGAATGGGGTCCGCCGCCGTCCCCCACGGCCTTCTCACGCCCCCAGCGGCGGCGTGCCGCTCGGCCAGACTGGTGGGGTTCGCGCACAAGCCCCAGTTCAACACAGAGAGCCCAACAGTCCGCAAATGAGAGTCCTCCCCCCGCCCCCAAACCAGAGCAGACGCCGGGGGGTGCGCCACGTATGGCAAAAGCAAACGCACGATGGCCGCCGGCGGCCGTTGAGCGCTGCCGCCGTTCGAGCCTTGGATGTCAGTCCGTCGCCGCCTGTGGCGAGGGCAGTGGAGGTGTGAGATTTGTGCTCGCAAGCGGTGGGCGGGCGAAAGGGTCGGGCGGCGAAAGAGAGCAGACAGCAGACAGCGCGAAATGCGGACTACTCGTGTCACATCTACTCCTCGTGTCACCTAGTCATGGTTGTCGCTTCCCTGGCCGGTCTCCGAGTCCTGCTCCTCGCCCGAGTCCTCGTCCAAGTTCGAGTAGTCTTCCTCCTCTTCGTCCTCTTCGTCGATCTCGTCGAGCCGGCTCCTGGCCCGACGCCCGTGACGCTGCTGGGGCCGACTTGCTACGCGCGCTGCGACCCTGACCGCCACCTCTGCTGCCGCCTGTGCTACCCGTAGTCCTTGCCGGCGAGCGAGTGCCTTTTGCGGGGCTGTCGCCAGAGCGGGTGTCGCCACGGCCGTCTTCTGATCTGTTTTGTGGTCTGCGGACTGCGCGCTGCGCGCTGCGCTGCGCGTCTCGAGGCGCGCCGCAACACAGCCCGTGTAAATGGGGTAATGGATAAACCAAGCATCCCCGATGGCCGGGGGGATGTCCCATGGCCCCGGGGTGGCCGTGGGCACGCAGGGGGCGCCGCTACGGGCCGCTGCGGCGCCCATTCTACTTCGAAGAATGCCATTCTTGAAACTAGAATCTAGGTCTGAGACCGAGCACCGGCCCGGTGCCGTGGGTGAGCAACCTGTGCACCCCACTCCCTCCCTCCCTCCCAGACACAGGACCCACACACAACCCCCACAGCGTGGACGACTACGTGTTCAGAAACACCAAGCAGCGAGGCGAGGGTGAAGGGGTAAGGGGCTGTTGTGGGGCAGAATCTACATCTCGAGTGGGCGGGTCACATCTGTGTGGGCCCAGTGTGCGCACCCGGCGCATATGCTAGTGCTATCCTGCCCTATGGGAGGCAGAGGGATGGGGGGAGGGGGGGGCAGAGGTAAGGTGGGGTGAGACTGGGGAGGACCTCAAAGGTCCTCCATGGGGGTGGGGTCCGGCTCGAAAAGGTCAAAGTGCTCGATGCCGGTCCCGCCATCGCCGCCGACGCCGTCGCCCTCGTCCGCCTTGGAGGCGGAGGTCGTCGGGCGGGGCGCCTCGCCCGTCGCGAACCTGCCGCTGAACACGGCGTCGGCCGGCGCCGAGGCGCCGGCAGCCGTGATCAGGTCGGCGACCTTTCGGTCCCTGCAGGCCGCATCAATTTTGCCGCGCCGGGACGGCTCGTAGAGCTCGTTGGCGAGCCAGTCCCGGGCGACCTTCGTCGCCACGGAGCCCAGAGGGACCGTGGCGTACACCAGGTCGCCGAACCCGCTGCCCCCCTCGGGAGGGAGCGATAAGGCGACCTCTGAATGTTGGACCCTGTGGGGTTGCGCGCCGCCCGCGTCGCAGCCTCCAGGCCGTCCATCACGAACTCGACGTTCTCGCGCAGCTGCGCGTGCGGGTAGTCCGCACGCTCGGCCTCGCTCGCGGCCGCCGCCGCAGCCTTCCTCTCCACGCCTTGTTCGCGTTCGCCTTCTCTGCCGTCTCTCGACCGCGGGCGCGGCCTCTCGACCGGCGGAGGGGGGGGCTCGCCACCCGTCGTTCGACCCATCTACTTATATACATAAATCAAACGGACACCTCTACCCAGTAGGAGATGCGGTCTTTGTCAGGGTTCCGTTTGTGGGGTCGTGTGGCTAGGGTCGTGGACGTGGTGCTGGTGGACGTGGTCGGCGAGGGCTAAATAAATAAAACGGTCAAACCGCGCGCTCACGCCACGAACGCCGCCGCGAAGCTGAGCTGGTCGCCCGGGTAGTAGCACGAGGCGTACGGCCGCAGCGCCGCGCCCGTCGGGAAGGCGCGGGGCTGGTCTTCTCTCCCGCGAGCGTGGCGGCGCAGGTCCTCGTCCCGCAGCGGCAGCGCCTGCAGGCGCTGCCCGCCGTTGACGCGGAAGGAGAGGGAGCCGGCGTCGTGGTCGAGAGTGACCTCGACGACCGCGCCGGCGGCGCCGGCCCGCGCCAAGCACCCGCTCTGCAGGACCCGCTTGTATGTGCCGCTGGGATAGCCGTCTGGCGGCGCGGCGCCAAAGTCGAGCCGGCCGTCGGCGTCTTGGCTCGCACAGCGCATGCGGCCACTCAAGAGGAAGAGGCCCCAGCTGCAGCGCGCCGCCGTGTCGCACACGCCGACCCAGAGGCCGTTGCCGTCGTTGCTTCGCGAGTGGTCGACGCGAACGGCCCATGTCGAGGCGCCGGTCCTCGGCAGCAGCCCGCCCGTGGCCCACAGCTCGACATCGGCGCTCCGGCCGACGACGGTGATCGTGCGCCCGTGGTTGCTCACCCGCCACCTCCAGTCGTCGCTAACCCGCCAGCGCAAACGTCTCGCCTCCGCCAGCTCCCGCACCGAGCCGCATTTGTTCCGGACGCCGCTGCAGACGCAGCGAAGGCGGAGCACGTCGCGAGGGCTGTTGGAGAGGGCAAAACGGCCCACGAGATCCACCACCTCGTCCGGCAGGTCCTCGAGCGTCGGCGGCGGCGCCGTGGCGCCGCCGGCGAGGTCAGAGGCGAAAAGGGAGCTACACATCGGGGCAAAAAAGAATTTTAGCCACGCGATCCCCGCAAGACATCAAGGGCGAGGACACGCACAGGACGCACCTCTAGTGAGGCCCGCATAGTAATGTGGGTGACTCCTGCCGCCGCCCCTGCCACCCCTGTGTCAGTGTGCCTGTGGTAGGAGAGACTGCCAGCGGGAAGCTGGAGGCAGGTCGCTAGACTGAGATGAGACCGCCAGTGGAGTTGGGAGCCCACCGTGCACCGCGCTGCGAGCCTGTCGTGTCCCTTGTAGGTAGGTAGGTAGAAAGGTGAAGAACAGCCAGGCTCGGACTGGAGTCTGGACACCAACGCGGTATGGGTGGACGCTGGACAGATGATGACGACACGCACGAGCGACACACAGACACAAACAGGCTCACAAGACACACAGCCATCTGGCTGCCACACACGCTGAGTCGGCGTACACATAACTCAGGGCCACATCCTCCCTGTCGCCCCCCCCAGCACTCCCACGGTGCCAAGGGCACAAACAAGGGCACAACTCAAACAACAGACGACAGGAAGTGACATGTGAGGCTAGAGCAGCTTGCTCCAGGATAAATAGAGCAGTCATCTCCAGGAGAGATGGGCGACGCACGAACCCCGCCCCGCTCACAGGGCGTGCATCACACAGGCGTGGACTGTGTGACTCCTCGGGTTTCTGGGACAGAGGTGCGCTAGTCGCTACAGTCGGACGGCTCCGGCACGTCTGATAGGCAGGGCTTAGGAAGGAGTTTTGGGCCGGGTCGCCTCGAATACTTTTTGCAGCCGGGAGGCCGACTCGTTGCGATACTAATGAGCTTGGCCGTCGCTGTCCTGGGCCTTTTGTTGGGTCCGCCGGCCCGGCAGGCGGAGAGATCTCCGCCCGTAGCCATGAACAATCCACTGGCACGATTCAACCCGTTCAACCCGTCGCCGAATGAGCCAGAGTCGGCTCTCACGAACGGCATCGACGAGCTTCTCAAGGACGCCCCGCTGCCTGTCAAGGTGCTCGGTGGTCTCGTCAAGCCGCTGATCGCCGGGCTCGGGGCCGCACTGCAAGAGAGCCAGGCCCAGGGCGAGTCGCTGCTGCAGGAGGCGCAGGGGGCCCTGCGCGCGGACTCACGGGTGGCTTCGCTGCTCGGCAGCGACGTCGTGGTCGGCGCTACCTTCTCGCAGTCTTCGAGCAACGTGAACGGCGCTGTTAGTCTGGCGCTGCAGTGCCAGCTCTCAGGGAAAAAGGGGGAAGGGGTGGTCTCCATCCGCGGCCAGGGTGGCAACGGAGATGTGTATGTCACATCTCTGGTGGTGCAGGCGAATGGGCAACAGTTCGAGGTCCCGACGCTGCGCGGCGGCGGTGGCGGAGATGTTAGTGGAGGAGCAGGTGGCAGCGGTGTCATCGACATCGAGGTTGTTCAGTGAAGTCCGACCCGGTCTCTCGGCTCTCTCGCTCGCGCACACCTTGGAAACTGCTGCGCCCTTTTCCCTGATTGTGCGGGGTTTTGAGCCTCGCCCCTCTGTGTATAAGAGATCTGAATAATAGAGATAGAGGGAGAGCCAAAAATGTAAACGTCGAGCGGCATGTGTCCGAGATCGGCTCTGCGTAAAGTCTAAAGACAGAGAGACGCGCCGTTGGAGACCCCTGCAAGACCTCAAGACCACGCTCTACCCGAGGAAGCCGCCATCGCCGCCGCCACCCATCTGCGCCTGCGCCTTAGCCCTCGACGCCCACGTCTGCGAGACGATCGCCATCGCGTCGAGATACCTGCGCACCCATCGGGCGGGCGCGTCGGCTGGGCTGGGCTGCGTCGACGCCGACGGGACTGACGCGCCTGTCCATGCACTTTGCGGTGCAAATCTTCTCGGAGTCGTCCAGCTTGGGCCCAGGCCGGGTGACGCACTTGGTGAAGCACTTGCTCGTGATCACCTGCCACGCCGCGTGGGTCAGCCCACCGCCACGTCCGGCCGAGCGCCCAGCGCCCAATCGGCGGCGCACACCTGCATTACCTCCTGGATGTACTGCGCCGCCATCTGTCCCTGGACCTGCATCTTGGCGCTGTTGATGTCACCGTCGTCCATGCTGGATCAAGAGAGCGGGCAGGGGAGCGGGCAGGGGCGACGAGAGTACGATCGCGTCTGGAGTGGAAGGAAGAAAAACCGCTGACAACACTTCCCCTGCGCCCGCGGCGCGCCGCCGCGCGGCGCCGCCGCCGCGCCCCGCCGCCCCCGCGGGAGCCCGACTGCCGTGGCGGGCGGCCGCCCCTCTCGCGGCGCGCGCGGCGCTCCGAGTCGCCCGCCGCTCCTGTTCCCATCGCGCCCATCCCACAGGCCGTGCAACCAGGGCGCAGGGGAGCCATGGGACAAACGGCTAGGAGCCACGGTACGTGGAGAAGGAGAAGGGCGAGCAGAGGAGCGGGACGTGGTAGTGCGACTCGGCGTCGTCGATTCCGAAGCGGAGGGGAACCTACTCAGAAGAGGCGCGCGCCCCAGACGCTCCTTCCAGCGCTCCTGCCCCCCCCCCCCCCTCGCCGGCCACGGCAGGAGGGCGGGCACTCCCGTGCAATCTCGTGCACTCTCGCACACCTGCCCGAGGAAGGGCGTGCCACACGGCGCGAAGGTGGCGCCGGCGGCGGCGAAGTAGTCGCCCACGTGGAAGGTCCACTCGTACACGCCGCGCGCCATCGCCCCGTCCTTGAGGACGGGCCCGCCTGGTCGCAGCAGCGCATGCGTGACGACGCGCCGTCCCGGCCGCCTTCGCCCCGCTGCTAGCGGACAGCGCGCCGACGATGCGCCCATCCTCGTTGGTGAGGAATGAGCCAACCTCCGCCCACGAATCGCCACCGCCTGCGGGCGGGCGGGCGGAGGGGTAGCGGCCCGGCCGGCCCTGGGACGGCCTTCGCCACGCGCCATCGCCGACCGCCTCCCGGTCCGACTGCCGCGGCATGTGTGACTGCGTCTGTGGACTGCGTCTGTGCACCGCATGTCTTGCGGACCCGTGTGCGCGTTCCGCGCGCGCCGTTGGACGACTCGACCCGCCGCTTGAGCTCGATCCGCATGCCGGCGGCGGGACAGCCGCGCGCCGTATCGAGGACCTGGCCACACCACCATCCGTGAAGAAGGCGATTCACGCGGGGCAGCAGAGCCATGTGCCGTGTGGCGAGGACGTGGCAGGTGAGGAAGCCGGTTGGGTTCGGCCGCACGAGCTCGTTGAGCCGCATCCATGCGATCTTGTGCACCTGTGCCACCGCCTCTGCCAGCTCCGCCGCTGCCTGCGCGGCACGGGCGGGCGGGCGGGCGGGCGTTGAGAAGAGCTGCGCTGCAGTGTGGGCGACCGCTGGAGTTGGCCGCGGTCAGAGGATGCCGAGTTGGTGACGCGCCGCTCGAAGGCGGCGAAGATGGTGGCCTTGTTGGCGTTGCGTACCGCGAGGATGAAGGGGAATCCGAAGCGGGCCGTGTACGCCTCGTTGAGCTTTGTGAAACGGGCGAGTTCATCGGCTGAGAGGGAGGAGAGGCCGGCGTGGCACTGCTCGGCGGTGCTCTCGCTCGTCAGCTCGCCCGCCAGCGCCGCCTTGCCTGCCAGGTCGGGGTGTGAACGCAGGAGGGCGAGCCGCTCTGCGTCAGTCGCCCCATCGACCGCCTCGCGCAGCGCAGAGGCGAGCGCAGCGAGCGAGGCAAAGGGCGCCGCAGCATGCGCGCGCTCGGCGACCCAGGGCGACTTCTCGTAGCAGCCGCCCAGCGCCGCGATGAACTCGGAGGAGGGGATTGTAGAGATCTGAGCTACCTCGAGGAGCGGCGACATGGGTTCGGGCCTTTCGGCAAGGGGAGAGCGGCGTCGCACACGCGAAGGGGGTCCAACAAGATCACGATCTGCCGCTGCCTTTTGCCGAAGAAGAAGAAGAACAAGCGGGAGGTAAAAAGAAAACGTGGGGCACGATTGCACGGCGCTGGCCAGCCCGTGCCCGGGCCGGTATTCCGTTGCTATTTCACGTGCGTCCAACGCACACGCATGCTGCTCCGCCTCCTCCTCCTCAGCCTGCTCCTCGCGTGCGCGTGCGCGGTGAGCTTCACGCTGCAGCCGGAGCAAGAGCAGTGCATATCCGAGCTGCTCATGCCCAAAGCGATCCTGACCGGCGAGTGGAGCTTTGGGCCTGCAAAGGAAAATGCCACCACGGAAAATGCAACGCTCGCATCGATGCGGGTGATCTCGCCGGCAGCGGGCACGCCTACGCTCTTCGAGTCCACCGACGCCGCGGGCCACTTCTCCGTCACCGCGACTGAGAACGGAGAGCACCGGGTGTGTGTCGTCGCGAGGGCTGCGGCGGTACAGGCGTCGCTCGTCGCAAAGACGGCGCTCGAGGTTGCGGACCACGACCTGGCCGCCAAGCGCGAGCACGTCGAGGCGCTCGAGCAGGAGATTGAGAAGATGGAGAACCTGGCACGCCACGTCCACGGGGAGATGCTGACGATGCGGCGGAGAGCGGAGGAGGCGGAGGCGCGCGTGTAGCCGAGAGGCAGCGCATCGCCAGCGCTCGCCTCGTTCAACACGCGCCTTGTTGGACCGCTCGCACCACCACCTCCACCACCGCCTCCGTCCCCGCCGCCCCCTTCTCCACGTTTCCGCTGCCGCCGCTTCCGCCGCCACCCAGCCTCCCACGCCCTCGCAGTCACCCGCGCTCCCACGCCTCCACCGCCGCAACCTCCGTCTCCCAGGCGCTCGACGCGTCCACACGCGGCCGGCTCGTGTGGGTGGAGGTTGCGATGATGTGCACGCTGCTAGTGATGGGGCTGTGGCAGATCAACTACCTCAAGGCCTTCTTCCAGGCCAAGAAGATCCTCTAGCACCTGGACTGGCCCTAGCTGTCGGGGTCGGTAGATGCGCGCTAGGGCGCGCGCGTGCGGCGGGGCACGAACCCGTACGCATGCACATACGCTCGTCGGGCTCGCGAGCGAGCCTAGCGGCTAGCGCGCCCGGGCTCACACCGCACACTGTTGTCCGCCCAGACTATCACGCGCGGGAGGTTGCTTCGAATCCGGCGGAGCCGCAAAATATGCGACACCGCCCGTTGTTTCTTAGCGCATGTGGCGCGCGTACGTAATGTCCCACTTCCCCGGAGAGAAAAGCGCTAAACCAGCCGCCCTGCCTGCTGCCAGCCCGGCCGCTCTCGCAGCCCAGAGATGAGGCGCCCTAGAGACGCGGTGAGAGTGAACGCGACTCGCGAGCGCAAAGGGAAGAACAGAAGAAAGAGGGCACACACACGCGCGCGCTGCGTGGTGCGCAATGGTACTTTCTGTAGGAGATTGCACAAGCACTAAGCAGTTTACTCAGGGCCGCTCGAGCTGCATCAGGGCCGCTCGAGCCGCAGCGACATGCTCCTCTGTCGCTTTCGCACTTTCCGTCTCACCAGCTGCTCGCTGCCTCTCGGCCAATTTGCTCAGCAGGCGAATTCTTTTAACGCTTGCCGTCTCGCGCTGCGCCGCAACTGCCACCGCCGCCGCCTCGCCCTGGGCCCGCAGTCGCTCGCCCTTTTTAGGTTTGGGTTTTATGGGCCGTGAGCTCCTCCGGGACTTGAGATGGAGCGTGCTGTGCTTGCTGCCGGCAATCGCCTTCGGACCGGTTCTTCGCTTTTTGACGCCGCGAGCCTCCACCTCCATGTACGTGCCCTTTGCTGCCCGGAAAAAGAATTTTATAACGGGCACTAACCGGAAAAAGAAGTTTTTCGTCGCTTGAAAATCGTCCTTGCAAAATCCTGCTCGTGCAGGTGGGGACCTTGTGCCCCCCCCCCCATCCCTCGTTGAGGTTTGTTTTCTTTCTCTTTCTGGACACGAGACTAGTACAGGCCAGCGCATGTCAGTCGCGCTGCATGCATGGTGCATGCAGCTCGCGGCGGCGGATGAGTGAGATCGCGACCGAGCTCTGGCTCTCGCCACGGCGCCGGACCCGGAGGACGCCGCCGCGTCGCATAGAGACTCCCTTGCGTTACATGTAAGCCGTTACTACATGCCTCCCGTGTCCGTAGCCTGGCGTTACTTAGTGCCCCGTCCGTGCCGCGTCCTGTGCCCCCGATGGGAAGCCGCTTCGTCGGCACCTGGACGTGTCGCGATGAACTGCCGAAAAGCACCTTTTGCGGCTATTGCTCAAAACCTCGGGAGACAAGGCCTACATAGTATGACTGCATCCATGCGCCTGGTGCATGAGGGCTGCGGGCCGAGACATATCACGGTCGGTGGCGCCGGTGATGGCCTCCGGAATGCCCTCGCAATCGCCTCGGATGGGGTCCACCGGAGACAATCTCGAGCCCTCTCCGTGGCATCACCAGCCGGTGTGAGCTTGCAGACCCAAGGTAAGTGCGGTCTGGGACGGCTCAGACGTGCTACTGATGGGCCTGGGCCACAGGAGAGCGACAGAGAAGGCGAGGTGGTGAGCTGAGAGGCTGGAGCGTCCGCGTGTGACCTTGTCGCGATGCAAGTGCCAAAAAGGTAAAAGCGCGATTTCCTGCTCCCAGCTCACCACTCGCCTTCTCTGTCGCTCTCCGACACCCTGAGCCCTCTACGCCCTCCGACACCCACAGTCGCGCTCCGCACGCCTTCGAGGTCAGCCGCGGCCGAGCGACGATCGGCTCGCCTCCGATCGCTGGGCGCGGTCACTCTCCGGCCCTTCACCCGCCTGCCGATCACCTGTCCGCCTCGCCGCGCGCGGGCCGCTCGCCTGCTCGCCACCGCCGCCGCGCGTCCCCGCGCCGCCACGGTTCCCTGCAGCCTGCACCTGACTGCGCGAGCTGCGCAGACAGCGCGCTCTGGCAGACAGAGCAGCGGCCGCCCAGGCGGTCGCTGCTCCGCCCCGTCCGAATCCGTCCGCCCGCGCGTGCTGCTGCCGCCGCCGCCGCCGCTCCACCCGGTGCCCGTGTGTCGTGAGAGTTGCTTTGTGTATGTGTATGGCGTATGTGTGTGGACTTATGTGATATGTCACACTTGAGCCTCTATCTATGATAGTAGACCGGTACTCGGGTTTGGATGGTAGCGGGGGGCCCCGCCGGAGGCTGCTTACTGATTCTCTCTTTTTTTATCCCCTTTTTCAGTCCCTTTTCCTCGGTCCCTTTTCCTTGGAGCTTGGAGCTTGGTCCCTTTTCCAAACTTCGTAGGGTTGTGGCATTGGGGGCGAGCCAAAATCGCCCCTAACGGGGCGGGGTCGAAAAACGCAGTTTGGGGGGCTGGGGAGGTCATACTAGTTATGGGCACCTCGAATTTATGTATTCACAGCGTTTCGCCGTGAACACATACTATCGCCGACTCCGAGTTTGCCGCCCGCTCCAGCGGATCCGTTGGGGACGGGTGGGTGGCCATTGTGCTCCTCGAGACCTCCGCTGCTGGGCACGAACGGCTCCGGCCTTCGGCGTGCGTGTGGCCGTGCCGTCGCGTGCGGCTGTCGGGTGCCGGTTCGGCGTGCGTGTGGCCGTGCCGTCGCGTGCGGTTGTCGGGTGCCGAGTTTGTGGTGTACGAGTGAGCGATAGCAGCCTCCGCGGCAGAATAGATAGTGTGAGCCGTGAGGGTTGGGGCACGCCCCGATTGGGACCAGGTTTTGGAGATAAAAGTGCCACTTCACAGTGGAGCGCCTCAGAGGGTCTGGCTGGCCTGACCATGTACATACATTGGAGTGTGCGGTAGAGCTCACGGGGCTACATCTCGGCGCTCCAGATCGCAACCTCCGGGGGAATAGCGTCACAGGAGGATGACGAACCATACTCTACAGACTCCAAGCAGTGCATCTCCCAGCACGCGCCTAGCTTGACTCCACTCTAGCTTGATTGTTCGTATTGAAAAAGCTGTCGAACGCAGCGAAGAGCGGTTAAATGATATTGCAAAATAGCAACAATCTCAGCACAGTAAATGATAGTACTGAAGTTGGTCCCACCCTAAGAAATTATTGTACGATGTCGGTCACATTTGTCTCGCACGTACTCAAACGGCACACTTTCACATAATTATTGTTGTCCGCGCTTCCGCCATTGCTAGGAGTATTCCAATACGCCTGGAATTTGTTGACCTGTATCTGAAAGATGCAGCCAGGCGGAGCATGGTTTGCGTTTACGTTTCTCAACGTCGTGACATACTCCGGCCCCAAACATTTCGTCACGGCCTCCTCGCCAGCCGCCTCGCACTCAGCCTCAGTAGGCGCGTCATTAGGGCAGTGGAGGGTATTTTGTGAAAGCAGCCGCCACGGCGGTGGCGACGACGGCGGTGGCGACGGAGGTGGCGGCGACGGTGGTGGTGGTGATGGCGGCGGTGCCGGAGGCGGCGGCGTGGGAGGCGGAGAGGGCGACAGCGACGGCGGCGGCGGCGAGGGCGGCGGAGGGGCCGGCGGCGGCGGTGCTGGAGGCGGCGGCGTGGGAGGGGGTGGGGCTGGCGGCGGTGTGGAGGGCGGAGGAACCGGGGGCGGCGAGGGCGACAGCGACGGCGGCGGCGGCGAGGGCGGCGGAGGGGCAGGCGGCGGCGGTGCCGGAGGCGGCGGCGTGGGAGGGGGCGGGGCTGGCGGCGGCGTGGAGGGAATTGGGGGCGGTGAGGGAGACAGCGACGGCGGCGGCGGCGAGGGCGGCGGAGGGGCAGGCGGCGGCGGTGCCGGAGGCGGCGGCGTGGGCGGCGGCGGGGCTGGCGGCGGCGTGGAGTGGTCGATTTCTAAATTTTAGAAAGGAGCTACCTATCTGGCTCACCGCATTCCTGCCCCCACCCAGTTCCCAGAATGCGAAAGGGGCGCGCCCACACCGATCGCGACACGGGTCTCGCGCGCCAACCCTGGACATTTGACACTATACTTGCCCGCTCATACACGACTGAGAGAAAAAATACACGACTCGATGCGTGCGTAAACCCATACCAACGAAGAACATCGTCCATGCAACGCGCGTTTGGCCGGCAGCAGGCACCTCCAGACAGGCCCGCGAGCGGCGCCAGCCGGCAAGGCCCGATGGTGGGCATCGCGCGGCTACTGTCGACGCAGCCGCCATCTACGATGGATTCCCGCGTCGGTGCGCGACCTGCGACGCCAGCGCGCATGCGACAGCCGCGCGCGTCAGGCCAGCTGGGCGACTCGGAGTGCCGAGCTCGGCAGCGCAAGCCGATACGCCGAGCTGAAGAGATGAGCGCGCGCGCGAGCAGCGCACTAGCAGACATCGTCGACGAAGCCGACTGGACGGCGGAATTCGCCTCGAGCAGCGCGCGAGGTCGTCACAGCAGCCCGCAAGCCAGCGGTGACGACCGGCGCGGCGTGGAGGACCATTCGAACGAGGCGCGGCAGCGACCATATTTGGTCGTGTCGCGTCCGGGCCGGATTCTGGGAACTGGGTGGGGGCAGGAATGCGGTGGATTTCACCTCTCCTTTTAGAAATTAGCTACCTACCCTCCAGAACCCGATTTCAATCCCTTGGATCTGTACTGTACCTTCTTGATGAGCCCGACGATCATGCGTGTCGCGTATGCTTTCACGCCCCGCGCCCAGTAGCAGAGCCCACCGAGCAGCCCGTGCCGAGGGTGGAGGAGGTAGCCATGCTCGCCCGTGCGCGGCTCGGGCCTTAGGGGACCCCTAGGCTTAAAAGGGTGGGCCCTGGGGCGCCTGCGGCTTAAACGGCTTAAAACTTGCCATGGCAAGTTTTAAGAGCTGCTGGGCCGCCAATTCCTTAAACGGTCTTAAACGCTTAAACGGTGCGGGAGAGCTCCCGAGGTCGATGGTCCGGGAGGCTCCCGGTAGACACGCCGGAGGCCGGGAAGCCGGCTACAGTCAGCTAGCACGCGTCCCCTATGCGAGTATGGCTCCTGCCAGTGCACCAGACTTACAGATGTGTCTTCAGAGGCGGGTTTGTGCCTAACAACGGCAGTATTGGAGAAAACGGCGCGGAACCCAGCGACGCGTGCCGGCGAGGCCGATTTTCTTAAACGGTCTTAAAAGAGGGACCCCCCGTGCCTGCAATCTCTTAAATGGCAAGTTAAGCCCCCAAACCTCCTCGTTTCTTAAAAGGTCTTAAAAAATCCGGCCCTCAGAACCCTAGGGGTCCCCTAAGGCTCGGGCGCGGCCGCCGCCGAGCCGATCTTGAGCGCCGGTTACGCACGCGCGTCATCTCGCGCCGGTGGTCGGCGAGGTCCCACTCGCCCGCGCCATGCTCCCGGCCCGCCCATGCACTGGCCCATCCTCGTCGACGGTCGCCTCCGTGCGCTGCCTCTTCGGCTCGAGCACGCTGCGCAGCCTCTCCACCTCCTCCTCTGCAGCCTCGTGCGCCCGCTGCGCGATAAGCGCGGCCGCGTTCGCTTCCTTTGCGCGCGCCTTGGCCGACTCGAGCTGCATCATCATGGCCTCGAGGATAGTCGGATCGACGCCAGTAGAAGAGCCGGCAGCAGACGGCTGCTCCACAGCTGACTGCGCAGCCAACACCGCCTCGATGCAGCGAGCGTGTTCGCTCTGGATATTCTCAGCGAGCTTCTCGGCCGCCACGATGTAGTCGGGCACCGCAGCTGAGTCGTCGGCAGATTTCCTGTTGAGGCCGACGATGCCGATCTTCTCGCTGGCTTTCGCATGCGACGCTCGGCACCACAAGTTGCAGCGGACGCAGCCGGTGCCGCCGTTGTGCGACGTGTCGATGCGTGCAGGCGGCTTCACGTGACAAGGCCCAACCGTGGGTCCCGCAGCACCCCAAGACTCGCCCGAAACACGCCGCCGACGTACATGGAGGTTCTAGCGTCCCCTCACGACCGTAAATAAATAAATAAATAAAACGGACACCACTCTACTGTGAGATGGGTAAAAAGGAACAGGCCCCCGCCCTTGCGATCTTTGTGCCAGGGTTCTTTGTGGGTGGTGGTCGGCGACTAGCCCGGGGTCGTCCTCCCGATGGGGGACTAGCACTAGCCGTCTTCCACATGGTCCCTCGGGTCCCTGCTGCTCCTAATCTCTTCGTACATCCTCCTGCTGATCTCCGCAAAGTCCTGCTCCCTCCCTCGTCTCACCCTGCGCGTCTGCTCCGCCTCACCGTCTTCTGCCCTGCGTCGTCTGGCGACGGGTCCTCCATAGTCGGTCGACGTCGCCGCCCTCCTCGTGCCTCTTCCCCGTTACACGACCGTTGCACGATGATATATAATCATCAATTTTCAGACCTCGTATTAACGCCGAGTTGACGCGACCGCCGTTCGTTTCTCGCCGAGAGAAGCCCAAAACTGGACAGCTCGTCTTTATTAACGCACTAGACGCCTAGGGCGGCGGCGAGGGCGGAGGCGAGGGAGGCGGCGGCGAGGGCGACAGCGACGGAGGCGGAGGCGAGGGCGGCGGAGGGGCGGGCGGCGGCGGCGCCGGAGGCGGCGGCGAGGGCGGCGGCGAGGGCGGAGGCGAGGGAGGCGGCGGCGAGGGCGACAGCGACGGAGGCGGAGGCGAGGGCGGCGGAGGGGCGGGCGGCGGCGGCGAGGGAGGCGGCGTGGGCGGTGGACTCGGGGGAACATGGTGCACCACCGCAACGACGTCTGGGTAGAAGATCCCTTGCTGGTCCGACTGCAGCTTACGACGTCGTTTCGTCTCGCTGCTCGGGTTGGACGGCAAGCGGCAGAGCTGATATGTCCCTGCAGGCTCGTGTTCCGCAAGGGGGATCTCCAGCGCGTCAGGAGTGTCCGGGCCCGAGTTGATCAAAACCAAGTCACTGAGGAGCACGAAGTTTCCTGACCCGGGAGGCTCCTCCCTCTTCTCGACAAGGCCTCCATGATCCTGGATGGTGCCGTCCCACGTGCCATCGACCGAGTTGCCAAAGCTGTTCGTGATTGAGAAGGCCGAGGTGTTGAAGGCTTCATCGCACTCCTTGCCCTTGTGCTCGGCTGCATACTCCAGGCTCACCCACGCGACGCGGTCGCCCTCCTCGACAACGTCGCCCGTAAACTGCACCGCGTAGAATCTCCCTGTTACGATGACGGTCGCAGTGCCATTTATGGTCGCAGAGCCGTTTACCCCCGCTTCCTCCTCGATGCTGACAAGGATCCGAGGCGGAGGTGCGGGGGGCGGCGAGGGCGGTGGCGGCGAGGGCGGTGGCGGCGAGGGCGGCGGTTGCGAGGGCGGGGGCGAGGGAGGCGGCGGCGAGGGCGGTGGCGGCGAGGGCGGCGGTTGCGAGGGCGGGGGCGAGGGAGGCGGCGGCGAGGGTAGCGGAGGGCCGGCGCG